TTTTCGAAAAAATCGACCGCCTCGGGCCAGACGGAGCGGTTTAATTTGATTATTTGTGCTAACGCGATCTCTATTAAAGAGTAATTTTTAAAGTCGCTAGTTGTAACGGATGTTATGATGTCTGCTATGTCGGTGTTTTGTTATTTGCGAACCACCCACATTTAACATTCCGCCGTTTCACTAACCCCAAAATTAGCCGAAACGATTACCTTATTTCAAGGTAAGGCAATAGATATAAAAAGGATTAATTATATTTCGGGACAACAGCCAGACACATATATTATACACGTTTCAACGATTCCCGATTAATAAGTGACCGCAAAAAACGGATCGACGTCATTTTTGACACCGATTCGTCAAACTTTACCCACTTCCCTCAAAATGACATTTTTTTCGTAACGCGGATAATTATTTCAAATATTTATTCGACCCACATCAGAGCTTCTACGCGAACATCCACCACACTATTATCCATAAAATAATAAATCTTCTTCGTGGAAAAACATATTTACAAACTTCGGATTTTCTAATAGTCGGCACCACATTGACGCGCCTTTTTTTTAACATCACAATTAACTGTGACCGTGGCGTTTCGTGGTTACGTAAATAATTTGATTCACATTATTATATATGTAACAAATTTATTAGATCAAAGTACCAAAATAAAGTAAAAGATAACCAAGAGATTTTCGTCTGAAAATAGTAACATATACGCCATCGAATATCCTGCTAGATCCTCGTCATCTGATCCGCATACATGTGTGTCCTCTCACTAAATAATCTCGTGGAAGATTTAAATCTACAAAAGAAGATTCAACACTCAAAAGGAAAAATTTATTGTTACCGCGGATTATATTTTCACCGTCGACACCTCGAAAGAGAGTCGTTCCTTATTTTTCTTCATCGTGACATCGTCGCAATATTGAATTTCTTTGACACATCTTACAAAAAATTACACGAATATTAAATTATTCTTGGAAAAAATTAATTATATAGGGAATAATTGCTCCGTAGTCACAGTCTGGTTACACAAAAATGTTCTGCTTTTATGTGAACGGTCGTTACGAAAATCTCTTGCGCCAACATAAAACCCATTTTATTACCGCCACCACTTTATTTTAAGCGCAAAATAATTTGTCCATTACAATGGAATAATTTGCTTTCAATATATCTAATCACGTACTGTATGGAATTTAAATATGTTGACATTCTTGGCTCGGCTTGATCAGATTTTCTGACACTCTGACTTTTCCTCACGTTTAAAATCGTTCAAATCGATGCACCATAGGATCAGATTTTCTGTGTCTGAAATCACCGAAATGTGTCGCAAATCCGATTTCTAGATTTCTCAGTATCTGATGCACACTTCCGAACTCTATTCACGTTGTCTCGACGTCGGAATCCGACTCCCCGTCGATAGCAAAAAACTCTTAATCTAGTGTGCCGAAGCTTTCCATTTGATAAATTTAAAATTACCCAGTCTGAATAAACCAGATGCTGACGCAGACAAAATTTCATGACAATTAATTTAATGGGATCATAATTGCCATCTTTATCATTATAACTTGTGCAAATTGATTACATTAGTACGTTAGAAATTTATGAGCTCATTAAAAACCTCCAGTGATCGGTGATAAAGACAATGTTGCAGCGGCGATTTTTTAATGAATTTTTGATCGCTGATCAACTTCTTGTTGCGACGTCGCAAGCAAAAATAAATTCCTGCGTAAATCATTCATATAAACACCGAACATAAATTGTTGTTTGCTGGGTTAATTGGGGTGATTTATTATAGAAGACGCCGGAACCGTGGACCAAAGAGAGTGGGCCGTAGGTTTGGAACGAGAACTAATTTTCGATAAAAATTATTAATTTGGCAAACGCGTGTAGAAATTGCAAAAATCGTGAACAAAATAGACCGCATAGGAGTAAAATTCCGTGAGCTCGCGGAGCGAGCTCCTATATCGTTTAAAGTTAATAAATAAGATCGAAAGTGGAAAAAGGTCGTTCGATACCCAAAATAGCCCTTCGTCACAACAGCTTTTGAGGTGAAAGTGAAAAAAGCCTGTGAAGATAGATATATTAAGTATTCCCGGTATGTTCGTCGGTGCGTTGACACGGTACGTAATATAATGAGAGAACGGGGTGGTCGTGATGGAAATTTTTTGTGCGACGCCGCCCGTCTCTGTTCGCCGCCGTCGGTTAGGGGCGGCAGAAGTTGACTGCGAAAAGGTCGCCAGTTGAACGGCCGAGCGCGGCCAAAACCTTCGCGCTGCAAGGCCAGACGAATATAACTAATACGTATCTGATATCTTGCAGGACAGTATTTAAAAATGAATCACGCAACGCCTTTCGTCATTTTGGTCCTTTTGCCAACGTCGGCTGGCTTTTCGAACACAGAATAACATACATGGTACATATATACTTTACTTGCGTCACAGCGTCACACTATGAAGAAAATATTAACCGATTTTTCCAATTTCGAGTGTTTTCACTTTCGGTCGAGTGGAATGAAAAACGGGTATTGTACATTTCGGTAAACAAGGTACTTTTGAGCACTCACGATCAGAAGAACGAGTATCAAATTTTGCAACATGTTTGTCTAAGGATTATGGTATTATTTTTTCGGTGGCAAATACTTGAGTCAAGGAAGTGTGCCAGTTTAGGGTCATTCTAGTAGCCAGAATTTTTCAAATGGTAGAAATTTCCCCAAACGGATTACCCGGTTGCGGCCAAGTTTAGTATACGTTGTTACGGATGTGGCGACGTTTTGGGTAGCATTATTTGAACCTTAGTTTCAATCGACTATCTTGATCTCAATTCCGTCTGTATTAGTTAATCCCTGAAATTTTCCTGTTCGTGATCTTCCTGGAGTCGGAGCGAGTGGTGCATGATGCGGCATTTTCGCATCTGACGTCTGGTCTGCGGAAACCGTCTGCAATTTTTTTGTGTTCTGTGGAAGGCATGACGTGCCGACGTTTCGTCCGGTTAATTTGCGTATGATGCAAGCAGCGGTAGGTCCGGTTCTGGCCATGTCCAGCACCAACAATGGCCTTGCATGACGGACAATGCATCATATTTGTTGCTTTTTGGGTCATTCATCGTACAAAGAAGTGCATCGGCTTTTTATCAGACAACATTTCATGTGGTGGTGGCCTTGATTTTGTTTACTACACTGTTGTGCAAATAACTCGCGGTTCATGGCTTTTAAATAAAGTAATGCACTTGAAGTACTCGTTTCGTGCTTTTTGCTTGCAGCGACCGAATCAATCGTCACCAGGTTAATTTTATTAGAGCAGACTGTACAAGTACATTATCATTTGCGGTAGACACGGTAAACAAAATTGTTTTGTATACTTTATTTGCCTGCGATAAGCTAATCACTCTATTGTGTCACCAAATAAACAGAACCGAAATGGAAAACATTGGCGGTAAGAAAACCGAATTACGCCTTGTACGTCATCTGCCGAGATTTCGGCGACAGGTAGGGCAACGGGAGCAGGTTGATTAATTGGCCAACCTTGGCGAAACAGCCTTGGACACCAGAAGTGCAGCAGCACTTCCTGCCCCAAAAATTCTACCAACTGACTGATGTAATCTTGACATGTGCCAAAATTTCGACACCACTTTCTACAGCGGAAAATCTAGCCGTGAAAAAAGTCAATGTTAAGTCTACGACAAGGCGACTGCCAATTAAATCTCTTGAGGTTAACGTTAAATGAAATTCTTTTCATAGTCGCCGTTAATTACACCGACTTACTAATTAAATTTTGACAGATTTTTTTCGTTACGTAACCGGATCTCGATTTGATAGATGGCTTCTATATTCAGAAGTCGTATTAATCACCAATAACCGTTTATTGCGTGGTGCTTTGTACATGCATAAAACTCCGAAAAATGTTAATTTGCTTGTAATTGACTATTAATCAGTTGCAGAGTAATTAATGTTGAGTGGTCGTGTGCTGTAGTGGTTGGTAGATATTTGTAGAATTTATAGCTTTTGTGATTTAATTTGATGATTTCAGTAGGCAGCTTCGAGTAAATGACTAATGTACTGTTCATATTTGTGGAATCTGGAAAATATACAGCGTGAAACGTTACCAACAAATAAGAAACGCTCACATAACGACATTGTTACACGGCCGCCAACACATCTCGCTCGCACCCACGACCTCAAAATTTAATAAAAATGTCATAAAATTTTAAATATGTTCTCAGCTTGATAAAAAAATGTGACACCATAGTTCATTGTTTGCTATAAAGTTCTGTTTCATTGTGTTACCAGGTAAGTCTACAATACAAAATTGTAGATTAATCACAAACACTAGCTGTAGAGGTATAATAAATAATATAATTGATGAAAAAGTGTTTGAAAACATCACAACTAATAAATCAAAATGTGACAAATGTACTTACTGGTAATGCATAATTTGAAGATATGTCGAGTGTGATTTAAAAACGTCAAGTACATATAGCTGTATATATTGCAGTAAAAATTTGTCACATCGTGTTGGTAAAATGTGATGGTAATATGTAACTATCTATCTACATCTGGGTATAGCTAGTACGATTTTGCGTTATTCTCAGAGGGAGTAAATTTTTTGTGTGCGATTTGTATTAGCAGGTCGGTAATTCGTCAGAGTTGGTCGCCGAAGAAAACAAACAATAGTTCTCCGAAGTGTCACGGTTACGAATCACGTTGCATTTTTAATTGGTCTCATAACGCGAATTAGTGTAACTCTCACCGGCTAACCCTATTTAGCGTTTCTAAGCAGTTGATTTCATTTTTATTCGAGAATGCAGTACGGCCGAAAGTCGGTCTAATTGAGGCCACAAACATATTATGTCGTGGTAATCTCACGTAACTACGTATTACTTGTAACGGCCGCATTTCCTTTTGGTGTCCCTTTCTCCGCTTTCTTCGTTTTGCCACTACTTCGCGGCCATGTAGGTCACTATCTCGTACTTTTACATCCTCGCGGCCGGCTTGCACTTGCTGCAAAGCGCTATACCCTACTCGACTTCTGATCGGTGAAGACGTGCGTGCCTCCACTGACTCTATGTGTTGTGTTGTGGTGATAACAAGGCCTCATCATTGCGTCGCTTCACACCGGCAGGCCCTCCGGACCTGGGCCCCTGACGATGCCAACGTTGCCAGCGATGCACCCCGATAACGGATTAATCTTCTCAGCGCCCCCGGGTAAGCGCATTTTCGCAAAAATCCCTCCCGGGACGAAAGTTTTTTGTGTGCACGCCGGGAACTTAAAAAATAAGTGCAGGGAAAGTTCTCCGAGTGATAAATGGCGCGGTTTAAATAAAGCTTTGTTTGGTGGATGCAGTCGCCACTTCGCCGCAGATTCAGTCCGGGCGTATTTTTGTCTGCCCTAAATGCAACAACGGATGCGATTTTACTTTGTAATTCGGCTGGCACGGATAAGAAATTTTTTTCCATTGTGAACTAACCTAGAACAATAGCGACAAATATTGATGCGACCGCGGGAGCCTTGAATCTGCTTATTTTTATGCGTGTCGAGACGGGCCGTAAATATTATTTTTAAAACTGCAACGCGAATTTTTCGACGAAAAAAGGAAGAGTGGGAGACTAATGGGGTTAATGATAAAATGCGACTGCACGTTGAGCTGATTTATTTTTAAAATTGTTTCTGCAGATGCATGCTATTTTTGCCAAATCAAACCTGATCGAGTAAAGTCCCTTAAGCAACAACGCGACTACATAACAAATAAAGCATAACTAATTTGGAATGTACGCGGGAAGAAAACTTGGCCCACTTTTCTCAACATTGAGGTTATGTTAGTAACCGTATTGTCACGCATTGCCAATAACTACCTATATTTGATCATACTTGTTCACCTTTTATGGCTGTCGAAGCATCTCCGCAACCGAAACGCTACATTCTATGTAAACGTGACATATATAGCGGCATTGCATAGATTGATTTTTCTGAGCCATAAGGTCGCTCATTCTAAATTTATGTATCGCAGAATGAAATGCACTTTCTGTTCCAGCGCTAACCTTAGAATATTTGAGGTAATAACCGTTGGAAGGTGTCACTCAAGGCTCCGCATTCGATACTCTTTTTTACCTCTACACAAACATCTTAAAAACGATGGAATTAATTTCGCATACGAATTAACGGTTTTGTTTTGACATGAAAGTGAAGGTCGCCGTTTTCCCAAATTGTCACCTTTCGGTAGCCCGTTTCAGACTACGAACATTAACATCAAAACAATGCATGGCGGGTTTTTTTACATTTCAATAATTTCATCAATTTTATTGCTCGTATTGTTTATTGAATGTGAAGGATGATATCGACAAAACCGTTGTTTTCCTAGTCGTTTTTTTATCGGTCATAACTTATCATTAGAGGCCCGAGGGTGTAGAGATTTTATCAAACAATTAAGGATCGCGGTTTCCTGGAGGATCTTCAAGGATAGTTTTGCGGTCGTTTCAATGTCGACTTTCTAAGATCGCGAGAAAGTCACTAGTCAGAATTGCTGAAATTAGATGACATAATCCACGTTCTTGACTTTCTTGGAAGGTTGTGTTATATTATGAGGTAAAAGCTCGATGCAAATTCGGTTATTTCGTAATAATTATTAATCATGGGTGGTTCACGATTCAAGGCTTCGCGTAAACTCTGATTTGCAGTGAAAAAACGTTACCGGAAAGACTCGGGCGAATAAGAGGTCATTTTGATGACCTTGTCTTCTCTTGTTCAGAGGTCAACCTCTTACTACGTTTAATACGCACGGTGGGTTGTACACATTCGGAATTTTTCTATATTACTCAGTTTCACCTGAAAACAGGAAATTATATGTACGTATATAGCATGCGACGGGGAAAACTCTTCGTAATTGACCAATATTACGAAATACTGACTCTGCGTTTTATTTTTTTTACGATCCGTATATTATTCTAGAATATTGAGACAAAGCGATAACCGCTTAATCTCTAAACACTTCCTTTAGATAAGATTGCTATTGTTCTATTATGCAACAGAATTTCTGTTATTGAAAATTTCTGATACGATTATGTGGATTATTTATAGTAATTCGTCACATGCATGACGAGTGAACCTCAGGTTATAACTCGTCGGGGTTTCATGGCCGCCCCGGATCGCTTTTTTTTCGGGTTTGGTAACGCGTTGCAAAACGCACTTCGATTACTAAAATCATCCTTTATTGTGTAGTATTGCGGCGAAAACTTGCGGAAATTAGCAAAGATTGCTATTGAAACGATTTTGTGGAAGTATCGCAGTTGCTATAGCCTAATTTATTGTTGTAAACGACTCCGATAGAGCGGTTAACTGTACCGAATTTAGTGTGTGGTTGGTTAACGGAGAAACGGTACAACGATTTGTAATGTAAATGCAAAAATTGTTCTAGCAAATAATTAGTGATAGTAATGGGAACTTTCCTACTGCTTTCTCCAAGACAAAACGTAAAAACATCACGGATCAATAGAAAAAGTAGGTCCTCGATGTAGAATAACAGTGAAGGTAGTCCGTTGCGCAATTTCGAAAAAACTTTGGATTTTGCCCAGCCGGAGTTAAGTAATACGAACAATGGCGAGTTTTAGTAGGGTATTAACCTTTTAAAATCGTCGTGTTTTTCAAACAATATCAACATAATTGTGAGCTATCTAGGAAACCATGAACTTTACTTATAAATATGATATTTATGCAGTTGCAGTATCCCTAACCTATGTCAACGTAATCTCTTCTTATTTCTGTTATTTTTTGATGACATTGGCCGCCTCTACATAACTTTATTTTTCCGTGATAACTCGTTAAAAACAATCATTTGATAGTGATTTAACTGCTAACTGCCGATCGATACGTCTGGCTCTCATTTCAACTTTATTGTCGAAAGCAGTTGCATTTAAATCATTCACGAGTTGCTCTGACCGCTCCTTTTCGTACCCACCGACAGGACCTGAGATTACCGATCGACGAATTATCTCCTCTCTCAAAATCGCTCCCCGACAATAACGCTTCGTTAATATCATGGTGACTAATAATGGTCATTGTCTTTACCAACCGCCCCCCCACCAGTCGCGCCAAGGATTCAAGGATTTCGCTCAAAAATAAAATTCATGATTATCCTAATTGGAGGGGAAGCACAAAACACGTTGTTATGACAAGTTGCGAAATCGATCATTTCACCGACGCTGAAATGTCTCATCGCACGTAAATGAGTCGTTCAGTGGCGTCCAAACGGGGACCGGAATTCTTCCACGATTTTTGCCAACCGGACGTAATTTACACTTTTCTTAGTTCTTTGAAGCGCACTCACTAGCTTTCCCAGTTTTTTTAACAACGGATTCTAAGATCTGAACGTCCATTTTAAGTACATATTTTCTCCTCGTTCTATATGATGATATATAATTTTTTTTCGGTTTCGTTTTGTCTGCACTGATTTTTATTACTAAAAATTATAAAAAATAAAGAATTTTCAACTTGAAAGGCGAGGCAACACAATGAAACGTTGTAGACATCCTATGGTCTCATCAGTACCGAAAGGGGTGACAACGGTGATGACGTCTTCTATATCTGACACTCTCAACGGTTCAAATAGCGTAGACCCTTTGTTTGAATTATCTAAACGATTTTTTTTTAATTAGCTTCGTGTGTTTAGATGATTTTATCTTCTATATCCTCAGTGTCACATGTTTTCTAATCTATCTTACTCTTGAATGACTCAGTTTCTTCAAATGTCATAAATTCCTTAAATACTTTAAAACGTCTTCTATATTTTACATCGTATGTTAACGTGCATTTGTTTCAAATCTTCTAGAGCCTCTAAATCTTTTTAATTTTTCAACTGTTTTCATCTTTTGTAAGTCACTTGTTATAACTTGTGGCCTAAAGTGTCGTTTGCACAGCTGCTGCTTTGCCAAGCAAGCCTGGGAAACGATAAAATTTTGTAATTTCGTTGATCGCCGATTGCGCTTCAGCCTGAGAAAGTAATCGAAGACGCAGCTTGCGGTTGACAATATCGTAACCTGTGGTAAACACGGTTACTTGAATTATTATCCGCCCAGGTCGACTTGGCAACCTGCAGCTCTGTAACTGCGCCTTATCAGTTTTTACGTTTTCGACTGCTAAATCAGGTAAGATCCTTTGACTTTTGTTTTTTCCCGGTCGTTTCGTCGGCGGCAAAGTCAAATTTGACAATCTTGGTAATTTTCGATAATTAGATAACCGAAGATCGTGGTGGCGCGTCACCCGCTATTGGGGTTTCTTGTTTTTGTCGGAGGTTGTATTCTGGCGAATATTTTCCCCGCCTCGCCCTATCCGTCCGCACGTTTAAGCGCCAACAGCCCATTAGGCCGATATTTAATTTTCAGACGACCACCGCCACCGGTCCTCTTTGTCTCCGTCCCCGCTGCAGCATAATGCGATTTTAATTCGATTCCGCCGCCGTCAAATTTAAAAATCCGTCAAGCCGTAAAATCGATGCCCCTTTCGCGGTCGAGTAGCCGAAAAAGCTCGATTTAGTTAAAATTTTTTGTTTGTTTGCGGCGCAATAACTCGCTCCTGGTCAGATCCCGCTTATTGCGTAACGTAATAACCGAAATTCCCGTCGAAGCACATGCGATCCCAAATATTAAGATACGAGAGGGCACGAGCAGGTTACGTAACTTACGAAGGTGACCTGTCACTGCTCTGATTGGTGAGTCACTGAGGGTGTTGTCCTCCGGAGCCCCCACCACCCCCTCCCCACCCGTCGCGACTGATCATGATCAGCACGCGGCCGCCACTGTCAAAGCGTTCAGTGTAGTTAGTGTAGGAGCGTTCGTTCGTCGCTCAGTCGTTGTCAGTCTTACGTTGGAAGTAGACGTGTTTCGTGCCACAGTTTGTGTACATTGTTATTGTTGATAGACGATAGAAGAGTGCTTGATTTTTCTCGACGTTTCGAGGGAGTTACACGTCAACGTTGACAGTTGGTGAGTGTGGAGTTAATTTTATTACGGCGGGTGGACGTACAAAGGCTTTGTTTTTTCTGGTTACGGTCGCATGCTTTTAGGTGACAGATACGGTCTAATAATATTCCAAGCATCATTTATTGGCGCCGTCTGTACAGTTACTTGTTACTCTTGATCTATATCCATAATCGATTCATTACGACATTGCGTTTGCACCCTGATCAAGTGATCAGAGTTGGACCGGATTCAAAAGTCGCGCTGCGTCTTCCCGCCAAAGCTCTGTCACCTTTACCCTCACGGATTCTTTGTCTTTTTTAGGACGGCGATTAAAAAATTACACAATTCGGTTGTTATCTCGCGATAGAGTAATATCAAAATGTGGCAATGCGCGATATTCGTTTTTCAGAATTTTGATTTTTATTAAAAAAAAAAAATGATGTAATGTTGAGTAAGTTGTTTATTGTCCGATACGTGTATGTATAATTGTGTTTCGACAATGAATCACCTGTAATTTCGAGGAAGGTACCGGGATTTCGTCGCGTCTTTCTTGTCGTGTGTGATGCAACAATGTTTGTTTGTGTTGCGGCTTATTTTTACTCAGGATCGTTCCGACGACGTGTTCTTCGGGAAATATTATATGGTCTCGATTAACACGTTAACATTTTGTGCAAACAAAGCGCAATTCGTGAACAAAGATTAATGAGCGAACGATCACCGACAAAGAGTCGGTTGATGCCATGTCTCGAATAATGATTTTGCAATTACATTATGTAATAAGAGATAAGTGTGGAGCTCGGCATTGCAGAGCATTCTTGAACTCGGGAGTTCCACTAGCCTACTTCTCTACTAACGACGCTCGACTTGCGGCACAAACTCGGGTCGCGTCTTGGTCGGATTTTGGCGGTTTTTGAGTGAGTCGTAGGAAAATCCGGTGAATGTTTTTCCGGAGACGTCTGTTTGTTCGATCGATCGTCGGAATATAATGCGCTCTAATTGTCGAACGGCGCAACCTTTTTGTTTCTCGATTATGCTCGTTGTAGCGGAACCATAATAAAATTGCGTAACGAAATCAAATACGTATCTTGCGGTAACATTTTAAACGGGCTTATCACGGCCAATAAATAAGAACAGTGTGGGTGTCGCACTGCAACACGTCACATACACTATCGAAAAAGTGGATCTTATTTTCATCGGTCCAAGTCCACGTGTCGCTAAAAATACCACAATAGAGAGAGACTTCTGCGGACTTTTATTTTGATTTACCGTTAAGAAATGTCGAGACACCGATTATCGATCACTTTTAATAAACACCCGATTTACGTCTTTTTCGGCGTACCTATTTAATAAGTCGGTCGATTATATTTAGAATAGTTTCATAACAATTTGTTTTGGAAGATATTTGGCGACGTATTTGTGGCCACGTCACCGAATAACACCGATTTCATAAATTCGACCATCTAATTTCGTGATGCGTCATATTTTTCCGGAAGCCAATTCAGAATTCTTTGTCCAAATTTATGACGCTGTTTTTGTTTTCGCAAGATACATAATTACGCGCGTGCTTCCCCGAATTCCAATATTACGGTACATTGCGTATCGCCTTCTCCGAGAATTTTGACCGCTTAGGAGGGTTGATTGTTTCCAACTATGCTTCTCGCTAATAACGTGTCCCCAAGGTTCACACGTGAAGTAGATCACGTTGTTCGATCAACTCCGTTCACTACGGTCACGAAAGCTCACGTTTCCGGACATCTATTGCATATTTAAATGTAGGTGTTATTGTGAAATCTCATTGCTCTCTGTATCACCGAACTTTATCACGTGCCTATACTCTATTACTTAATTTAGACTCCTCGTACTGGTCTATATCTACCACATGGCTCCTGAATCATTTCCGTTCCGGAATTCTGTCGTAATGACGAAGGGTATTCGTATTTAGGCAACGACCTCTCCAAGGCTCTTGCGGTTAATTCCGAGCGACTCCAAGAACTGGCTTAACTATTAGCTAGACATGTAGGGTTAAGTTATGCAGGTATATAACCATCGGTGGCAGGTGAATCGCGACGGCCTTGACTGCACTTGTGGCAAAAACCGGTCCGCATTTTTCCACTAATCCGATTAAACGGCCACCATCCATACACAAACAAAACGAAAAACCCCAAACTATTACCTTTTTCCACGTAAGTGTGGCGCGTTTCGCCGCTCTTCCTGACTTGTTGCGTCTCCACCTCTCCCTATACGTGATTTACTTATTATAAGGGGGGGAATGGTGTTAACCTTCCCTAACCTCACTTTTTTGCTCGCTCGTGCGACTCCCCCTCTTAACTCTCATTCACCCGATAATTATTTCGAAATCGAGCGCTCAGCGGTAGTTCGTTCGAATACATGCTTTAGAACACGAAATTCCCGCGAGCAACAACTAAATCGCGGCAGTAAAGTTTTTATTAAATTTCTTCCCTTTGTTCCAGATGTATTAAAACAACGTATAATGGTTGCCGAATTCGTGGGCCGAGGTCAAAGTGGATCCCCCGTAAATGGTGAAATTCCACAGTTAAACTCCAACATGCCTGCCAGTCACGGCCGGGAACTCCTCTCATCGTCGACATCCCCAGGAGCCGACGCTTACAATCCCGCGTACAACATGTCATCCGTCAAACATAAAGAACTTTTCTCGCAGAGAAAACAGCGCGAGTTTACGCCCGATAACAAGAAAGATGACAGTTATTGGGACAGACGCCGCCGTAATAACGAAGCGGCGAAAAGATCTCGAGAGAAGCGACGCTTCAATGATATGGTTTTAGAACAGCGCGTCGTGGAATTAACAAAAGAAAATGCCATCCTCAAGGCTCAGTTAGAAGCAATCAAGGAAGAGTACGGAATCTGCCCCGAGAACGTAGTGTGCGTCGAAAAAGTCCTAGCCAACTTGCCAACAAACGAACAAGTACTCAGCTTGACCAAACGTCAGAAGCTCGCCCACCCGGCGAACCCTCTCATGTTCAACCCCCACAGTCCCATCCCTACGCCCGTGATCCACCAGCCCGTGCTTGGGTCCCCGCCGCCGCAGCCGATCCCCACCCACATGCTGCACCCGCCGGCGTCCCACCACGAACCCCCCTACAGAGATCACCCCGAGTATCCTCACCCCTTCCCGTTCCCGAGCTACCACCAGGCGGTCCACTACGACTCGAACGACGCCCTCAACTTGTCGTCGAGGTCCCGCTCGCGGGGGCAGTCCCCCTTCGAAGTCTCGAGCAACTCGGGGGACGAGAGCGCCCCGATCGCTCTGACCGCCGAACCCAACAATAGCCTCCCGCTGAAGCTCCGCCATAAGTCGCATCTGGGGGATAAGGACGCCGCGAATACCCTGCTGTCTCTGCAGAACATCAAGCAGGAGCCCGGGCCGCGGGCCAGCCCGCCCTGGGACGCGGAGGGCTCCAGCGACGAGCGGGACTCCGGGATCTCTCTAGGAGCGGAATGGTCGACGCAGGCCGCTCAGGCCGCCGCCACTCTGCAGACCCTCCAGAAGCAGTCGCAGCTACAGGCCATGCAGGAGGCCGCAGGCGGCGATTCCGAAACCAAGCACAGGCTACATTCGGAAATCGTCAGGCTGTCGTCCGAAGTCGAGCACCTCAAGTCGATGATGATCGGCAAAGAGAAGGAGCCCGTGCGGCATTAGTCGGAAGTGGGCCACGGGGTTACCCACTGTGCTCGTCGTGCGCGTACTTGTGATGGATAGGACATATCAACGCTCTGTCGGGAGCTATTTATTCTAGTGGTTAAGTATTTATTCATTTAGTAAGTTCGGAGGCTGATCTCCACTTGCACAACTTTCGTATCTTAGTGGACTTGCTTTCATTTGCCGATATATTCCTATGGTTATCCCGATTTATTTAACATAACCTTATTGTAACGCATTGTTAGCGCTTGTATCGCTATGACTTTGTTACTATTTACGTCAACTGTACTATATCTACCACTGGTTTCGTTTTTTCATCTCATAGGGAATTATTGTACCTTTTATTTTTAACTGGAAATGTGTGATTTTTTGTAGACTATTACTCTAAGGAAATACCATTATTTATGTATAATATGTATGTATTTTTGTTACAAGCTGCGGAAGATTTCCGCGATTTACGTTATGTTATCTCATTATTGTATATTTATGTATCAATAAGACTAATGCTGGACCTTACCTCAACTGATGCAACTGATATGAATCTGTAACCGATTTCGTCCGGCATGGAATATTCATCGATATCTTCATAGCAAAGAAAGTAACGATATATTTTCATATTACCAAGCATGTATCCTCTTAACTATGTATTAAATATATTTGCATCGTTTTTCAAATTCGTTTTTTTACCCGACCTTCCCTCAAAACAAGGTTATTCAGATCAGATATTTAGAAAGCGAGAGTCACGTTGCTCCGAAAGAAACGACATGGGAGGACCATCGAAAACGGAACCCGAATGAATCACGGACACTTCAAAACCAGCTTCTGCTGTCCGCGGACAATTTTAAAACGGACCGCGGACAGAAAGGGGGCAAATTTTTGACGCGGACGTTACAAACACCACACGTTTCCAAAACGGTCGAACCGAAGTTCTAGATTTCTCCGAAACGGGCATCCCAGATTCTTATTTACGGTTTTTCAGAATGTTAATCAAAGCGGTCGGTATTTTGTTTTGTATTTTTCGCAGCCAGGTGCGACCGTTTCTTAATTCTGCGGCGGCGTTGCTTTTTTCGTCGAACTCGGCGGCTGAGAGATACCGCCGCCGCCGACACGCGTTAACGACGACGCGGAACCGATTGATTTCCATTGTTCCGGTTGTGTTAACCGATCGGCACCTGGTCGGGCGTTAACCGGCATTAACTGGTGTTAATCCGTCTTTGTCGGCGCTGCGAAAGCATAGTTTAGCAATTTTTCGTGTGGCCGTTGCATAAATCGCTGGGCCACATCTCGTCGGCCTCTGTGTTGTTGAGTTCGGTCTGTTTATCTGTGACGGGCGCGAGTTCCACGCGCTCCGACCATGACCACGCTCAACGTTGCGCAATACTTAATTCTAGATTTGAGACTCAACATGGCTTCACTGCGTCATGGGTATTTACGATGCCGGTGCGATTCATGCGAATGCCCGCCGAAAGTCACCTCGCTCTCGCAACGCGCAACAATTTAACGCATTCATTACTCACCCGATATCTTCATTTATGATTACGACAGGGGCTGATGGTGCCCGACCGAAATTACTTATACAAATTCTATAGGTGAACGTACCGGAATTCGCTCAAATAAAAGAACGCCTCGTCGGGTTCTGCGACCTCAGAGCCAGAGGTCCACGTACAGGCGAAATTACGCGTTTCGTGCCTCAAAACAACGAATTAACACTCGACATAATACGCGCCAATTGGGCGAATTACGCGGATGTTGCGAAATGGCGCTGGGATACATATTCGTTATGTAACGGAACGAGTGGGGCTTTTATTATAAATTATTAGTAGATCGATGACAAAATCAAAAATACAGTCAACGTTTCGGCTAACCATGAGTAAACAAGTTTTCGCTGTTTTGCTAATAGTTTCCTCAGCAAAAGTGAGTCGATTTTTATTCGTGGCTCATATTTCAGACGAATTTTGCAGATGGAATTGCCGTTGCTCAAAAAAGTTCAAAAACCACCGAATTGCGCACTGTACACGTAAGTTCCGAAAAATCTAGAACCCGCTTGCGATAATAGCACGAGTGTCAAAAATCGGTTACGGCGCACCTATCGTTGTTTCTGTTCGGTCTCCGATCTTTCCACTGTTTTTTCGAAGATCAAAGTTTATACACCGTCAAATCGAAGCCGACGTAAATCTTCCGATGTTTCAAAAAAATCTAGAACACACTTTCGATAAAGCGTACCGATTATTGACAAAAATCGGTTATACCACACGTGCCTATTTGTTTTCTCTTTTCTGTTTTTAAGAGCTCAGCTGTCAAGCCTGCTTAATTTAATGTGCAATAACGTGGCACTAAACGCCGAAGATGATGTTGTCAGAGACGCCTGTATTGGTTGTTTCCAACAAGCATCGACTGCCAATAATAATCAACCGTCATTAACAGATCTGCGTGATTGTGCAGAAAATTATTTGAGCGACACGAGATACGAGGAATGTTCCGCTCAAATAGACGTAAGCATCAAAAGACAAGCATAGATTTAAATGAGACGAATTATCAAATTTACTCGCCTTCAATCTGCTTGTTTATTTAAACAATCAACGACCGCTATTTACGTAATTTAATAATGTGCATAATAACAATAACGAATTATGTTGTAAACATTAAAGAATAAATAAACACAATTATCTATGCTTGATTATTTATTAATGAAGTGGGTATCATCACTTTTATTTTGAGAATCTCACAGACGGTTCTGTAAACTTAAGAATTTTCCTATTCGTAGACGAATCCAGGAAGTGGACCATGCGTTACAGGTTACTGCAGGTTCGTAAGTTGTATCAGAAGAATAAACTCGGACTTATTGGTAAGCCACGCGAGGACTAGTACGTTTTACATCTTCCAGATTTTTAGATAGCCCAGTGCTACGAACAGGCTTCTGCTGATAACGATGCAATTTTCGAAGAGGACCAAATCACCTTAGTAAAAAACGTGACGTCTTGTATTCTAGCCAGAGCAAGGTGTGCGTCCATCAATCCGATAACTGGTGAACGACAGACGAGTAGTTTAACCACAACCACGTACGACAAATGGGGAAAACCAAAAACCACTACTGTGTCTTTGTATAATTCCCTCCAAATCACTCCAGAGGGAAATCTGCGTATTATTCGCCTTCCTGGAACAACAAACATCCAAAATTATTTCTGTACAGCTCAGCCGAATTTACGAGAATCATCCTGGTTGGAATATTCCTGTTAACAAAGAAAAACAACCTGTTTTCGATATTACGATAATTATAAATAAATTACACAAATGTAGAAACCGCCTAATCAGTTCCACGATAAAAAGGAAATAAAATTTAATTTTATATTAATGAGAACAAAGGATTTTACGTAACAAATAAATGTTTTTCTATTGAATCATCGTAAAACGATAAGTTTTTAAACCTGCCGCAGCTTTGTTCTCGCGCCTGGCGTAAGTCGTTATTCTACTACATCTACCGGCGAGTAGCCAAACTACATGGTCGTTATCTCAGACGCGTTCATTTAACCACAACCACTACGTGGAAGGTGCGTGAAATCCATTCATGGAATGTTGACAGTTGTAACGCAACAGCTGTTAGCATGTGCATCACATTTTGTCTTCCTTAAAAAACCATGACTGATTTTAACCGAAAAGTGAAAAATCCGTTATTCAACACTGCTGTTACCGGAGGCACAATTGAAGATTTTTCGCAAAATGCTCTTCTACTTCCAGCTAAAGAAAAATCACCGCCTCCTCCAGTCCTGAATTTGTCTCCAGGTGAGCGAGTTTTCTTACTTTCAAAAAATTGATAAGTATTCTAGGTCCTGAGTCAAGGTTGCAGGTTTCTATCGCATAATGCGCCATCTTTCGACTAAAGAAGGCGTAAAGAATATATATTTATTGCAAAATATGTAATTGATACAAAAATACGAATCACAATCTTCGCGGTCCGCGGTAGATAGGTAGATCGTAGCTGCCCTTCTTCTTCAGTTTCTTACAACATCGTTTAATCAAGAACCCGAGTCCAAGAAGTATTAGAAAGAGTACTATAACTCCAAGACATATCGCCGCGATAGCCCCCGGACCTAAACCAGCACCTGAAAAGACCAAATCAGGGGGCGTTCCGTGTCCGGGGAAAATACTCACGATAAGCGTTTAAATGTCGTGTCCGCCTGTTATTTTGTCTGTCAAAAGCCACTAATTTCAGATCTGGATTACAGCAAGATTCGCTGAAATACCCGGTCACTTCCTCCGTAGTTCCGGTTGTGAAACCATGAGGAAAGTATAGACCTTTAGGTATAGAAATGACTTGTAAAAGTCCTGAAAAAAGACGAAGATAGTAACCGTGTTTGAATTGTAAATGAGGACACTAAATCTAAAAATGTCCAACATGCTGGTGATATTAATTTGAGGTTGTCATGTAGGAAATATGGTTGCGTGGGTCAGAACATATTGTTTTGAAAAAGTGTAAATGAGAACAGGACGCGTTTCCTACTTGTCTAGAATTTAGACACAGTTCGTGTTGCTGTACCCATATATCAGTATACTTCTACACGACGGGCTATTTCAAATTTAGTTTTTTGCTAGATCGGCATTTACCTGACCCAGTATCCTTCGCTTTGACCTCCACAGTCCAAGTACCATCCTCACAAGACCCAAAAAGTACGTCGCTGCAGTCACTCGTAAAGTGGTAGTCTAATTCGGGATCACGTCTATCTTCTTTAAAAACACCGACATCCACAATGACCCTTTTGCTTACCGTTTCAGACCCGGCAGCCGTGAAAGTAACGACATCTTGATACGCTCCTGGTCTTGTAGTTAAGGTTAGGCGCACGGTGGCCGTTTCCCCCGGATTAATCCACCTACTGTAGTAATAATAATAATTATTGTTATAATCGTGTTTTTTGTAAGGGGGTGTAGCGACTTACTACAGCGGAACCATTGACACAAGAAGTGACTTTTCATCTCTAGCAAAAAATCTTACTAAAGTGGGTCTCTCTCCGTTATTGGTAACCTCAAAAAACAATTGCGGTTGTCGTAATGCCTGCGTGATGAGTTCTGACCCGAGGCCCACGTCGACGGTTATAGGTGGTAGGTAAAACTCCTTCCGGATGTCATTTCTCACGTAGGATAGACGTTGGAAATCATTACCTAAACAGCCAACTATATAATTTGTCGTTCTTCGGAACAATATACCTTGAGCGTCCTTTCCATTAACGACAGCGTAAAAAGGACCCTTTGGAACGTTCTTTATGCTTATATTAAGTTCTTTTGTTACATTGCTTCCAGTGCCGTCGATGTTCTCCGTCAAATAATTCTCCCAGTTTTTGTCGGGTGCAAACTTGACATCGCGTAAGATAGGTGTGCCGTCTTCACCGATAAAGCTAACGTTGCTTATCGAGCTTACGTCACCGACTATTCCCAGTTTCACAATTTTCGGCCGTGTTTGGTTTTTCTTATTAGAACCTACAATTTTTTTTTAATTTGAATAAATGTAGATACGCATGCCCATATCAATTTAATTTCCCGCGTGTATTTAAAAATACCCGCCAAACGTATCCGCATTGCGTCATTAAACTTAATCTATTCTTAGATGCAAACATCGTTTAGATAAAGAGGTCAGCAAAGGGCTCCCGGATGTCCTCGTCCTAACCAAGCAACAATCTTCACATGATCTACAGTGTCAACACATGATTCAGATTTATTATTTGTGATCAGCTTTCGTTATTATTAAATTCCTCGTGTTGGTGCTCCAGATACGTACATTTGCATTTGTTTGTAAATATAATTGTGGATTTTTTTAATAATTGTAGCTTTTACGCAACTAGAATCATGACGCATCTAGCATCACGTACAAAGTCTACATAAATCGTTACAAACAGCGCACGGGTTCGTCAGTAGCAAAGTTGTCCGAGCGGTAGCAGATGTTTATTACCTGTTAGATTTTGGACCGTGACAATAGCATTCGTTGTAAGTTTAGTATGTGCAAAAATTGTTATGTTGTAAAGTGTGCGCGCGTTGCCTAAACGTAAACGCCAAACTCCGACGTCCTGCGTCGCCGTTGTATTCAAGTGTATTTCGTTTTCTCGAATAAATGATCCTACAGAAAATTGGGACACTCGGTCTGCGTTCAAAACATCGATGTTGTAACCTGGAGAAGTAGGTTTAGATTAAGTCGTGGGTAGTGAAGGTTTTACCTCTTGGTGTTGTTAAAGTTGCGTCGGGTATATCTGGGGTTATACTTATGTGGATACCTGTTACATCAGAATCGATTAGAAAATCTAGGTTATGAGTTCCGCGGAGGTTTTTCCGGGATAAAAGCAGCGACTGGAAACGGACTATGAACTTTGTTTCATTACGTGACTCATACACTTACCGATGATGTAAGTGTACCTATATTTTCCAAAAAATGTTCGTAATACAGTTCGGACAACCCTTTCCCGGGCGCTCGCAAGAAAGCCCCACGAGAAAACTGTGCCAGTTCTTTTAAAAGAACCTCATCGTGTTTGCCACCCCAAATTACGAAGACCTTGAAATAGTACGAAGGTCATGAGTGTTGTTGGTGCCGTGACCAGGATTCGCTAATTCGTAACTTACCTGAATTCGCTTTCTTGCCACCAGTGCCCGCGCGTGTGGGGTTAGCTCCTCATCTTCGATCTCCCCTTTAACGAAAACGACAAGGCCGCTGTTTGGAGGTAGCAAGTTAGCTGCATTCAGAATACCGAAGAACACAGCACTCGTAGTCGCATTTTCGTAGCCCAAAAAACTCAAAGGGCCGGGAGAGACCTTCTCGTTCAAAATTTCGTCAAATCTGCGCCTATTATTCTTGCTGGTTGCTAAAACCGGGCTAGCCCCTACGGTCATATTTAGTATACCTACGCAAAAAATAATTATTAATTTTTACCAGAAACGTTGAACTTGATGAGGATGAAGTTTAACTCTTCCACTTTGGGATTTATTGTGTACAAGTTTTTGACGAAGTCAGCTGCATCATTTAAACTTTGTTGTGTGTCGTCTATTAGGATCACTACGGGGTTGATCGAGTTGTATAGTTTGAGGAAGGTTCTTGCACTTTCTTCTTTTTTGTTGGGGTAGTAATGAACGTTCTCTGAAGGCGGAGTTAAAACTACAGTTCCGTGATTCTGTAGGGTGATATTTTCAATAACATATGCGTTAGCAATTAAAATAAGAATTGTTGATAATTTGATCATTTTTACGCACTAATATTCACCAGATGATAAAACTGACTGAAACGTTTCCAAAAAAATGGTTAGCTTTTGTAGATGACAAATTGTGGGTAGGAGCGGATATTGTTCAACGTTAACAATTATCAGTCTTATTATTACTACACAAATATTCTAGGGCAACGAGACACGTGTTATTGCATCTTTCGGGCATATACTCGTCATACACAAGTTGTATTATTTTTCTCATTTTCAGAAATTCCAAAAAACATTACTAATAATATTAACATTTCCTTTAATAATACTGTATATCTGAAAGTGATAACAAATTATATAATAATATGTAATAAACAAAATTAACACGTGTATGGTCAATATTATTCCAATAACAGCGATAATTATTATCACGCGTTGCTTTCGATGAAGCTTTTTCTCGCGGTAGGCCGTGAAAACAAAATGGATAAACATGTTCTAATTTGTTGATAAAATGATTTGTATGAATATTATGTCGCCAAAAAAGGTCAATGATTTTGATGAATACTTAAAAATTTCTCGTGTTATTTAACGATTTTGATGTTTGTTTAATAATAGTAATCTTAATGATTACCGAAACGTCAGTTTCTTGTCGCTTTTTGCTGCATGCAGATATGATATGACGTTCGCTTTCCATAAATATCCCGTTAACAACTTTGAAGCGTAATTTAATATCAAAAGTAAAAATAATAATAATAAAAACAACCACTTCCGCATAATTTCCACTCTATACTTAATTTAAAGTGTTCGCACGTTTTGCAGGTGTCAACGAACAAACATACTTTTAGGTGTGTCAACTGTCGACCTTTTAATAATCAGCTATTAACATTGAACAATCGTCTATCTCTTACAAATATTGACAGATTTACGATTGTTTAACATTTACGTATTCACTTTTTATTGATTACGCATAGTTCCTGTTTCCTAATCGTAGCCTCTTTTTCAGAGCAACCACCGCAGTTTGAAGAAAGTTCCGATTTCTTTGAAACAATCCCAACTAGTATAGACACTTTCCAAAACCAACAACCTTATGAGCAGACGTTACCAAACGAACCCGAAACATCCCTTCCCCAGTCTTCAAATTTAACTTCGGTGTTTTCTTCCTTTTCTAACATACTAAAACTGAAGACACCCCAGAACCCTCCTCCTACGGAGTTCATTCCACCTCCGGCGGGAATCGAAACCATTTTGGAACAACCACCAGTAGATGTTGCCCCAATTCCTCTTTTCCCAGCTAGCGGAATTACCTCTAGCGCTCCCAAAAACCCTCCGCAGGGTCCAGCGAACACCTACCGTAGATCGGGTTTGAAGAGACCGGTGTATGCCCAAATTCCCGGGTTATCAAATCAGCAACCTGTAGTACAACCCCCACCACCGCAAACTAGCTCGTATTTTCAACCCCAGGCGGTTTTACCGGAGGTCACACCTCCACATTCTGTTTCTCCTGTTGTGTCTTCGGTTTCTTCGACTCAAGATACAGGGGTTGGGTATTTTAAGCCGATTTCCCCACAACCAAGTAGTTTTTTGAGTGCGGTAACCACTTCACAGACTTTTACTCCTATATCGGTACCTGCACAACACAATTTCTTCCCACCGGTATCTTCAACTAATTCGTATCTTCAAAGTCCTGTGATGGCGGCCATTTCGGCGAATGATTGTCTGCAACCAGGAAATGTAGTTCCTCCTCTTTCGACTGAAATTGACGGGGATAAAATAACAGCTAATGTAATGAGGTGTGTTTTCCTGGCAGGGGTTGTTATTTGGTTGATTTTAGGGCATCAACCAGATCTATCGTCCGGTATATCATCATTGGTTCCACAAAAGAGAAGTAGAAGGGAAAGTACTATGGCAACAATTCTCAATGGTGGACTCTCTAGCGTTAGAACAAGCCTTCACGTCAAGTATATAATACCAAGATAGTCGCAACGGGTGTAAATTTGAAATTTCAGATGATTTAGATCCGGACAAAGAGGTGGCCACTGATGGTGGTCGTTACGACGTGAATATTTTGCGCCGACAACGAATTCCAGTGTACTGGAAAGGTGCCCCGACGGAAGTTCGCCGGTGCTCGTGGTTCTATAAAGGTAACTCCGACGGAAAATACGTTCCTTACGAAGAAAACATTGCAACGAAACTAGAAGAAGAGTTTAAATCGGCTTTCGAACAAAACCATTGGCACCGGAAAGTCGAGTTACCGAATGGCGAAACGGTTGTTTTTCATGCGCCCGATGTTCTGGTGCTCTTTCCGCCAAGTCAATCCCCGGACGCTTGGGGCAACACTCCCGTAAGTACACTGATTTGTGTTGAGGCAAAATTTCATGAAATATCCAGAACCAGCTGCGTCCACGAGTCGTCAAACGCGGCATGGACGAATTCGACATCGACGAGGGTGAACCGGAGAAAGTTGACCATCTTTTGTTTCTAGTACACGGTATAGGGTCCGTTTGCGATTTGAAATTCCGAACGGTCGAAGAAGTCGGTATGTTGGGAATTAACCGGTTTGGCGTTTTCCAATTGTGCATTTTTAGTCGATGAGTTTCGCAGCATTTCTCTGCAACTGGTTCAGTCGCACTACAGGTCCTCGTGCGAGCGTGGTCTTGCAAACCGTGTCGAAGTACTTCCTATTAGTTGGCACGAAGAACTTCATTCGGAAAACACGGGCATTGATCGCAAATTGAAAAGTATAACTCTTGAGAGCATTCCACGTTTGCGGGACTTCACAAACGATACACTGCTTGACGTTCTTTTTTATACTAGTCCGGTGTATTGTCAGACGGTCATTTCTACGGTGGGAAACCAGTTGAATAGAATTTATGAACTGTTTAAACAGCGGAATCCCGATTTCAACGGTGGGGTATCTCTAGGAGGACACAGTTTAGGATCCTTGATCTTGTTCGATCTTCTTTGTCACCAACAACCGGAACCGGAAAAAGGGGACACCCTTCCTGAAGGTAAACCGTAGCTTGCATAATTTCGTGATTTTTTAATGGTGTTGTAGATGACGAGACGGTTGTACCTGTGAGTGAAAAACCCCCACCTTTGCAACGACGCATGAGCAAAAGAATCAGTTACATGATGGGAGCTGTAGGAACGGGTCAACCTCAAATCCACTACCCAAATTTGGTCTTTCAACCAAAATCATTTTTTGCTTTGGGATCACCGATAGGCATGTTTGTCACAGTGAGGGGTTTGGATACACTAGGAGAACAATTTGCTCTTCCTACATGCCCTGCGTTCTTCAACATTTTCCATCCGTATGATCCTGTTGCGTATAGAGTGGAGTCACTGATCAACCCCGAGTTGGCGAAACTCAAACCTGTTCTCATTCCACATCACAAAGGGAGGAAACGAATGCATTTAGGTACTGCGACTCTAATATTATTACGATTATTATTATCACTACTATTATTTTTCAGAATTGAAAGAAACTATGGCTCGAGTTGGCGCCGATTTGAAGCAACGCGTTATCGACTCAATGAAAAACACTTGGAATTCGTTCTACCAACTTGCCATGTTCCATCGCCAAGATGAAGCCACTCTAGAAGAAGAAGTCGACAAGGCTCTCCAAAAACAGATACTCGAACAAGAAGACGTGGACGAAGAGCCGGAGCAACAACAAACTGATCAACCCCTAGGTCTGTTGAACAGCAACCGACGAATCGATTACGTTCTTCAAGAAGCCCCGTTTGAGTTCTTCAACGAGTATCTTTTTGCTTTGACTAGTCATGTGTGCTACTGGGAATCCGAAGATACGATGTTGCTGATTTTGAAGGAGATTTACAGCAACATGAATGTAACGGCTGATGATAAAATTCCGCAACAGACTATGAGTATTGAAAGACCACCGCCGTCACCGAAGTCTCTAAGAGCGGAGAATTACAATCACACGAACGATGTGACCGGGATGGATCCCACAGCACCTATACAACGTAATGTTAATTTAGGACCTCCACCTATGACTGGGTTTGTCAAGAAGACCTAGTATATGTTGTTTGAGTGGGTGTACCGACCGCTAGCCCAGAGGTACGCACCATACTTACTGTACAGTACGGATAGTAGGATCAGGAAAAGAATTCGGAAGTGAAACGTATTGTGATTTTGTTTGTTACAAATATATTTTTATATAATTATTAATTTTTACTTTGTTTTTTCTGTATATGAATCTATTCTTTGTCGTATTTATTGAACAATATAAGAGAGGTTTTAATATGTATTGAGTGTTATTTATGACCAAGTGCACCCGTTTAACTTTGTTTGGTCCCGTTACAGCACAAAAACTTCGTAAATGTGATTTCTGATTCATTTTAACTCACTTTTTAATCCTCAGCACGCGTGTAATTAAATGCAAACCGGGTTTCTACAACACAGCTTTATCTAGTTAGCAAAGATTGCGCACTTTTTTCGATTCAGATTTACCAGGTTTTTTGAGGTTATCATGCCGGAGAAATTGAAGAGGACTTCAAGTGCCGTGCATAGACCAAGGTTCACCTGATACCTAGGTTCAAAGGCCACGATGAAACGGCAAAATAAAAATAATATGTCATTATTTTATAATTTGAATACAGGATTACTACTTTACAATGACATCTTCTTGTTTTATTTCAGCTATTTTTTGCTGTTTAATGTAGTATTTTAAGGCCCATTTCTAAAACAACAACAAAAATTTGATTCTATTTTTAATAACTTATTTTTTTCTAGATTTTGATGCAAGTTCATCTTTGTCAACAGATTTGAATTTTGTTAGTGAAATAACATCCTTGAACTTCTCTGTGCTTTAAAACATTTAGCTACAAGTAATTAAAGCAGTAAAATTTTTACGTTCATAACTTCATGACACAGATAATGATTTTTACCTTTAACCCTTGTATTATAATTGTTGAGGTGTGCAGAGTTTTGAGTTGAATTTCGCGCGTTTCTGGCGCCGCCAGGGTAGCCAATGGCGCAGAACTAGGGTGATTCGTTTGACAGCCTAACCGACAGTTTTTCTCCAGCGGGTGGAGTCGTTTGTGATCAGTTAACAGCAACAAGTGTCAAAATAAAACTGATTTTAAATATAATATGGGTTGTGCGGTTAGTACAACAGGTGATAAAGAAGCCACAGAGAGATCTAAGAAAATAGACAGAGATCTACGAGCAGATGGAGAAAGAGCGGCGAGCGAAGTCAAGCTGTTGCTCCTTGGTAAGTAATGAGTAATAGAAGACTGATTTTCAAATTAGGAGAGCTTTGCCACCCGGAAATGCTTCTAAACTAGGCAGAGATTCCTCAGGAAGACTCTGTTCGTCTATTTCATTCAATGTAAAAATAGTCCACGTCGTTTTATAATTCATCATATCAAAACCTATAGTCAATTATTGATGACTTTTTCATGAATTATTTACACGTTTCAGGCGCCGGCGAGTCAGGGAAGAGCACAATCGTCAAACAGATGAAAATCATACACGAAACGGGCTATTCGAAGGAAGAATGTGAGCAATACAGGCCGGTTGTTTACAGCAACACCATTCAAAGTTTAATGGCTATAATTAGAGCTATGGGGCAATTACGGATCGATTTTGCAGACCCCAGCCGCGCTGTGAGTAACAGATGCTTACGCTAATCAATAAACAAAACACCGTTTTTTTTTTAAATTACAATCACTGTCAACCGGTCATTTTTAAATTATTCTTAAAATAAATGACTATAACCTAACTTTTCGCACAGTTTTTTGTCAGTTTAATAATTTTGCAGTCGTTAAGTAGGCTGTGCGAAATGACGCGCCATCTAGTGTCATTCCAGTATAAACGTTGATACTAAATTACTAACTTAACTCTTCAGAACAGGATTTTTTTTGAAAATTTTGTTAAATAGGATATAGCGCGGCAGTTCTTCACATACGCAAGTGCGGCAGAGGAGGGCGAACTGACCACTGACCTCGTCATGCTAATGAAGAAACTCTGGCAAGACCCAGGAGTCCAACTGTGCTTTGCGCGCTCTAGAGAGTATCAACTGAACGATTCAGCAGCTTATTATTTAAACGCACTAGACAGAATTTCGCAACCAAATTACATCCCCTCGCAACAGGACGTCTTGAGGACTAGAGTGAAGACCACGGGGATCGTGGAAACACATTTTTCTTTCAAAGGGCTACATTTCAAGTACTTTTTTCTCGTGTTTTGATTTCCGTTTTTTGATTGTTGTTTTTTTCGCAGAATGTTTGACGTGGGGGGTCAGCGGTCGGAGCGGAAGAAATGGATTCACTGCTTTGAAGGTGTGACTGCCATAATTTTTTGCGTCGCTCTGTCGGGCTATGACTTGGTTTTGGCCGAAGACGAAGAAATGAACAGAATGGTGGAGTCGATGAAGTTGTTTGATTCGATTTGCAACAGCAAGTGGTTCGTGTCGACTTCGATCATTTTGTTTCTTAATAAGAAAGATTTGTTTGAAGAGAAAATCGCGCGAAGTCCGCTGACAATATGTTTTCCGGAGTATACAGGCCCTAATACGTTTGAGGATGCGTCGGCTTATATTCGAATGAAGTTTGAGAATTTGAATAAGAGAAAAGACCAGAAGGAAATTTATACCCATTTTACGTGTGCCACAGACACTAATAATATTCAATTTGTTTTTGATGCTGTAACTGATGTAATTATAAAGAATAATTTAAAAGATTGCGGCCTTCTGATGTAATGGTCTGCCTTGTATGTTGTTACAATAAGTCTAAATTTATGCAAAGCATTTATAGTATGCGGTGTATAAAAAGAAGTGAAGCTGGTGGCGATTTGCGACAGCACTGATCTCTTTTCGTTCATTCCCTCCGTTTTCCAAAGTGATAAATTCATTGATTCAGTATTGTGTATGTGCATACGCGGCAGCAACTTCTCTTCTCGTGTTGTCTTATAAAGATTGTCTATTTATTTTTAACGTAAGTCTACATATTTGTATGCAATATTTTAACACAACTCTGGAGTTTAAAACGTTATGAACGAAAAATGGCGTAAATGTACTGCCAACGTTTTGTGTTGAACAATGAACAAATTATTTATGAATAAGGGAATCAACTCTTGTATATGTGTCTCTCTATGTAATTGCCAAAAGATGCTCATGCCATATGTATAGTAAGATATTTTTTATAACGATGTTAACAACATTCCTACAATATTTTTCTAAACATTTTTTTCTACGAGCATATCTGCCTTATGGTCAAATTAAGCGGCACTACATTATTTAGACAAAACGTCATTATTCTAGAATTGGCATCAAGTACTTGGAAGTGTGTCAACACTAGTTTAACTGTTTATAGTTAGCACAAATGTAATTGCTGTATCAAAGACTTATTTTTTATATTTTTGTATGTTCTTTATTCAGTAACTAATTATGTTTGTAAGTTATTTATACATTTTTGCATATTTTAAAATGTATAAATAATAGGTTTGCTTTATCGTGGGTCAAATAAACAATGTTTATGTACCTAATATTTTGTAAAATAATAACAAATATATGACGCCATCCATGACAGACAACAGTTTTATTGACGCTTGTGCTTGTCAATTTTTTTCCATGAGCGACACAGTTGGATAATTACTTTAACGGTAAAATAACGTATAAGTAACGGCAAATGCTGAACGCTTTCAAGGCCACCGAAGTATGTCTCGGAATGTACTCAATGTACTTTTGCCGAGATTGTATTTTTACGTCAATATAGGTTATGCAACCATATTCACACTTATGTTATATTGGTCGGCCGATGTTTGATAAATTGAATTGAACAGAAATAAATTGTTCACTACAAAGATACACCAAGAGTTATTTTACGAAAACGGAAGGTAGTAAGAAAAATGCGACAATAATAAAGAAAGATTTATTTAAATCCTATTAGTTAATGATATATAAACATGACTTAAATTACATACAATCACATCTTTGCTAAATTGAATGGTTAGTTAGCAAGTTATAGTTATGTGTACTTGAGAAGTAAAATAAAATGCAAGACTTGTGTAGTTAAAATAAAAGAACACAATTGGGTGCTCGTATTTGCACCAGAACATGAACAATTAATTACACTGGAACAAGTTACAGTTCAATAAGGCCTGAGCACGAACTATCGCCGAGCTTCTACATAAAATAAGTAACATTAAAGAGATCAAGCCCTTTGCAGCAGTCAGGGGCCATGTCTGTATGTACAAGTGAGCACAACGGGCCCCTACAACAACTTACACTAACTACATTCTATTTACTCAGGAATTTATTTTAACTAAAGTCATTAAGTAAAAAAAAACTATATTAACTGTGAATTACCGCACCAAAGACTTCTGGGTAAGACCCACCATATTCAGAATTCACGGGAAACTTATTGCTCTTTCTTTGACATCACATTTTTGGTACATCGTGACTATTAAGCATCAACAAACACCTCGCACTTGCCTAGTTGGTGTAATTTGTTTCAGCGTGAGGTGTGTCAGTCAAGCATTGTTAAAATTTATATCACACAACGATAAACTATTTTAATTTAATATAACAATAAATCACATTTTTAGGTATAATACAAATGTGCGTTTAAGATTCTCGCTTTGATATAAAAATATGGAAAAATATGAAGCTTCTTTTGTAACAAAGAACTTAATTACTTCTTATTTATACAATTATCGTACAATAACGTTTCTAGTGTTAGTAGTTTTTGTTTGGTAATTAAAACGGTTGCTGAATATGATGATAACTTTGTCTATTTATATTAATGAAGATTACCCCAAGTATGGTGCGATAATGATTGTGGCAATAAATTACATAAAAAATTAGCATAATGAAGGGAAGGAACAGAAGTGTGCGTCTGCAAAATCGGAAAACGCGTGAAAATACTAAAGTATGCAAGAGAACAACAAAAACGATGTTAATGTATTAAAATACTGACGACACCAAGTATACTTCAGTACCGGTTCTATTGTTGTCTTGCATATAAACAATTTAAAGTACGATAACTTATAATAATAAAAAAAAAAAACCGAAACGAATTAACTAATTATAATAAGAGATGAGAGCTACCATTTGCCATTCGATAGATGAATGATTGCAATTTTTTTTGTAACTTATTGTAGGACTTTGTGGCATGCTTTCAGAGCTTACTGACAGTCAAGAATAAGTCAATCCTTAAAAATTAATATTTACAGTAAAGTCTACTTACATGTGCAACTTAAGACATTCTACTTTCATTGCTATAGGCACTATCTGTACACAATCAGTTAACAATGGGACAAGTTCTTCAAATCAATAGAAAGACTGAGAAATGAAATACCTGCCACATCATACACCGACGAAATTTTCTTTTTTCATATTTTCTTTTATACTACAGTATCGAGCTTATATCAATTAATCTATGATCCTTAAATTCAATCACAACAATTTAAGGACTTTTACATAATTTAAATAACAATCAGGCAAGCGTTTTACAACATTTTGGTACAAAAATGTCTAAATTCATACAAACTACGTATCACTTGACGGTTTAAATGTACCCAACATTGTACAGACAACAAGCAGTTTTTTAAATCGAACAAAAATAATTAAGCTCTTAGTCTTGATTCAGTTTATAATTAATATAAAGAAACTAAAGGCCATTTGACAGATCATTAACATCGTTGTGCTCAAAACAAAACACACTACCTAGTTATACCCTGAAATAGTCATCTCATATGCTCAAGTTATGATGTTAATACATATGTCTTCATTGTGTTGGTCTATAACTTCCAAATTAGACTTATAGGTAAATGCAAACAATATTGAGCAAATCATAACGTAAAATAATGTAGTAGGTACAAAATTGCAACGAAAATATTCGAAATATAATCGACAATTCGAAAGTCAATTTACTTATTTCCCTATCGCCATCTCACGTTTTATTCAATATTTATCGAAACGTCAAAATTGAAAACTACATATCTTGCACAAAGCCGAAAAGATAAGGAATTCAAATTTTTATCGTTATCCCGCAAAAAATCCACGTTAATTTTCAAAATTTTCCTCTACGTTGGCGTCAGTTACTTTTTCTTCGCAGTCTTGATCATGGTTGCAATCTGTACAAGTAATATTGCCTAGTACATTAATCTATTAAACAACGAGGAAAAAGTCGAGAATTAAGCAGTCAAATGTAAAGTCGTCACATCTATGTTCTACAAATGCTCGTCCCACTTACGGAAATAAGAAATAAGTGAATCTACTCAACACCAGATTCTATCGTAAATTTACAAACACGTTGAAGAATTTAATTCTCAATATGTACACCTTTTTGTTATTTACCAAAAGAAAATAATAATAATAAAAAAAAAAAAATAATAAAGAAGCTTTGATATTGTTTATGTACTTTTCGGTGTAAAAAGCAAAAACAGTCAGATAGTTGAATCGTCAATAAGGACTATTAAATAAGTAAAAAAAAAATCACACGTCGAAATAAAATAAAAAATAAATAAATAAAAAGGCGAATAAATATGAGTGATGTTCGTACTTGACGAGCTTCCTTTCACCGAAGCCCCGCCTCCCGCAAATCCGCGACGAGGAAGCCCCGCCCCTTCGAAAGTCGTATCAGAGGTTCGACCATTTCATATATATTGCACGTGAAAGTCTAACTGGAGCATGAGCACTGATGTAGTTGACAATAAATAAATAACATGACACGAACGTAACGATTATGAGATGGAGGAATTGACACAGCGGAATGTACACATTCCACAGTCTCACAGTCCGAATTGGCAGCGTCGCTGACATATGCAATCACAATAACGCGTAACGCGATATGATTCTAACTAATCTAGTGGGCTTGGCTACGTGACTGGCGGTAGCTTGCCCGAATGCAGCGTTGCCGAGCGCTCCTCGCTGAGCTGCACGCGGACCTTGTTGCTGCTCGTGAGCGTGTTGCTCTTCGGCGTGCGCACGCCGGTGGGCGTGGACCGCGCGCCCGACGGCTGCTCCGCCTTCTCGTTGGGAGGGCGGGGCAGCCGTCGCCGCAGCCACGCGTGCCGCAGCGCCGCGCTCGGCGTCATCCGCACCTCGGGGTCCCACTGCAGGCACCTCTGGATGAAGTCCAGGAAGAGGGGGTCGTCGCACCCCTTCAGTGCCCGCTTCAGGTCCTTCGAGCCCGGGGGGCCACGCGGCTTGCCGCGCCGGCTGATGCCCGCGCTCAGGATCACCTTGCCGTCGGGCATCGTCGAGCACGTGCAGTACCGCGGGATGCCCTTCGAGCTGATGAAGTTTTTCGCGCGCTTCGATTGGTCCAAGAGTTTCTGGGGGGGCATACCTAGCAGCTCCATTATGCACGCCAGTTGGTCGGCCTCGTCCTCGCCGGGCAGGAGGGGGAAGCCCGTTAGCAGCTCGGCGAGGATGCAGCCGAGCGACCACATGTCGATCGGCATCCCGTACTTCGCGCCGAGGATCACTTCGGGGGCGCGGTAGAAACGAGACTGGATGTAGGTGTAGACGCGGTTTTGTTCGTAGCATGAGGAACCAAAATCTATTACCTGCAACAGAACACTTACAATTATTAACGCATTTATGGAATCTTAAAAACAGAAATGGACAGAAAGGGGACCGCTGAGCTAGCGTAATTTGCTCCTGCTAACTTAGCTAAATTTAACATTACCGACTCGGCGTAAAGGTGGATATCGCTGCAAATTGTCGTACGCGTGCGCGATTGAGTCCAATGCAACGCACACTAGAATTCTTTTCGTAAATTGACGTTTCGTTCGGTTCGAATTTATCGGTATAATTTCGGAATTTAGCGGCCAAGTTAGTTGTTATAAACGTTGATATTTTCGTGCCGGCAATTTAAAAAATGGCACTGTCAGTTTATCAAAACAAATGGGATCCGCTGGCAATACGAGGAGTTATTGTTGCGAAAATCAAAACGGTCGTTCTCACGAGTATTATTATGGAGGCAATTTAAAGCGAGACGTGGAATAATAAATATTACCCGCACATCCTTACAACAAAAACAAACAGCAAATTAAATTTGCCGAACAAGCTAACAGAAAACGAAAACTCCGGAGTCTCGAAGTAACACAATAAAAGCGGAATCTTTGAAAGTTAAATATTTGAAAGCGGGCTTTAACTAAATTACACCCTTGCAGACGTGTTTTTGTTGTATTCAAAACGCGAATTATGAAGTTGTGAAAATTTCGTATAATTTTGTGTATGTTTATTAATCAGTACAAAGAGAATAGAATGTAAATCCCAGCACGCCACCGGCACATTCGTAGCCGTAAACTGTTCTCTAGAACACTTATCGATCTGTTGCGACTTGATGGAACATTCGGCTTTTTCTGGAACAAATTGTGATGTAAATGACGTTTTTATTTTTTGCAGCAGTTTTATGAGATATGTTCCCGACCATTACTCTTGATGTTTGTTTTTTTAAAAAGATCCGTTATTACTGCCGCATTTTTATAAAAACTTTCCGTTTTCGTCGGATGTATATATAGAAATTAATAATTAAATCATCGGACAACCACGCTACGTGATTTTTGTCGTTAATGACATCCATTGCGTCAATTATTGTTTTGGGATTAGAACGATTTATTATTATTATCTAATCTATAAACACGAACCGAGCGTTGTTAGGCAACCACCGTTTTTGCTAATACCCACTATTGTGAAACAACGTTTAGTTGCAATTGCAGAATGTAGCAAACAATAAACACGAGCTGAAAATACTTCACAACATTTACGATTGCACTGTCTAAGCCGTATTTCAAATTAGGCGGAACATGATCGTGCGTTTCCTTGGCCCATTTCTGATTTATGACATCATTTTTTGCGAAGGAGAATCAAGCGGAAGACGCGATTTCTTCGCTAGTTGTATACGACGCAGACTACGAAAGTTCTCGTGGGGCAAAAACAACAACACATGTTGCCATAAAACCGCACGGTCGTCATTTAGTGGCTGCGAGCTTGATTTGTGTTCAATAAAATGAAGTGGGAAGAAATTTAGAATTTGACTTCTTCATTTCTTTTCGGATTGCAGTCTTACAGCCGTTGACCCCGTATTCACATTATTCTTTCAAAATACTTATGTAAAATCTGTAATTTGTTTAAAATATATGGGAGAAAGTACTCAACAAAACGTCGTTATTTCTTTGTTTTCACTGTTATAAGCAGTGACAATGGTATAATTTTCTAATGTATAATGAAAACGCGACGATGCGTCAAATATCGTGACCATCCTGTGTACACAAATATAGACGAAACAGGAAGTCTGACTTATTGTTAATAACTAACGATAGTTTGGAAGTTAGGGAATTTGTAATATCCCGTTATCTCGGTAAAAACTAAAGTTTTGCTGTTTTAATGGGTTGAACAACATTCTGCAATCAGAAATGGCGACAAACTGAAAACAAAAGTGTCATGAACTCAAATTCTTCAAGAGTGACGAACAATTATACAAACGCTAAACACTTTTTCCGTAAACAAGACTGTAACTCATGGTAGTGAAAAAAAAATGGAAATTAAAAAATTGTTTAGCCATACCTGGTTTATTTTGTTTATATGACGTTAGGCTATGCTTGTATTTTTTAAATATTTTTTACAAGAAAAATGTTATATATGATCGAAAAAAGTCGTCTCGTAGACCATGAAATTTATAATTAGCTGTCAATATAATTTCAAAGGTTGCTAGATGACTTTTTTCTGGCTCATATGGATCAACTGGAACAAAAAGTACAAATAATTAAATTAAAACACACTAAAATGGTGTAAAAAAAATATATCGAAAGTACTTGAGTTTAGCTGTTAAAGATGTGACTTTTTTTTTTAAACAGATTACTAGGTTATGGCCGATCGATCTTTATTTGTACACTGGATTACAGGGTTTGACCCCTATTCAATCACGTCTGGAATCAAGATGATAATCAAATTCGGTAAATTGTTTAGTTGAACTGAAATTTAGCGAAAAAATTTGTTATAAAATGTATGTTCAAATAATATACATAATACATACATAATATTTAATGCAATCCAATTCTCTTAGTCAAGGTGCTATTTTACCTAATGAACCAGACGTGATGGAATTTTTGGTTAACGAATCTGAATTAATTAGTCGTAATTCTAAATCAAAATATGCACAAACAATACGGTCCATACATGCAGACAAAAATAAGAGTTGTCACTCCAAATAAACATCATAACTTACATAAGCGTTCTTTGATCTAATTTGTTGGATAAATTTTGGACAATTGTATATGTATGGAAAGCTCTTTGTCATTAGTGTTCATTAAGCAAATTCAACCAAATTTTAGACATAATGGACTATATTTAAATGCAAAGTAGAAATGTTTTTGGTATAAAGTATATGTAAATTAAGCACGAGCGGCTTATTTTCGTTAAGTGCGGTTTTACTAATTCAAGCCCTAATAAATATACATGTTTTAATTTTGATTTGGTGGTCTAATTGAAGGCTTAAAATATCGTTTTTGAATTTTTCCAATACTCTGCAATTAAATAGAGGATGTTTGTATGACGTGGGTTACGATTATGCCGTGCTTAGGTGATAGGCGACATCATGCCGTGATTTAAGGGTATCGTTTTTGGGGTCGTAGAGAAAGATATGGACTGACCTTGAGTCCGCTCCGTCCCTGCTGCTTCAGGAGCACGTTTTCAGGCTTCATATCGCAGTGAATAATTTTGTTCCGATTAAGAGCATCGAGGCATTGTAGTAGCGAGTGACTAAATTTGCGTACTAACTGTAGACTAAAGCCCTGAAATTTGTTTTTCTTGATAAGTTCGTAAAGATTGATGGACAAGAGTTCGAATGTGATGCACATGTGGTTCCGAAACGTGAACGAATCGAGCATGTGGATGATGTTCATTGTGTTGTCCTTGTCCTGCTTCCGCAGGTGCTCCAGGATGCGCACCTCCTCCTGGGCCTGTCTGTGGAAGCGTTTCTCGTTGCGCACCATCTTCAGCGCCACGTGCATGTGGTTCTTGTGGTCGTAGGCCTTCACCACCTGGCCGAACGAGCCCTTGCCGATGACCTTGAGCACCTCGTACCGGTAGGCGACGTGGTCGTGGGGAATGTGCAGGTAGGAGCCCTGGTCGTTGTCGTACTCGCAGTTGTTGGGGTTGCCGATGATGCCGGGGCGCTTCTTCGCGTTGGCCCCGATGAAGTAAATCTGCGAGAAGTTGAATATCTCGTGGTGCTCGTACGGCGTGAGCTTGTTCATGTAGAGCTTCATCACCTGGTCGGGGGTGGCCACCATCGTCTTGTGCTTCTCGGGCGGGCCGGGCGAGCCCTTGGCGGGGCGCAACGCGGGCTGCATGCACTGCAGCGCGCACGAGCCGACCACCTGCAGCTCGGGCAGCCCCCCGGCGGCGGCGGCGGGCGGGCTCTGCTCCTTGGCCGGCTTGAGCGGCGGCAGCGCGCCGCCCTCGGCCAGGTACGAGTGCGACGACACGGAGAACAGCTGCGTGCGGGACATCGGCATCTTCACGGAGTTGGCCACTGCGGCGCTAGACATCTCTAGCGCATTTCCGACAGCCCAGAGGTTGATGGCCAACCATTAGAGCGAGTTGCTAACACTTCACGCGCCACTGCGATCGCACCCTCAGAACCCGCGCGGGACCCTCATGCACATGCTTCGCTACCCGTCCAGGCGCCCGCTTTCCCTCGTCCCGTTCAACTTTAACACAAAAACATTTTAACTATAACAAAGAGATTTTGGTTATTTTACAGCCATATTTCCGATGGGTCGCCGAGTGCTGCCGACTGGCGGCGCTGCCGTAGCTCGGTTTCCCTCGCGCCGGTTCGACTCCCCCCGCGAGCGTTCTTCCTCACCATTCGCCCGCGCAAACGCGCCGCTTTTCGAATTTCAAACGATTAGTTTTAACGCCGCTCATTAGCAATTAATATTCGGGCAATAACGTCGACATTCACGCCGCCAACATTTTGATCGATGGTTCTTACCGCCCGCTCTTCCGATTCCCTATTTGTGAATTTTATTTACGACGTTCGTCCTTGACTCGACAATTAAGGGTCATTGACTCCCTCAAAAGTTATGCCAGCCAGCGTAATTACGTCAATATAATCGAAATGACTATAAAACGTTGCACTTGTGTTGACTCTCCGTAAAAAATTAATTTTACATATTAATCGCGCTTCCGTTTTTTTCTTTTCAACGCCGGTCGTTATTCTCTCTAAACCGGAATTAAATTCCGTACTAAAAATTATCAAGACGTAGCTTTGTTTAAACTCGACCGCGTTGGTTTATTTTTATTTCAAAAATCGGGTTTCCACTACACATTTAAAATAAATTAAAGCTTCCCTTCCTGCATACGACAACTAATTAAAACGCCATTTATGCCTTTTCTTCTATAATAATTGCCCAGAACAGAATGCCGTTATCTGACGACGATCTATTTTCGAGACCTTATCAGATATAATTAACTTTCACTACGAGAAAGAGATGACACAAATGTAGCTAATTAAAACTCCGATAAACTAAAGCTCGTTGCACTTCACAAATGCAAGTCATATTAAATGGAAAATGTCATTAATTTTTATTAACAAATAAACGCATCTTATTCATCCGAAACTTGTTTTACTGGCGTCACAAGTATCCACACAAGGCGATAACAAGAGTTCATCTTTTGTATGCACTTGATAACATCTTAAAATGTCGTAAAAGAGAAATTACTGAAAACGTAAATAATTTTCTTAAAATACTTTTATTACTTTTGCCTTCATATTTTTTTCCTTTTGTGAACGGCATGTATCATTAAGGTCACTAGTCGTAAATAGCTACTGAAAAAGAATTTTTGGCAAGTCGATTCAACTCAAAAATGTACGCAGAGCCGTACTCGCTCTTTTCAGTTTTCTAGATACAAAATTTTGAATATCTCCTTTCAAATGTAATTTTTCTAGATCAGGTTTCATTCTTCTTTCACTGATACGTATTTCTGTGACATAATAAACAAAAAAAGTTATATTTATTAGCATATTAAATGTGTAAAGAGTGTTTCGTATTACTATGCATTCAAAGACATTAGTACATTGTGGTGCAAATTACCCTAATATTAGAATGAGTAAATTCTGGTAAAATTTGGCCGAGGAAAACCGGAAGAGTTTCAAATTGCAGATAAATTATTAAAACAACACATCTGGTACAACGTGGTAACTCGTCACAAATTCTTTTTAACTTTATTTATTTTCATTAGTAAGGTGACAGTAATTTGCACCATTACGGTCACACATTTCCAACAACTGCAAATTTTGCTTTCGAAAAAATTTTCAAAATTTGCGTTACAAATTCGTTCTTCCATTATTTGTCGTTAATATTTTTTTATAAACTTGTGTTGCGTCTGTGCTAACCGAATAAATTTTTGTTTGATTTCCGTCACTATTTTTTGAAAGAATGTTAATTTATTTTTAACTATCTTCAGCGGCGGCTCGTGACACAACCAACATTGGTTATTACATATTTACTTTTTGAAGTTAATTTGACAGTTTGATGAATGAGGCATGCTTTCTGGGCAATAGATGATGAAAGCAAGTATCGCACTAACGCTGAATTAAATTTAAACTCGACTATTAAATTACATTGATTCGAAATATTGATGAAGAAATTACAGAACATTGATTGTGAATTAATGGAGTTATTCTAAAACATTGAAACGAAATAACACTTAAATTAAATAACCACTTTTCTCTGTGCCATCTTTCAGTTCAACTGTTGAAATGAAATTTCGAAATGTCAGTACTGTCAACATGCGTAAATTTTGTAGCTTGTCTTACAATATTGACAGTAGTATGAATGAGTTACACGAAAAAAGAACATTTAAAAAACGTTTTTTTAATCTTCTTTTGTTAGACTGGTTTTATATAAATAAAACAATTCCTTTCCCCTCCAATCTCCAATTAGCGCCGCCGCTGGCTACGCGGTCTTGAGACTTGACGTCCCCCAAATGTCATTCGTACTGCGCCATTAGCGCCATTTTAAGTTGTCCAAATTTTCCTAAAAATACATAAATAAAAAACGTAAAGTATTATTTTGTAGTATTTCTTAAATTCAGAAGTTACAATGGCTTCCCGCGTGATATTAAAAAAGCCATTAGAACTAGGCAAGATCCTTTTTAGGGTAAGAGAGCCCCCTGTTGCATAACCTCGAAACACTTATTTATGCACTTTTAGAACCAATCAACGATGTCAGCGTTCGAAATTCAGCACAAGACACCCCTTATTAAGAAAGTCGTAAGTCATTCCAACCATTTCTGCTGATATTCCTGCAGAAAAATTTTAGGCAGCAATCCCCGTAGCTTTATATGGGGGCCGCCACGCTGTCACTATGTTACCTGGGGGCGGAATCGGCCCAGAATTAATGGGTTACGTGAGAGAAGTATTCAAATATGCAGGGGCTCCAGTTGATTTTGAAGTAGTGGAAATTGGGGACGAAAACACTGATTTGGAGTATGCTCTAACGTCAATTAAGCGAAATGGAGTCGCTATAAAAGGTTAATATAGAATTTTAATTGCGTAGGTTTTAACTTTGATTTTTATAGGAAATATTGAAACAAAGAGCGAAAGTGCTAGTGTAGTGTCAAGAAACGTGGCGATCAGAAACGAATTAGACTTGTTTGTGAATGTTTTACATTGTAAATCTTATCCTGGGGTTCCTGCACGCCAAAAAGATATTGATATTGTTATCATAAGGCAAAATACTGAAGGAGAATACGCTATGTTGGAGCATGAGGTTAGGAGGGTGCAATAAGGGCGAAAGTCCCGTGCGCTGAGCACGTTTGCTGTTACGTCATCTGTACCTACACAATTTTTTTCGATTTGTAGAGTGTCGACGGAGTGATTGAAAGCATGAAAGTAGTCACAACATCAAATTCTGATAGAGTGGCGCGATTCGCGTTTGAATATGCCAAAAAGAATGGGAGAAAGAAAGTTACCACTATTCATAAGGCGAATATTATGTAAATACAATTTTTTGTGAGGTTAAGTTTACTATTTTGTTGTTTTTTTTTTAGGAAACTCTCTGACGGGTTATTTTTGGAGACATCTAAGCGGATAGCCAAGGATTATCCAGAAATTGAACACAATGACATGATTATAGATAATTGTTGTATGCAGTTGGTTTCTAAACCTCATCAGTTTGACGTTATGATTATGACAAATCTTTACGGAAGTATTGTTTCAAATGTGGTTTGTGGGTTGATAGGGGGCGCTGGTCTCCTATCCGGGAAAAATTACGGAGATCATGTAGGTTTCTATGTCAGTTGGAAATTTACATATAACCATGTAGAGGCTCCACGTCGTTTTATTTTCTAAGTGATAATAGATTAGCAGTATGTTCAATTTTTAATACTTAAGTTGGTTTAGTAGTACATAGCGCATGCGCCAAAATAGGCAAAATGTAGAACAATGTAGTGGAGAAAATACTATGGAATTCTAAGAAATTATAGTACTGTAGATTATTTATGAGAACATCTATAGTTAATTTTCTCTGCTATATGCATTGAAGTCTAGTTTTTGGCAAATTATTACTTTTGATCGTTTCAGTACGCTATTTTTGAACCCGGAACTCGAAATACAGGCACAGCCATCGCCGGAAAAAACATCGCTAATCCCATCGCCATGTTGAGTGCTTCAGTGGCCATGTTGAAACATCTAGGACACACACAACATGCCGAACTTATACAACGGGCCATTGAAAAAACGATTTGTGAAGAGAAAATACATACTCCTGGTAATTCAAATTTGTGTTTTTTCTTTTCAATATATATGTATATATTTTTGTAGATTTGGGTGGTACCGCAAAGAGCACTGACGTTGTCCAAAGAATAATCGATAACATTTTACAGGCCGATATTAGACCTTGGTAATTTTTTTGTTTTTTTTTTAAACTGGTGTTTGCTTGGTGCTAAATGTATTTCCGTCTCTTTCTAACAAAACTAATTTTCTTGTGCCGCAAGTGAAGTCTAATCCTTTGTAAGTTTGCAGTTGTCCAGTTCACGTGTTAATTTTTTCTTTTTTGTTTGTTTTACAGAATCTGCGACGTTTTGTTTCTCACTATTGTATAAAATGTATATAGATCTTGAAGTGCTGTATTTATTAAAACTTCAATTGTACCTTTTGATGACGCTGAATAAAACCAAAAAATACTAAAAATTTCCATTTTTATTGTCACATAAGTTACGTTAAATTAAAATTTTACAAATTGTAAAAATATAAAAATTTTGCCTCAACCGTCATACATTATGGAATGTAATTAAAATAGTGACGTCCTGGAATCACATTTTCGGGGCAGGCCAAGTGTATGTACCTGTGTATGTAAAATTGTTGTTTATCAACATTTCGTCGGCTTCTTTTGGTCCACGACTTCCGTACCTGCAAAACGTGTATGTTGCGTTAAAATGTAAAGTCGCTTCGTTACGTTTATTATCCGTCATAATAATACTTACGCATAGGGAATTGGTTTGACCTTCTCGTTTTCGATTTGGTGCAATAATGGCGTGAAGATCCTCCAAGCTTCGCTCAACTCGTCCGAACGGACAAAATGCATTTGCGAACCGCAAAACACGTCCAAAATTAACCTCTCGTACGCGTCAGGTAACTTAACACTCTATAAAACACTTATATAATAATAATAATAACAATAATTGTAAACATACAGAGTATCTGTGTCCATACGTAAGATCTAGTTCTGTTTCTTCCATATCGAACGCCATACCTGGTGTTTTCACCATCAACTTCACATACAGAGCCTCACCTGGTTGCACTCTGATAACCAGCTCGTTCCGTTTCGGCTTACCGTCGAAGATATCTCCAGGAACGTCCTTGAACTGAATACGGACCTCAGCCTTGCGTTCGTTTAGTGCTACAAATCATCGTTAGACGTTGATTAGACAACATATTTATGTAAAATACCCTTGCCACACTTTAGGATGAAAGGCACTCCATCCCACCTCTCGTTATTGATATGAAGAGCCGCCAAAGCGTACGTGGGAGTCACGGACCCTTCAGGCACCGTCGGATCATCCAAGTACCCCAACTTCGCCTCTTCCTCGCCGTCCGGATTACCTATATATTGCCCCAAAACCACATCTTTGCGTTCGATCGCTCTAATGCACCTCAAAACTTTGACTTTCTCGTTTCGGATATCGTCAGGATGGACGGACGCAGGTTTCTCCATAGCAACAAGAGTGAGAATTTGGAGAAGATGATTCTGCATAATATCCCGTATAATACCAAACTCATCGAAGTACCCCCCGCGGCCTTGAGTACCAAACGGCTCTTTGAAGCTGATCTGGATAGAGGCGATGTTGTCGCGGTTCCACGTTGGGTTGAAAATGCGGTTACCGAACCTAGAAGACATGTATAAGTACCATTTCGCGCTTGGCACGGCAGTACCTCAAAGTCATGAGATTTTGCACCATTTCCTTCCCTAGGTAATGGTCGATTCTGTAAATTTGCTGTTCCGTGAATAGGGAGGCTAAATGATCGGAAAGTTTTTGCGAAGAAGCCGAATCGCGGCCGAAAGGTTTTTCTATAATGATTCTGGTCCATCCTCTGCAAAAAAAAGGGGGACAAGGTCAAGCAAGTTGCATGATGACTCATTAGCTTACTTTGGAGCCATGCACGAGTTTCTTATGTGGACCGTCACAGGCTCGAATACTGAGGGTGGAAGGGCTAGGTAGAATAGTCTGTTTGCTGTAGGGCCCTTCTCAAAAATGCAAAGTTCTTGATTTAGTTTCTCAAAATCCGTTCTGGAATCGTACGTGCCAGAAACGTAGTAGTTTACGGTCCAGAACTTCTCAAAGCGCTCTTCTTCATTGGCCCTAACCTTAAACGAGCTAGTTAGTGTGGGCGGGGCAAGTGGGTGGCGGTACCTTCATGTAGGGTTTGCATTTTTCTTTGATTTCTTCAATGGAGGTTTTGCTTCTGGCGTATCCATAGAAAACGGTATTAGCAGGGAGGAGGTTGTCCCTGTATAGCCACCACAACGTCGGGTAGATCTTTTTCCTAGCTAAATCACCCTATATATTTTTTACTTTGGTAGTATTACCGCGTTTATGAGAGGACTTACTGATGCTCCAAGGGTCACAAAGACGTGCGGATACTGTCCATCGAAATGGGTCCCATCGTGGTCCATTTCTTTGGACTTGAGTGATTTTCGGTACAGGGCCAAACACACCTCCGAATTTGCTCCATCTGCAAATATATAAATTACAATCAGTTTAAGACTTTGTGGCAATTTACCGTCGTCATCTACTTTAAACAGCGGCATTTCGTGAAGAAACGATCACGTTATTGTGGTCAGATTAACGCAGAACTAACTTAAATACACGATTAGATGACTTTCATTTGTATTTCAATAACACAGTTTTTCAAGGTTATTAAATAAATGTTTATTGCGACTATTTATAAAATTTCCCGCCAATTCCACACCGGGCCAATTTAAAATACACATTATTATTCAATCGGTCACTAAAAATAGACCTTTGAATTTTTTACGTTAATTAAATCGGCTTTTTAAAAGTTTGTTTTATTTACATTATGTTAAATGTTTATGTGGACAATTTACAATGTAAGTAAGCGGCTATTAATTCGCATTCTGGGAAAGATACTTAATAAAAATTATCCTTCAAGTACATTTTCTGTCGTTATGATGTTAGCCGATGTTCATTTACATTGAATTTCTTGTTGTTACTGTTGTATTAATATTAAAAGGCGGACGTCAATTGCCTGTCGGACATGTGTGGAAGTATATTTTCATCAAGCAGTGCGTGAAGTTAAATTCGGGAATGAGGAAATATGAACATATTACATTTCTTAACTGTCGAGTACATAAATAATAATTATCACGGCCTACAGATCTTTTAAATTAGCCACTATCTTTTTAAGTATCGGTGACTCCGCAAAAACGTGGTGCATTTGAGTCCATCACGATTATTGGAGAAAATTAGCAGATAACCTTCTTTTGACCTGCCGCCTTTTCAAAAAAATGTATACCCATAAAAATGCGAATTTTGAATGAACAATAGTCGCGTTAAACACTCACACGCTAAAAAATATGCACACAATGGTATTTGCAAGGGTTTTGTGTAACTATAAACAAACCCACGTGTTTAACGGGTGCCATTGTTTAGGGATAGTTCGAGATCCTAGTGGCATCCCTTCGAAAATGCGCGACCTTGACTGGATTATGCGATACAAAAAACCCGCCAATTTATTAGCTGCGCATATTACAGGTAGAAAAAGGTTTAATAAATAAAGATAAGTGCTTTACTTACGTTTTGGTGTTGTGGTGGTCATTGTAAAATATTTAACACAGTACTACGACAAAACGAACACTTTTCGGGACGAAACAACGAAAAATTTTGGCCCAACTATACGAAACAAGTTGTTTGATGCGTTTGAATATGCAGGTAGGAAATATATGGCGACGCTGCGACAGATGTTATTGTAGTTATACTTGCGAAGGAAGGAGATGGGAGATGCAGATCGTGTTGATGGATTGCGTGGGGTGGTACGCACACCATATGCTATGCAACGATTGGTCGGATTTTCATCAGTTTCCGCCAAATTAAATTATCTCGAATTTTTGCCATTTCATGCTATTAGCAACAATACTGTTGCTCACAATTACGTAATTGTAATTACTAAGGTGTTTAGTAGTTATCAGTCAGGTATTGCTGGTGACAACCAGTTGGAGTGCTGATAGCCAATCATTTGTTATAGGGTGGGCTTAAACAGAACTTGCTGAGTTCATTTAGGATAAATTTCAAAATTTTCTTTATTCATTCATTCAACATTTTTAACTTGAAAGTGTCCTACAAACAATCCCTAGTGAATATATTCAGCAAAAGCATCAACAAGAGTCAAAAATTCTCACTACAAGTTACAGTACCTAACGAAGTAAATTATATGTATTAAAAAAGAAAGGAGTATAAAATGACTAGCTCATCTTTGGCATAGATTAAAAAGTATTTCAATTGTTTTTTCTGATGTGGCGTCTTCTTTTCATGGCCCCCGCTTGTTTGAGGAGCTGCACGTTTTCATCATCACAATCCAGTGATGGATCCCAGATTCTCAATCTCTTTGGCAAATAGATTAGTCCCCCTAGAGTGACACCTGTAATCAGCAACACATAAAATCAGCACTCATGCTTGTCCCTTTTATTGATCAATAGATATCAGTGTTTGACATTTCGCATGGCCATCCCAAACACTTTTTTTTAAGCACTTACAATTTAAAACACACGGAAAAACCACATAAAAATTGAGTGTCGCCGCACGGAAGTATAGAGTTTCCGTGATGTACATGATGATTGTTACCAAGAGGGAAAAAATCCCCATGCTGACAACCCTACAAAACAAAAAGAGTGATTGCGCTAAACTTCATTTCTACCATACGGTTTATAATGAATATACAGGGTGCAATGTATCAAAGCCAACGCTTTTAGAATTGAGTAAACACCCAGTATTCTTGAGGTAGTATATTCCTCTACAACAAACCAATTACTTCACACCCCTAACCTAGCTCTAACCTACCATCGACAAAATCTGTGTCTGAGAAAGCTTTGCTTAGAAAAGACCGTTTTTCTATATAACTTCTCACGGCCGTACCTAGATCCATGAAAGCAACGAAGGCTATCCACCCTCGGAAGGCATATATCATTTTTCTATCCATTTTTTGGGTGTTTTTTCCTGATTGTTGAAGACCCGTCTAGACACAATCATTAAAGGCACGTTAATATTAGCTCAACAAACTTCCATTGTTAACAGGAAATAGAACAGATATGTTTGAATTGTTGCTTTAAATATGTAAAAAGTATCATAAGAGCATTTTCAAAAGACAGGGTGTTGGTAAAAGTGGGGTTATATTTGTTTGTCGCAGAATAGGGGGCAGCACTAGAGACAACAGGCAACCAGGGAAAGTATTTTCGCAGGAACCTGTAACGTCAGTGTATTGATTTTTTTCGGTTCGACACAAGAGTGACGAGTTTCAAGCGAGTGTGGGTAAATGGCACGAGAGTTGAAATAACGACGCCAGCTTCCAAAATTTGTTGTATTTTTGCAGAAGCGACATATATCTTTACAACAAATATTATTGTACAGTATTACCTACATTAAATATGATTTAACGACTACATATTTAATTCTAAACCTTATCTATATAAGTTAATAAATTAAACAATGACATATGAAGCTAATTTATAATAAACGAAGTAACTCCATTAATTTAACACTTTTAACATCATGACTGACGCATTAAATTATTTCAAGTATAGTACAAGATTTTGTACGCGGTACTCTCAAAGATTCATACTAATAACTGTATGAAGTATAGAAACTTACAAATACAACATTAATAAAAACATGCTAGTTGCTTAATTACAAAGCTGATTGAACACTAATGAAAATTTGAGTGGAAGACGAGATGTGACACGGTAAAAAAAGTTTGAAAGTTTATACCATTGAACAATTATACTGCCACTGACGACGATTCCAGCTGCATTTTCGCTCGGACAGTGGGAACATCATCTTCTATTCTTACGAGAAGCCGAATTTTCTAGAAATCGCCAATTAGTCCCAATTAGAACACGAAATCCGTACTTACGGTTTCTCTATCCCCTGGTGTGACAAACCAGAGCCAGATCATGTATCCCGGTATACACAACATGGAGGTCAGCGCCGTAAACCATCCGAACAAATGCGCCCACAATGGAAATTCATAGTTCAAGTATTTCACCGGAGTCCATTGTATCAAATTAAATATGAACACGCCCTGAAATCGACAATTACAATTGATTTATCTTTCCGCTACATCTGACGTACCACACAGATAACCGGAGTAGTAAAGGTCCAGCAGAACTTCCACCAACTTATAGGGTAGTAGCCGATCATTTCCTTGATGCCGTCGTAGAATCGGTTGACACCGAAGGCCCACGAGATCGCGATGCACTCGAAAAAGATGAGGAAGAGCAAACAGAAGCCGCTGACCGCGTAGGAATCCAGGATTTGGAACACGTACATGCCACCCTAGAGTTGGAGCGTTAGAAGTGCTCAAGTCAAGTTAGATCGCGCGTACCTCTGAGATGCAGGACAATCCCACGAGGTACGAGAGGAAGCAGACTATCGCGATGAAGATTTCTTTCCGCTTTCGGAGCAAGTGGGGCCACTCGTCGATGATAGCAGTGACGAAACCCTCCATGGTGCAGAACTGCGAGTCGAGACCTATGAGGAGAATCATGAAGAAGAACAAGCAAGCCCATAAAGGAGACCCGGGTAGCTGGAGGACTGCGGAGGGATATGCCAAGAAGGCAAGTCCAGGTCCTGAAACGAGCATAGTCGTGGAAAATTTACACTCAGAGGTTGCATCTACCTGAAGCAGCGACTTCTGCTACCGGTTTCTGCTGTTCGTGTGCCATGAATCCGACCACTGAAAATATGACAAACCCGGCGAACATGCTCGTGCTCGAGTTAACGCAACACACAATCAAAGCGTCCCTGGAAATTCGTATTTATAATGTTAGAAAGACTAGAAGGTGAGGCAATTACTTATATACATTATTGGTGAATTTATTATAGCTGCCGAGGGCTACCAACGTTCCTAGGCCTAAACCGTACGAGAAGAAAATTTGAGTAACGGCATCGATCCACACTTCCGATTCTTTAAGTTTCGCGGCGTTCGGCATCACGTAGAATTTGATGCCTTCCATAGCTCCGGGTAAGGTGACTCCTCGAATGAGGAGGATGGTCAGTAATACGTAAGGGAATAGGGCGGTGAAGTACACGACTTTGCCGGTCCATTTGACGCCCTTCCAAATGCAGAAATAGCAAACGATCCAGACTAGAAGCAAAGTTCCTGCCAGTTCCCAGCGGATTGATCCCACATGTTCTATTCCCGCGGAAATTTGAAGCGCTCGTCGTCTAAAAACGGAGTAGTTAGGAGGCGTCGGACCACAGTTACAACTTACTCCCAAAATTCTTTAACTGGGTCTGTTAGTTCGGTTACTGAGATGTTATGTTGGTTAATGGTGCAAATTTTGCTAAAGGTGTTATTTTGGAATTGCTCCCAACATGTTAGAGAACTGCGGTCGTAAGGGTTAACACAGTATTTGGTGTTCCAGTAGTTATTACAAGTGCGCCAAGGAACATCTAAATCGTTAGTTTTAGTTTAGTTAGCGACTTTTCTTTATTTTACCTGATCTTAACGACATGAAGAAGTAGAAAATGGCCCAGGCTAAAATCACTATGTAGTAGATGTTCATCCAACATGACATCACCGCAGCTGCATATCCGATTCCTGCAAAAGCCACACCTAGTCTCGGGTTGGAAAATCATTTTCGGTTACCTTTAAATATGGGGGCTATTTTGAACACTCCCAAGCCTCCGATCGTCATCATTTGACCTAGTGCGAGCTCCATGAAGAACATAGGTATTCCAGCAAGGATAAGTGTTATAAAGTAAGGTACAAGAAAGGCACCACCACCATTTTTATAACACAAATAAGGAAACCGCCATACATTTCCTAAACCTATAGCCAAACCAACTACCGATAATATAAAGTCTAGTTTACTACCCCACGTCCCTCGTTCGGGTACATTTTCGTATTTTTGCGGTTGTATTTTATTCGCCGAATTCGGAACACCGGTTAATGTTTGTAACTCGATTTCTTCGTGTCGATTTAAGTTAAGGGTATTTTCTAAGCAATCTTGCGCTTCTTCTTTCCTCTCTGCCATTGTCTCAGAATTCTTCTTACGCTTTGCGGGACGTCAGCTCATTACAGACCAAGGCCGAACCTGCCACCAAAACGACATCAACGGTGTATGCGAAACGTTATTGCATCAACTGAACGCGACATGAAATTTGGTCAACGGTTCGCGGCCGTTTACGCGTTTCCGTCGGCAAGTTGTCGGTCAAGATTCGAACGTTAAACAATGCGAGTGTCCAGGTTGGTTAATCCCCACAATTGCACATGTCGTTTGAGTTGGTTAAGTTCGTTTTCGGCGAACTGACGTTTTATTGAATTAAGCGCTTGTTGAATGCAAGCGGATCGAAATTAGTGCTCTAGATATATTTATATGTAAAGTTGTGGTCCTGTCATCGCGTGGCAGGTCTAAATGAGGTTTAATTTCCGGGTTCGTAGTGGCAGGTGTCAAAAATTTCAGTGGGTCTTGGAGTTGGATCCACTATCTTACGTGTAGCTATTTTGGGAGGTGAAGGGACTCGGACAAAACGTCGAAATGGGTTCATTTCCACTTTTCTTGGTGTTTGCCGTGACAGTTGACGGGAGTTTCTTTGGTAAATATCTCGATGCGAGGGATAATAAACAAGAGCTTCGAAATGAGCGCGTTGTTGATTTTTTGCGAAAAATAAATCAGCTGGGAGCTATAAAGGGAATTAATTGTCCTTCGTGTTTGAGGAAGCGTTTAAGCCGAGAAACTCCCTTGAAACAGAGAAACAGTTCGGTCCCACATAATTATATCCGAACTGAAAGCAAATTGCTATTTTAATTATGGCCCTTATTACGCTCAATTTCTTGGGGTAGATGCTCACGAGCGTGTAAAGCGTTGTATTGAATAGAGAATAGTAGGTAGCCTTTGATGATTTGGTCGAGAGTCGAGAGTAAAAATTGAGATAAAATCCTGAGTATTAAGCCGGAAATGAGTCCGAGCTTCAATCCCGGGATTATTTCGCGGTTTGGTGGATTTGGTTATTAATTCTTGAAAAATGGAGTATCGTGGATGCACCTAACCGGGCTGGAACTAAGTACATCGCTGTAGGTTGTATTATGCATACTATATCTAGGGCACCAATATTATATAACTGGGTATTTCCGCCAATGCTAAGCTTGCTCATCTAGTGTTCGTTCCCTTGTAAATCATGATAGCGAAATTGAAATAAATGTGATATTGTGGGGGTCCACAGACAGATTGTTTTAATAGGGGCTTGCGTCAATTATTAAACCGACACTTTTTAATTCATAGAATCAAAACGAGTCGCGGAGGATTTGCGGCTCGAATCTGACACCCACGAACGATTTAGGAAAAGCCGCGATTTTTCCGCACACACACCCATCGGACGTGCGATTACTGTTTGGGTAAGAATAGGCACGTACGCGTTCCCGGTAAATACCAACAAAAAGAAATCGAAAATCGAGCCGATCGGAGATGTTTGCTTGCGTTCAATTAAAAATTCCGTCCGTGTTCACCTTCTTCGTGGACGCGGTTCTTGTTTTTGGCGCGAGTGGACGAACGACAAGGGAAAAGTCGCGAAAGGGCGCACGGTCATATTTTACTTGATAACTAAATAAGGGTCTCACATTACGCAATATTTACCGATGTAATCCACGTGGTGTGTAAATTCACAAACACTTCACTACGCGGAAATGCGACACCGAACACCGAGAGTGGTCTTCTTGGAGCACTCTGGACCACTGACTCCTGCTACGCGCTACATCGACAGCCTGTTGGAAGCCCTAATCAACAACGTTATCCACCAATCGCGTTGTCATCTTGCGTGGGGAGAGGGGCTAAGGGATATTTTCGGCAAACTCTTACAAAAATTTTCCCTCGTAAGCTTTCGACGATGAAATTCGATCGATGGATTTTCGTGTTTTCAAATGGATCGATGGACGTTTTAAATTCGGCTAAACTTTTTTTTCGAGGTGTACCCACATGCAGATGCTCATTTGTATCGGATTCGTAGGCGACGCCAATTTACCAATTTGAATAATTGGCTAATTTTATTTTCGTATTGTTTGCTGACTTATTATATAAAGTAGTTGCCTTGAGTAAATAATTCATGCTTAATATCGTGAAAGCAGGGGTAAGAAGGCGCTCGCTGCGAATTCAAACGATTATTGACATTTTCGACAGGGACTCTTCCCCGGATGATTTTTTCCTCCCGGGTGTCGACACTTCCAATTTCGCTAAAATTTTTAGAGCTTATTGGAATCGTTGCAAATAATGCATGCGCCCCTAGTCATTTACAGGTATCCGGTCATGTGACATGTATCCTGCCATTGCCACTTCCTTTCCCGTCGCCCTCAGAGGATGTACCTAACCGGGAAATGATTTCTGCAGCGCGACTAGTCATATATTTAAATATTATGGCTCGTTCTAATTATTTGACACTGACTTATGTCCAAAGCATCCGCCCAGCCCGTCTTAGCGCAATTCCCGATTTTCAAAAAAACGACGCAGCGATGGACTTTTTTGCATTTTCGGCGAAGGTGGAGCGGGCCGAACGGGGATTCGTCGGGGGTGATTATGAAATATTTCTCTCAGAAGCATTGTTTCAAACCCAATTGTTAGAAGCCGAGGACCTGTCACTCACTATTAAGGAAATACAAACTTCAATTGTTGAACTTCTCTGGTTTCGCAGATAAGATTCTACTGTTCCTCATAAAATAAAGGACTATCACTTTCGCAGCTAAAAAGAGACCATTTTTGCTCAAAACGTTCGTCTGTTACTTTTGCTCAAACTTGTGACGAACTTCTGCAAACAACAATACGCTATTGTATAACCTGTTGCCTTGTGATTAAAACGACAGGACTCCTTGAAACCTTTATTCACGTATAGGAGAATACAGCAAAGATAAAACACGATAAAACACTATAAAAGTATAAAATATGACAAAGAACAAATGTCATTTCAACTACTTAATTAACTACAAATTGGAATTATTAAAAAAAAAAATTATTAAAGACTGGAATATGGTGGCGGTAAGTCTTCTAGAGCTACCATTTCCTGTTGCTCGCAACTTGCATCAGCTGAGTACAAGTTGATTGTGTATTCGTTGGGTTCATGTGCTTCTTGGTTCGGATTTTCAGCTGCATTCATAGCCAGTTGCAGTTCCCGCGCCATAAGTACCGAAACGAAATCCTTCTTGAACTTTTCTTGCTTTTTATCCTCAGAGAACAAATCCGTTGCCTGTAAAATAACAATGAAAACAAAGTTCCACAAACCCTACAACTTACTATAAACGCCGCCATCAAAACTCCTATAATCGCACCCCCTACGACGTCCTGCAGATGGTTTTCGTTGTAACGCCACAGGTACCACCCGTACAGGAAGCTCACCGATCCAGGAACAACCAACGCCAGCAACTTCGCAGCAAAGCGCTGGCCCTTGTCCAGATGACAGGTCACCAGAAACAAAAACACACTCACGTAGGAAGTGGAGCAGGTTACGAACGAAGGGAAGGAACCACGAGCCTCCAAATCAAGAGTGTGCACGCTCTTCTCCATCAACGGTTGAGAGCAGTTCTGGCAGCAATACAGCCACTTGAGTCCCTCATTCTGGAAGAACGAAGGGATGGGAAAGCTGATCAAACTTTGCAGAACATAGGTCACATCCCAGCTGAGCAAAAAACCCAGGAAGTAGTACACTGAAAAAATAAAAATTTTTGTTAGTGCGGGCAATGGTCTCAAGTGACGTACTTATGTTGAGGAAGTTGTTGGTGGTTGCTCCGCAGATGAACATCTCGAGCGAAAGGAGCAGCACCACGATGGTGGAAACACCAAGAACGGTGACGATGGGCCACTTGTGGTCCACAGGGGTGAGGACTTGGTCGAAAGTCTGCTCACCGCAGAAGAGGGTCATGTTGAAGGCGTCCACATCGATCTCGGGGGCGCTTGAAACAGAGAAATGGTAATTTGTACATGCTGGGGTTGTAGTCATACAACCACGTACTGAGTTATTATTTGAAATTTAGAAAATGTTAAAATAACAATTTAAGCCTTTTATAGTTCAAATTAAAACATTCATAACCTAAAATAGAAAATCAAAATAGCAAACACGAAAAGAAAAACTTTTAAAGTTTTACTTGATAGTGCACCAATGTTTCAAGAACTGCATGATGAGTGAACAAATAAAAGTAAGTAGGCGTTTCAAGAATTTTGAAAAACCCTTTTCAAGTTAAAAATGTTTTTGATTGATTATAGTTGACCTTGCAAATTTTGAAGAAATTTTGAAACACTTCAAAATACATTCAAAATACAAAATAGAAAGTCAGAATCACAAATACTGAAAGAAAAACTTGTAGTTAAAAAGTAACGCGTGGCCAAAGAACCTTAGACAACTTCATTTAATGTTAAAAATGTTGATTATTTTGCAAAACAATGAAAATAAATGCACAAAAGTACTTACATAAGTTTTCCCTTTAACAAACAACTGAAAATTTTCAAAACTGCAAATACTCTGTATTTGGTCATTTTGAAAATTAAAAGTTAGTAGTGATAAAAAAATGTAAAAATCACTTACCCAGTGAAGAAGGAGGCGGCGGTAAAGAAGATAATGGTCAGCCAGTGAAAAGCAATGAAAAGCTTGTCCGTGATCCAGCCAAGCTTTTTCTCTTTAGCTGTTGCACAAAACCAATTTAGTTAAACTGTTAACTTCGAAAAAGTATTCTTACCGGATTTTTTTTGCTCATACTTAAATTTGAATTCAATCGGAAGCATGTTTCTTACAACTGAGGCTTAAGGCACTCGGGGAGGCTATATAAAAAGTAACGCAAGTGGTGGGGAGAGCATAATCGTATCTAAAGACAAGGAAAGACGATATGAATACATGAAGGCACTATTAGTGTGTAATCTTTGATTCATACATGAAGAATTTTTGATTTCTTTTGATTGACGTACAATTTTTGGATAAATTTTGACGATCAAGAAACTTAAGAGGTCAATTGTTTCCAATTTTTGGACCTGGTTTCTGTCACCGTGAAACTAAATTTTTCCCAGGTTCAATGATTCATATTTATTGTAGCAACATAACGATAAGCTAAAACTGAAATGATACATCTTGAAGGAATAATGTTACAATAACTAATTATCTCGAAAGAAACTCAATTCCTGTTGCGGCCGATTGTCTTACTGCAAATTTTTGTTTAAATAAACAAACAAAGGTCACCAACTAGACGAAATCGACGAAATTTAATGTTTAAGTGTTAGCATTTGTAACAATGTTTCCTACAAACTTGGTGGTAAAGAAATTTTCAACAATTTTATGTCTCTTTAGAAAAATGTCAAAAATTTATTTTTGACATTTTTTAATTTTAATTTAATTAATAAAATTTTGGAAGTACAAGGTCACTATCGAACAATAAAAAGTGAAACGGAGCCAAGACAGAGCCCTGTGATACTTTTTTTATTTTTTCTTTCAACATGAAAAAAAAAGTTAATACACTATGAAATAACTGGATTTTTGATATTCTAACAACGAATGTTATTGATCGAAAAAGCTAGAGTAAAAGATAAAATTATTCTCTGTGAATTCTTGCGGATGGTAAAATTATCTAAGGTAATGCGAAATAATGTTTTATTTATTATAAAGAAAATAGCAACGACGACACAAAGAGCAATAGACGCATAAAAGGACAAGAGTAGACACATAAAATTTGGAGATCAATGTCGTGGAAAGCTTGTTAGATCCGTTGAAAGAAATCTGTAGACGTGATAACTTCATGGCGGCAAAAATCTGGTAATTTATTTTTATCGTCTGGCATTTTTTAATACCTTCTCGAGGTTTCTTTGTAAAAATTTTGCTGACGCTTAATCACGAGCGATTTTCCAATAAGTCATTGTTCTTGAAAAAGCAGTTTATCTCCAGATGCTTCGACTATCTATCGGAAAAATTTATAAACCTGGCACCTGTGAAGCTATCGTGGAAAATCACATGTTAGGAATGTACATAGCGACAACAAGGTAAAGTGCACTGATGTAAAAATCAGATTAATTACTTTTGTGGATGTTTTCTTAAAATGCTGCTCCATCTGTGCTCAATAGCCCGTCTTAACTACCCCGATAAGAATCAAATAGGCTCCGAGTGAGATTACAGTTTCAACTCTAGCACCATCTCTTGGTCACTTTCCAGCCTGGAATTGCAGAGACTCTTGGTTTCTGTCGATTCATGCCGTTAGGAGCAATTTAATACTCAAAGATAGTGTTCTCGTAAACACGAACAGGAAATAGCAGAAGCGTGAATGGGAATTAGAAATAAAAGTGCGATTTGGTTGTCCATTTAATCAGTTCCATCAAATTTTAACAGCTACAGATAAATGTTTCTAGTTTACAACGACTGCTCTAATTTTACACAAATAAACTATTTTTTTTAGTATCACAATATTTTTAGCTTAAACACACGTCTAAGACTAATTCGATATGATTCATCTATTCTACGATAAATAAATCACATTTAAACAACTTTGTACGAGTCTCTTAAATTACGACGTTAAGGAACATGGAGATTTTCGAAATAAACACACAATGTATAGAAAAATAGAACTATTCTAACGACGATCGAAATAAATTTGATTTTCAAAGTTTAACGATATAGTGGGGATTAACAGATGCTAGACGATTATTTACAATAAATTCGTTCCTTTCTTGGCACATCACTTAAAACTGGAAATTGAGTATATACAAAGGAAAGCTTGGAAGTAAAATTGCGTTCGTTTTAGCACCTTCGTGTCTCATAATTTTTTTTTTTTTTTTGAATGGGGAAAATAATTATTTACACACTTTTTACATTCTTACGGCTAACCCAATCAGCTCCTGGCGTATATACAGATAAAACAGGAAGCTATTTTACACCACACGTGAGGCACAGACGAAAGAAACATGAGCAATAAGTAGTATAAAATCGATAATTAAAATCCGAACAAAGCAATATACATCACAATATTTAATACTGATTCATCTCTACAAATACTGCTAAGTCTCACATCAAGATCAAGAATACTCAGTTTTGAAGATACACCTAGCAAAATTAGTTTTTACTGCAATATTACTGCAATACGTGTAAGGGCTCAACATCAATTAACTTATTTATATTTTTAAACATTAATATCAACAAGAAAATCGAAAATTTAACACGGATTTCAGGACATATATCTTGTAAATACTAATTTTGGTTTTGGATTTTGACTTTGATTCTTATATTGACACGTTAGGGAAGACACAGTTTAACTCAGAGAACTTTCTTCAATGCTGGGACTTGGAAGGGCGTTCGGGTCACCATTGGCATGCTTTTGGCCCAATCTTGGAGAAGATCTTGAATTACTTGTCATTGACTGAATCGTTTGAGAGCGAGGGCCTGCAAATCTCATGCTGTAAGCGGGACGGTCCTGCGCAACACCCTGAAACCACAAACCAGTCATACACAAAAATGTGACAAATAACGATTTTCCGACTTCGAAAATTTCCTTCGACGGTAAATGAAACTATATTATTAAAGCATGATAGTGTGTGTGCCAAATTATTAACGTCTTTGATGGTACACATCTACGTGATTAAGCACAAACAAATAAAATCAGTTGTTTGGCACGTCTTTATAATTTCGGGCTAGCCACAATTTTGTTTTCGATTCGGATACGAGCCGTTAATTTGGAGTTAACAGCTTTGAAACGAAAACAAAGCTGTGTTGTATCAATAATAGAGCGACATACTTTATTCTCAACGGCGTCGCACAAAACTGGTGCACTGACAAGTGGATCGAATTATTTAAAAGTCGCCCGACAAAGTGAAATATTTGTACCCATTTTCAAACGGATTGTGAGACGTTAGATTAAATTTCTAAATTTTCGCACTTGTGTTACAAACCGCAGGTATTTAGCTGTTTAAATTTCTGGATGTTTTTGAAATAGTTGCGTAAATTATCCGTGGAATCGATAAGCTGAGTGAATCGTTTGTGATGGGCTATCCCGTCCGGGGTGATATAATTCAATTTGGATGATTTGATAAAGGGTGGGTTTTAAGAAATCGATCCGTCAGTCAGAATTTGGGGTTGTTTAGTGTTAACTCACCTGGTTTCCGTTGCCTTGGCGTACGTTCTTGTAAGGTTGGAAGAGAACGAGATAAACTTTTGGGGTAAATAAACAGCCCAGAGCAACAGTTGCGCTGATGTTGAGACACATGCACATGCTGACTATCTGGATCTGTCGGCAAAGGGTTGTTATTTTGGGTGGTAATACGTTTTAACGGATTACCTTGTAGTCGTTATTTGTTCCAAAGTAAATAGGAAGAAAAGCCAGCCAGACAATACAGGTCGAATACATCGTAAATCCAATATACTTAGCTTCGTTAAAATTCTCAGGAATTTTTCGGGTTTTGAAAGCGTACCAGGTGCACAAAATAATGAGTATCATATTATAAACCAGAGACATGATCAAGGAGAAAGTTGAAACTCGGCAGGTCAAGACGGCTGTTAACGGGTACGGGTATATTTCTCGAATATCCGGGCGCTCAATCACCAGCCAGACTATCGCTCCAATCAGTTGTATTGATACGATCCCTGTTGAAAAATGCTTTAATCTCAAAAAACCACCAGCAGACAGCCCCGGAAACCGGCACAGGCAAAGCCGAAAACGGCGGATGCGCCGGGAAACCCATATTTCAGTATAACTTCACTCGACGCAAACAAAACAATGCTTCGCACTAAACCAACGCAAAAATATACTACAATATACTCATTTTCTAGTTAGAACTAAAACACGATAGTTCCGTCTCTCTCGCACCCACGCGTTTCACAATAAGACCTGAGTATCACACGGAGCACTCCGAGCACCTCTAATTTGTTCTTTGTTCTCTTCTTCGTTCTGTTTAAACAGTAAGGATTCCCTTCAACGAAACGCACTTAACGAAAGACTAGGACCGAGCTTTTTTTATCCGTAAACAAATTTCCAAGGAAGCTATCTGCGACAAGTTGTGCCGCCTCCGCGTCGGTAAGCCGAGGTAACTCTGAATATCTTTCTCATAATTTCGGTGATTAGTGTGTTTACTACTTCCCCTCGTTTCAGACTTTTTACCCTAAAGAGTGATTTATATGTAAACAGCGCACATCAAGTCATATGCATACAAATTATTATTGTTTCGATGCGGCTCGATCTCGGCTATGTTATAATAATTATTTCGTTATCGATATTTTGCTAATTTGCATGCGGCAATAAAAATTAACAATAACAATGGAAGTGGGCTGTAAAACAACGCAGCTCTAAATGGAAAACGTAACGAGAAATGAATTGTGAATTTGATGCTGGGGCGATCTCCAATTGCATAAATTCGTGCTTCGATAGATTCGTCCACCAAATGTTTTAATAATAAAACGTCATGGTTCTGTCTCACACAGAGTTCAAACGTGATCCGCGATTTTTTGTAACTGTACTAAATTAAGGCGCCACCTTCAAGCTAAAAACAACGGCGTTTATAAAATTTCAATATTTTTATCGGTTCTCAAAATATAAGGAAGCGAAGTTTTGTTCAGGATACATGTAGAAACCTTTGGCGCATAGCCATAGGAATAGACGTGATAATCGTAGTGGTGTTTTATGTAAAAACTGATAGAAATGCAGCGGCCCACTATTGTGTCGAAGTCGTATTGTGGCGTCGTGGTTGAAAAATGGCAACCGTGAGTAATTCGTGTCATTAATAATAAGTTTGAAAATTAGTAATAAAATGAACTTAACTCGGGCGCACATTGAAGTTTTTTGCGTTGTTTTTTGTAAGTTGGCGTCCATTAGAGCGGGGGAACAATTAGAAGAGTTGATGAAAGCAGTGAAAGGGTGATTTTATGGGGCAAAAATGCAGTTTTGAAGAAGGCGCTTTATAAATCACGCTTGAAATTGATGATGGTGCTTCTTTCCCTGAAAAAGACGGTATTTACTCACCGAGAGCGATGGCGACTTGCGAAATGGGCGAAGTATAAACGGGTCTTTTGATACTCTTCACTCCTCGATTAAATATCCTGGAGATGCGATTGGTTTTGGTGAAAATGGCGCTGTAGCAGACGCTGAGGCACAAGCCGAGGCCGATCCGCATAACGGCGCAAGTTTCGACTGAGGGTTTAGCGAGGATGACGAAGGACATGGAGTAGCAGCAGAGGACGCCGCTGAGGAGGACGTAGCAGAGCTCGCGGCCCGAGGCCATGATCACCGGGGTGCGGTTGTAGCGGATGAAGACGCAGGTGGTGAAGATGGTGCAGAGGATGCCGAAGGAGGAAAAGACCAAAGGGACGAGGGCCCAAGGGCTGAGCCACTCGATGACGAGCGCCTGCAGTTTGTCGCAGTCGGTTTTATCCTTGTTGGGGGCGTACCCGGGCAAGCAGGATTTGCAAGTGTCGTTGAAGACGTAAGCGTCCTCCCGGCAGGAAACGCACACCCAGCAACACTGATCCTAAAAGCGACGATTAGATGTCAGAATTGCCCGGAAATCTAACCGACACCAAACTTGCCTGATAGTTCCTTATGTGCCCTGATGGACATGTTTCGCTGCAAATTGACTTGGGCATTTCGCTGCTCTCCCTCCACTGGATCCGGCTTAAGTTCAGATTTAGCCTAGAACGCCGTAAGAAATGTCTATTATAAATTTCACTTCCGTCATCGACCCTTTGCTTATGCTAAAACAACTTATACATACGTGAAATGTAGTTTCCCTCAAAATTTATTGAAATCAAAATTGGAATTTTAAATCCGCTTTCTGGACCGCATTTGCTGACCTACACCCTTATAATCTGATAGAGGTTTTAGCTGCAAGAACAATCACAACACGAGATTTTCTTCGGTTGTGGAATTGGCGCAGTCGGTAGGATCGCAAGCGTCAAAATCTTTACAAAACGCCAGATTTAGCCCTCCGTCTTTCCAAATTAACAGCAGTTTGTAGATCATCCATTCTGCGCTAGCTCGTTTTCTTCGAAAAAGCAGCCACTTGATTGTGGCGCGTTGTCGCAATCAATGGAGGTCTGACATTTAAAAACAATAGCGAAAAAAATGAAATAATTTGTATTGGAATCTCACACGCATGAGCAATTGAAATAAAAAAGTATAGCGCGAATGGTTGTGAGGCGAGAACAAGAGGCAAATAATGAAGGGAAACAGAATCGATGAATGAGGAATAATCTGAATAACCGCCTGCCTACGTTTTGGTTTAAAAATTAAATAGACACTGTCAGGTTTCTGTTTTTCGCATGGGAACGACAATAAAATAACTCCATTATTTAACCGAAATGTAATAAACATTGCCAAGCTACTTCGCTTTAAATTATGTACCCTCTAATTTTATTTGAATACGATTTAATCTCGGAGTTCGCGAGAGCGTTTAACTAGTTTTAATAATTTTCGGATTGAATTTTAAGCAAAACGTTTACGTGTTTTGGCAATTATAAGTAGTGTTATAAAATTGAGATTGTTGTAAAATTAGTTCCTTGGAAGCGTTGTAGCTGGATGATTAAAGTTCATAAGCAACCGCTCATATTGTATTCTCTAATGGTGGGTTAAATAAGGTAATTTTCCGGTGTTATAACAATAAGGATGCACACTCCGGAGGGAGCTGTCTGCACGAATTTATCCCTACATTAGAAAAACTAATAAAGAAAATTAGTCAAGCTTCAAGTTTCACACTTTACACTTACGTGAATAATGGAAACGGAACCGTGCTTGTTTTGACAGTATTTTTCACGTTTCACCGTTTTTGAAACACTTTATCATCTATATGCTAGTACTAGAGTCGCAGAACTGTTGTGTTGAACGTAATTTATATGTTTTGCGGATATATAAAATTTTTTAAGGTAGTCGTTGTAAGTGTTTTGGTGGAAGTTCATACGAATACCACTTTCAAGATTGTGAGGATGTGGCGTCGTAAAGAACTCGAGACATTTCCTTGCAATATTTTCAGCTACGTGCTGGAATAGAACTTCTTTCAGTTGCAACGAGCATCCAAATGCATTCCACGTAATTATGTGTCCTGAGTCACACCAGCGCGTTGCTTATTTCCACGATCAACCCGTATGTTTACAAATTATGGGCAGATCAATAAATGATACACGTGGAGTATTAAAAATAACATAAACACTATAAAGTTTGTAGTTACTCAGCTGTAAAAAAATTCTATCAAAAATGCACTTATTGCATTAAGTTAATTTCATTTACAAACTTTTAAAATTTTTCATAACACTGGATATAATTGCGATCGAACGTAACACTAATAACGAGATGTTTACGGAAAAGGAGATAGAATTACTCCCGATAAAACTACGGACGACTTCGAAGAATTTTATCCCTAAATGCTTCGTGTCCGCTTCTTGGTAAACATCTTTTATTTTATAAAGGTTGCACTGTTTGAAAAATAACTTGAATACGCAGATATTCAGTCAGTGAAAAGATATGCATTTTTTAAATTGCTCTGTTGTTAATTGCGATGTGCTGATTTGAGTAATATCATAACTATTTTTCCAGATTAAGAAAAGATAAAATACCTAAACGTGGAAACATAAATTGCGATTTGTTCGGATCAGTGAATTTCCCAAAAACCTGAAAAGGAATTGAATAACAACTTCATACATTGCTAAAAACAAATTTCAAAAAATAAACTTTAATTTATTAAACTAAAATAAATATTTCTAATATTTTCGAATATCTCGATGTTGCTCCGTGGCCCTAAATACGCTATGTTTTTGAAATCAGCACGTCGACATCTATATCCCTGAATTTTTTGAGAATTTTTAGACCACTATTTCAAAAATGAAATTTTTCCAATACTGAATGTATATCCACCCCCTTATGCAAGTTTCGACCCATTTTCGACGACTTTCGAAATTGAACTAAATACATCTTCTTGTAGATTTTGGGCATTTTATATCTGAAATGTAGACAAAAAGCTAAAACTAACCCCACCCACTTCGCTTTGGAATTTCGTTGGGTTATTTGATTAGATGGAAATTAAACTTTATTTTGTGGAGTGGTTGAATTTGCTAAAAAAATTCAAAGTGGCCCCGCCCACCCACCCGGTTTTTCTTCTGATCATTAATTTTATTAGACAAAAAGGAGGTTTTATGTTGATAAACATTGGAATCTAGACAAAAAGGTAAAACTAGCCCCACGCACCCCCGCTTTTGAATTTCATTGGCTTTTTTCATCGGATAAAGACTGAATTTTAATTTGTTAAGTGGTAAAATGAGCGCTTAGAAAAATTCAAAGTGACCCACTCGGTTTTCTTTCAAATCATTTATTTTATTGAACAAAAAGTGGATTTCATAGTGATAAATAATGAAATTTAGACAAAAAAGGTAAAACTAATCCCACCTATCTCCGCTTTTGAATTTCATTGGCTACCTAGGCTTAAAAAATTCGAAGTGGACCCGCCCATTTACCGGGTTTTCCTTCTAATCACATATTTTATTGGACAAAACGGGGTTTTATGTTGATAAAATGATAAACATTGGAATCTAGACTAAAAGGTAAAACTAACCCCACCCACCTCCGCTTTCGAATTTCACTGTTTTTTTTGCGATGTGATGAAGACTGAATTTTACTGTGTCAAGTGGCTAAAAAATTCAAAGTGGCCCCGCCCACCCACCCGGTTTTCTTTCTAATCACTCATTGTATCGAACAAAAAAGGATTTTATAGAGATAAAGAATGGAATCCAGACAAAAAAGGTAAAACTAATCGCACCCCCCACTGCTTTTGAATTTAATTGGTTTTTTGATTAGATGAAGACTGAATTTTACTACGTCAGATAAGACTTTTCTTGTAGATTTCTAGCCATTGAACGGCCTCGATTCTTTGATAAATCCAACAGTTTTTCCAGAATCGGTCGGTGAAATGTCGAAATTTTCGAATTTTTAGAAAATTTGTCTTTAAAACCGAATATTTTAAAAATATTGCGCGATGAACATATATGCGACATATTTTTGGAATCAGCACGTTGGGATCTATATCCCTGAATTTTTTGAAAATTTTTAGACCACTTTTTCAAAAGAGAAATTTTTCCAATACTGAAATTCTTCAAATTTCGACCCATTTTCGACCTTTTTTGGAACCTTAACTAAATACATTTTCGTGTAGAATTTTGAGCCTTAGAACTCAATTCCGGCCTCGTTTCTTTGATAACTCCAACAGTTTTTGCAGAATAGACAGTTAAAATATCGAAATTTTCAAATTTTTAGAAAATTTGTTTTTAAAACCGAACATTTTGAAAATGTTGCGCGATGAATATATATGCGCCATATTTTTGGAATCGTCACGTCGAGATCTACTTCTCTGAATTTTTTGAGAATTTTTTAGACAATTTTTTTAAAAGTGAAATTTTTCCAATGCCCTGGGATTTTCAAAATTCCTCCCGAAATTTCGGACTATTTTCGATTTTCTTCCAGATTTCGTACCGCAAATGTCACTTCTGGGATCATTTCTTCGATAAATCCAACTTTTTTTCCATAATCGCCCATTGAAATATCTCAATTTTTAAACATTTCAAAAAATTCGAACTTCACATCGAGTATTCCGAAAATATTACTGTGTTACCATACCACGTTATATTTTTGGGTTCACCACGTTGGAATCTATATCTGAATTTTTTGAGAATGTTTAGACGACTTTTTCAAAAATGAAATTTTCCACTGTGTATACCCCTCTTATGTAAATTTCGAGCCATTTTCGACCATTTTCGAAATTTAGCTAAATACATTTTAGTGCATGTTTGAAAATTCAATTCGGATTGCAGAGTTTTTGTTCGGATTAAAGAGACATCGATTAATGGATGTTCGGATAATCGTAGGTTCGGATTATAGAGGCAACTGTATGTTTATCTTTATGCTCAATTATTTTATCGTCTGCATACATTCTTCTGTCGTTTTTGTTTGCTTTTATTCAAATAATTTGAACACATCAAGAGGTTGCTATTTGTAAATTTAGTGTCACTTGGCTGAATTAGTCGATGTACAATAAAATGCCTTAATGTGCGCAAAATAATTCTTAATTAATTTGTGAAAAATTTCACTAAGTAAAATGCCCGCGCTTATAAGGCATGCTTCTTTGTCTTGAGTTAAAATTTAATTCTTCCATTCCGAGAAAACTGCGATTGTTTTAGACTTATCGGTTTCCGCGTAAAAATGTGGGCAACTTATAAAATGCCCGAGTATTAAACAACAGAGAACGCCTGCATTTGTTTTGTGTAATTGCTATTAATAACTTGAATCGCGCCTCTTCCTCCACCTTCCGAATTCTTAATTTCCTACCACTTAGGATTCTGCAAGCTCTCTATAATTTATCATTGCACTTGCGAAAATCAACTATTCATGACGATTAATCATGGGGAATTTAACAGTTTGTCTTTGTCGTGGCTTGTCATCTCCGATTATTGTATTGTCTGCATCGTCTTAACGCCGATCTCCGTGTTTAATTATAAAATGCCAATTTCGAGCATCTGAATAAAATCGAATACTTCGATAATACGTCAAGCCGCTTTTTCCGTGCGACATCCAATCTCCAGACTGGAACAAAGCTAATGAGAAGAAAATTGTCGCTCTTTGGCGATGTTATTTGATCCAGTTCCCGATTATTTTGAGCTTTGATTTATTTTATTGGACGAAATCAGCTCGAGATTTTTAAACACCGCTCCAGATAATAAGACGCAATTACGAAGCCGTTGATGATTATTTTTTATCAAAAACGCATTTGCATGTTCGTTCGAGAAAATAAAAATTAGAGGGCTTTGTGCTTGTTATTGTCGTATCTAACTGACACGATATTTTATGGTCCCAGGGCATGTCTTCAACATAATTTTCCGAGACACTTGGCATTTTACAAAAGCTTTATTTCGAAACTTTGCGTGAAATGGCCGATTTTTAGATAAGTGTTGCTTATCTCCGATTATGCGAAGCACGTTTCTGCTGAACCGACCACTCAGCTGGCGATTGATAGAGGGGAAAATTACCAAAGGAATTTTAAAGATTTAAAACGTCGAAACATTCGCACAAATTATATGCTTTGTAAATCTAACGTGATTATAAAAAACGGAAAAAGTTGACTTATTATATGCCTGAAGTGAAGAACAACTATGAGGGACTCATATAAAATGCCTTAAAAGATTAGTTAGTAATTGAGATTTGCTGTTGTCGTCATTTTTAATTAAACAGGATTACAGCCGGGCATATTATAAAATTCCTACCTCAATTATGACAATTTTCAAGAAGTGTTTGCAAAATTAGACCATAAATGAGAACGAATGGAAGACAAATTTAATAAAACAATGTAAAATGATTTAAGGCTAAGACATTTTATTAAATGCCTAATTTGTTTTTTTTTTATTCGACTTGATCTAAAATAGTTTTTTGAGTTAGTTTTAGTTAAGTTTAAACTGTAATACAAGTTTGAGCATAAATTACAAAATATGCCTTTTAGGCATATTTTCGTGTATTGTGTAGGATAATTTGGCTATGATTACAGATAGGAGAACTTACTTTTCTTTCCATGAGCCAATTTGGTTGTAATCGTATTTTCCGTCCTCATGTCTTTGATATTGATAGATGTTATAGCTGCCGTATGCATCGCCGTCTTTGTTGAATTTAACTTCTGTTTTTTGTCGTCCTGTAAAACAGCATAATTCGTAAAAATAGTCTAAACGTGATTCCGTAACGGAGTTTGAAATGCGGAGTTATTTCCATACGCATTTCCGTCGGAAACGGAAACTTTTTAACAAAATAAAAGACAATAATGACAAAGTTGAGACAAAAGAGGGAACGAAATCAGAATGGTTATTTTGTTGAATGAGGTTTGTAATTTTAAAATTGGATGAAAGAATATTTGCTACGCAAAAATAAATAAGAATTATTCATTTAATAAGTCCTCTGTAAGCTAACTGCCAGGACAATGAGAAATAGTCTTTTTAAGTGAAACGGGAAAGATTTGAGCGAAAACGTGTCCGGAATTTCCTAAATGAATTTCCTTGGTGGAAGATTTTTAGGTAACTATGGATCCAACACAATTCCTATAAATTCCCTTCATAATTACATTAATTCCCCTCTTTAATTCGAATTAGCAGTAACTTTGATGGTGAATTATTGTGTTTCTCCTTCGCATTATAACAGCTTTGTACTTTAAAATTAGATTTATCGTGATTGTTGAAGAAACTCGTGGGATTATTGCTACTCCATAAAGCACCTGAAACTCATAAATTACAAATGTGACTTAGAGTTCTCTCACGAAAAATTCTCCACAAAAATCTCTAATACCCCGAACTTACCTATAAACGAGACATTCCTGAGGTACTTCAAAAGATGTGTGCCCATGGGAGCAGGCTTAAGGTCCTCGCACAAATGAAAGGGGTTAGTGCCACAATTGTCCGCTATTATGTCATGAATGGCATGAGCTGCGGCATAAACGGCATCAACTGGAACACAAAACAAAATGGACATTCGCTAAGCCACCTAATTATTCTTGAGGACATCTCGTTCTCTTTATTTATTTATCTCGGTTTTCGCGCAAATTTGTTCCCCCATAAAACTGGATTAACAAAAATCCTTTCAGTCTGCCCCCTAACAACGGACTCCGTTATTTTATACATAAATGCAACCACATTTTTCGCTTTAATAAGGCCGTCGGAAACAAATCGGACGTAAGCGCATTATAGAAAAAAAATCGGCTGCAGCGCCGTAATAAAGCTACCTAATATATAATTCGTACGCGACTGTTTTCTATGCGTACGGAATTCAACGTTTTTTAAATATTCGAACCGATAAAAACGTGCGTTGTAGAAAAAGTATAGTGTGTGTAATTTAATTTGTATAAAAGTGTTGCGTAATTTTATACGAGAAAAATGGTGGAGGTGCCGGGAAAATTTTCCAATTTGATTATGACACTATATAAATTTGTGTCTGCTGAGTTAGCGAAAACTTGATCGGCTCAGTCAAACGGATTGTTGGTTTGCATGTGACTAGTCAATTAAATTTTCGATAATTTTTCCCGAAAAAGTTACTTCCTATTATTCAATTAGCGCGAAGCTTCTCAGAGTGTGAAAAGCGACTCCCTGGGGACACTTGAAAGAAAACCACCGAGAAAATGAATTCCACTAGCGTTGACGCGAATCTATGTTTTTGTTGCTTTACAGCAAAAAATCAAGTTTCCCGACTCTACCTCGAGAGTTTAATTACGATATTTTTTAAACACACTTAAATATTTTAACTCTACAAGAATTACCCGTTTTCTAGATAAAAGCGTCATTTTTAAACCTCTTGGAACGAAATATTCAGCACTGTCGCTTTTATTAATGGTTCATACGAGATTAAACGTGTTTAAATTAAGCGCGACAAAATTGTGATGGGCTAACGTAAAGTTATGTGGAAGATTGCAACAAATCGGTCGGATAATTACATACTTCGCATGTTCTTGCCTACGAGATTAAAAAGGGACGAACTGTAATAGGTTCCTGAAAAATGTTCAAACTTATAATTACAGGAAATTTCAGAAATTCTAATTAACTGGATACTTGATCCAAATTATTTCGGCCTATATAATAACAGTACTTTTAAAGAGCTATTAAAGAAAATGATAATGAGAGGGGTTGCGATAATGTCGTTGCTTAGGGCAGCGGCAATTTTAGCGTTTTTAGTGAAAGGAAAAGTCAAGAGGGCGGGGCTTCCCGTTTTATGGCAAGAGCACGCTTTGATCTGATTCTCGAGACTAAATGCAACCAGCCACTACATGCCACGTTACGGGCGTTATTATTCTTAGAACAGAAATAATGCAGCACCTGTATTCAAAATATTTTGAATTGTAGCTGCTGAGTCGGCGAAAATTTAGCCGACTCAGTATATTGGTGCTAAGTTTTTAAAACTTGTTTACATAACTTGATCCGTTGCAAAAAGTTTCAGTTTAATGAGTTGTTCCAGGAGTTAAATGCATTGGTTCAATAGAAGTTTAGCAAGTTAGTGAAGGCTTGCAAGTTTACAAAGTGATTAGAAACTGAAGGTGTCCGACAACTTTAAATCAATATTGATATTGGAGAAAATAAATTAAAACTAGTGCAGCCGTTTCATCTGCAACTTTTCTCGTGATCGCACAGATTGCGTACAAGCAGGATTTGACTTAAAAAAAAATAACGTAGTTAGAAGGGCGAGTTCTTAAGTTTAATTAAATTTATTGGGTAATCAAGTAAATCCTAACAAGAGACTCGGTTAAGATGAACAGATTAAAATACTCCCAAATGGAAAAAGCCACAAATTTAAATTACACGGTCTTGTTGGGGTTTGTTGAGTACACATTCCTGAAAATGTGGATTCGCTGCGTGTACAAACGTAATCATAGTAGATGGCGCTGCGTAATTTTTGTAAAATAATGAACACAGTGGATGATGTATTTAGCAACGAAAACACAAAGATACGGTAACAGAGCAACCAGAAACATGCTCGGAATCGCAAAACACATTTGCTCATCTATTCATATCTGTAATTCTGACAGATGGCTCAAAAAATGACAAGAGCTGTACTCGAATTTCCGGGAATCGACCATCGGCGTAATATAACATCTTAACCCGGCCACTTCACAGGTTTGGGTTCGCTTTGATTTGTACTACGACGAAAAGATTCGATCAACAATCCTCCAGACATCGCTCTTTTTTAATCGCGCGGAAAGTCCGTTTCATATTATTGGTCCACGGAGACAAATAATTAATATTTTCGACAACCAGTCCAGTAGTTTCGAAGATCGGAAACGGACGACCTACATTTTCATTTGTTAGGAGTTATGGAACGTCGAGAAACCGAAAAATATTAATACGATTTTTATGCCTGGAAGCCGAGTACAATACTAATTGTAGTCAACCAGCCTATCTTACTGTTATTGTTCCACGAACAACCTGACGCCAGCAACGGGATTTCGGTATTTAATCAAACAAGTCGTTAAAACTTATAATGCCTCAATTATGACTCAAAGGCTCCAAATTAAATACACAACGTATTTGGCATGGATTTGCTCGAATTTCCGAACACCTTTGAAATAGGGGTTGATAATTCGACGTTCGATAAATTAATAACCTAACCTAGCTTAGGCGAGACCTAGAGCTGATCAGAGGATAACGACAGCTAATTTAGCGATACCTTCTGTCAGACCTCGACTTTGAAATGTCTACTCGCTATAATTACCTCTGTCTGCTGCGGTAACTCTCATCCGAGTTGTAGTGCGGCTTTATGTTAATAAATCTGACCACAAATCAGAACACAGTACACATTTTACGGCTGATTCAGATGAATAACTGGTTGCCTAACACTAAATGGCGACCTCGCCGATGCATATTTCGCCGACTCAGCGCCCGCAAAATTTTGTTTCGCGCGAACTGCCAACCGAGGGTCGAAGGTGGCATTAAACAAAAACTAATCTTTTTCTGAATAATTCTCTCCGCGTTTGCTATTCTGGCACTAGCGTTTTTTGGGCGATCCGTCTGAAAATTGTCGTTTTTGCGTCCAGTCTGCTTCCTTTGCCGTTCGCGCTGTTGGTTTTATCACCGGATAAATCCCGTGGCCGATTTTTATGAATAACAAGGCTTAAAGCCCCAGTATGGCGGCAAGTTTTTAACCAACGCAAAAATGTACGAGTGGGTAGAATGTTTAACGGTCCAGCAAGTGTGAGTGACAAGCAGTTGGGATGTCATGTGCCGACAAAACGATGGCTACCGCAAGGGCAGTATTGATATTCGATCAAAGTGCAAATATTTTTATGAGCGGTGTGGTTATTGACACAGCTAGAATGATTGTGTATTTTGGAATATCATGCTGCATATTTATTATTCGACGAGGTGCGTTGAAAAGGCACGTTTTATTTGGATTGAGCGACGGAAATCTGTTAGTTGGCAGAAAAAATTTGGCGGAAATTAACCGATACGTTCCCACAAGGAACGTATGAAGTGGAGTAAAAATCCATTATCGTTATCACGCCACTTGCAACGTTTCCGGTCAGTTTGTACCGAAATCAAATTCTTCTGCCCCCCTATTTCGCAACGACAGTCGATTCGCGGCGGAAGCGATTGACCCAAATTGGAAAATTTTAATGTGATTTTGGGTCAGTGGAAAACGCATTGCATGCTTTACAATAGACCAGACTGATCACTTTTTGTTCGTCTGGCAGTGGAATAGTCGATTTTTGGAGTTAGTTTTTGGTCTTGTTGGAATAATAACAAGAAAGCCAACGTGGCCTGGATCTTGAGTCACTACACTTCGTTTACCGAACAGATGGAGCTAGGTCAACTGGAGCTTTCACTCTTAATTGTCGCTTCTTTAGTCTTTTTAAATAAAACTTTCACCTTGTTTTGTAATGGAAAAACAGATTCAGGCATTGACGTATAATTCGCGTGCAAGTTCGTTCCGATAACCTAATAGTTATTGTACTCTTCTGTGTATTGTTTCGATAATTACATAGTCCTTCGGAAGATCCGTCGGGAAAAGCTTGTCCTTGTTCAGCTAAAGCTGATTAAGCCCTTGGTTGGAAAAATGTGGAATCGCGTTGTTATACTGTTGCGCTGATTCACCAGCAGATCGCTTGTTTTATGAGCGTATTTTTAGGGCTATAATCCCTTTCGCGATTAAAAGGAGATATTGGGTATAGAAGAAGGATGTTTTATATTTGACCACGATATTGATGGTTCTTTCGTTCCTAACTACATCGTCACCTTTTTGTAGTAAATCTCGGCGTTATTGCTCCAAACCGGCTGTAAATCAGGGTGAAGGGGTAGGGTTTTGAGTTGATTAAAGTCGTGTGTTTGGTTATCGAATATAATTCCTTTGTGAAAATTCGGCTTATGAAGCGTCGCGTTCGCACTCCAAAAATAAACCAATTTCTTCGTAAACACGATCGTAATAAATTTGAGGATGCGTTTCTGGGATTTTCGCGAGCGATCTGAAAATATGATACATTACCCCAGGTTTTGATTTTTAGTGCGTAAAGCTCGTGATTTGCATCGCCACCTGCCAAGTGCAAATGAAAAGAGGAGGAATCACGTCGTTCCAAAATTTGCCGTGTTATTAAAATTATCGACGAGTTTTGCTTGTCAATTTTCTAATTCTTGGCGTTCATTTATGTAAATAGCTGCAGAGGAGAATGAATGTCAATACAGTGTGTCGCAACGATGCGTAAATGAAGCCTACTTCATTATTAAAGATGGAGTCTTTGCCGGATTATCCACGCCCCGTGTCGCCCTAATCTGAACGAATTGAAAAATATTCTACGTTTTTCGCCCTCGAGCCACTCCATCGTGTGTCACTCACAGGGATTAAAACAACCACAAAATATTCGTTTTTGCTGCGTTAACTCGTCCGCGTTCTTCGGAGTAAACCGGTTTCACGCACACTTCAAACCGGTTTGACGAGTGACAAACCGAGTCCACGTACAAGGATCGTTTCGCTTTTCAGCGAGCGGATAATTTTTATAAAGAGTTCAAGCAGGCCGCTTTCCGTGCGATATGCGCCGGGCCAATCATGAGTTTAGCTCGAAATGCCTGAGGACGTTTCTAACAGATGTGGCAATTGAGCTGACCACCGTTGCTTCGTAATTCCATTTCCCTACAATAACAAGACGAATAACTTGCATAAATCATCAGATTTTCGGCGAGCATTCAATTACACATCGGGACGGGTGAGAATTTTTATTTTCGATTGACACTAACTCAATTAAAGTTGCCCCATAACCTTTAATCAAACCGGTTTATGATTTTATTAGGGCCCATAAAGCTGGCAAATCTAAGCCTAGTTACGTAAATTATCGCATAAACTCCATAACGATGAGTAAAATGCAACAATTTTGCAGCGATGAACTGCTTTTAATGTTTTTCAAATCATTAATCACTTCCTGCTTGTAGCTTTGCAATCCATGATATATGGAGCCAATACTGACTCATATATAAACATTTCAGCTACGTACAGTGATACATTAGTTTTAGCGGAAAATTATTGCTCAGGGATTTTCTCCATATATTAACCGTCTAGACGGGCACACATAAAAAGTGCACACGGCGATTTTAAGCGTCAAAAAATTCCTAGCAAAATATTGTATTGCCACCTGTTTGTCGCTCGAACACGGACCTATTAAACATGACCTGAATTAGACTTGAAACAATCAAACTTAAGTGGAAACGTCTGGGAATTTTAGTCTTAAGTGTCTGCCATAATTAGCGCCACTTGCTTTGATTCGTAGACACGGGTACAATCTGGCTCGAAGTAAGTTGCTCAAACCTTGCACTCAAACTCACAATCGACGAACATATTCTAAAAGTTTTAGATTTTTGAGGTAAGCGTTGCAATTTTTTGTCACGTAAACCGGGAAAACTTAATCTGATGTGGGGATTTTTGTCGACCACGATCAGATTAAATTTTTGCCTGATGAGTAAAAGACTTTTTATGCCCTGTCATTATCCGCACGCGGCGATGAGTTTTCTTGAGTTTGGTAAAGAGTGATGACATCCTATTTACAAGAGCTCATCGGATCTCCATGAGTTAATAATGTTAGACACTCGGCGGTTTTTTCTTGTCAGGATGTCCGCCTACATTTTAATTATGCGATTTCAATGTTAAGATGTCAACGTCGAACTATTGCCGGTCCGTCTATTCAAGGGACTAATCGACAAATACGTAATCTGTGCTTTTGTAAAACCTGATTTAATTAAAGTGGAAACACGCGTCTTCATTCGGCACCAATTAAAAACAAACCTATAATTCAGCGTGGGAGATTTATCGTCTAAAGTGGCTTGGGTGGAACTATCGGCATGATTCTGAACCGAGCTTAGAGTTTCGTTTCCTGGAACACCGGTTTGTGTACAGTTGCAATAATTAATGCAACAAAACTGTTGATAGTGAGTTAGAGAAGTACTAATGCTTGTGTTGGTCTAAACTGTAATTAATAAAATACAGGGCGTCTTACTGGGGAGTTTACCTTTCGAATAAACCCAACTTTATTATTCACTGGAGTTGGAAACAGTTTTTTGGCCATTCAAGGTACAACCGCATGAATTATTCCACCAAACTTCGTTCCAAATTAGAGAAAGTTGAGATTTTAATTAAAGGCATAATTAGGAAATATTTATTGCTTCTAGGGAAAAATGGTCGACACTTTGGCACAAGTGGTTGAATACCTGGCAAACTTTTCAGTTAAAACACTTCATAAATGTTACCACATGCATGCTGGGTCAGCGAAATTGGTTTGAAAGCGAGCTCGTTTTTGTCGCGTTAGTTTAGTTGCAAGAAATTTAGCGAGAGGAATTTTGTCAATGTATTTTTGGCATGTGCTTTGTTTGGAGTGTAATACTGATGTAACAAAGGTATTACATACGGGGCGTTGCGATAAGCTTTAAGCTGGTGTACAAATGGTGTGTCATTAGATACTTCATGACAACCAAGGCACATATCTTAAAGGATTACACTGTGTAGACTAAGCGCCTTACAATGGTGTAATTGCCTGCTTATTACCCTTACTAGTGGGGACGGTTAGCGCCGTGTATAATTGATTTAATTACCGAATTTAATTAATATGTGACATTATTGTATTATACGTTCTGGAATAAGCGCTGCCTGACGCGTTAAGTACTTTATTCATTAACATAATAGTGTATTGATTCACTTCCACGTTCTCAAATTACAATAGCAATAACCTTTAACATCATTATGAAACTCGCACTTTACCATTTACCAGTCGAACATCCATATGCATAACGCATAGAAGAGAAAGTTTAAACGTGCTTTTGTTATTATTAGACCTGACGTATGTTTTCCTAATTTTAATAGATTCAGGTGTGTTATTTCTAAGCAAATTAAATCGCCTGCGAGAACTGCACCAACGATAATAACTGTCTCCCACTTTCCGTTAGCTCGATTGTGTGTGGATTTCGCACATGAGCTCATCCACACTTGTCGTTCGGGTTCGAGCTTAGCGAAACGAATCACCAATTTCACAACACAAGCAGAAATTAATTAACAAAACCATCGAAACCGCAATATTAAATATCCGTTAAAACGCGAGCTAAACATGTTTTACTAACATATGTAAAATAAGATATAGCTGTCTCTCTCGCACGGTAGTTGTTCCCTCGAGCGTCTTTTTTTCTGATGTCGCTTGTTCGAAAACTGTGTTTTCAGGAATAATAACTTACATATGCAAACGTATTCCTGTTTGTTGCAACATGCCCACACACTAGCGGTTTTGCGCCTCGTTCCTAGAAATTTTATTTCCGATTTATAAATTTGCGTTTAAGTCGGACGTCTGAGATGGCAATTTCGCTTTAGTGGCAATCTTCCAGATATTAAAGCTCGAATTCCTCGTTAAAAAGTGTGTGAAAACTGTTCCGTGCTGAATCTCTGTGTCCAATCTGGCGGAAAGGAGCATTCGTGCACATTTTCCTGGAACCGGCAGTCATACGTCCATAAACAAGTGTAATTATGCGACAAACGCGAGTTCCGATCTAATGAATATCGCAATCACCTATTAAAATCTCACTAACCGACATACAATGCGTAAATACGGAAACTCGTTTATTAACCACAAATTAAACGCGCGTTCGGGCTATTTATTCCAACACCAAATAGCGGCATTTGCATCTGACATCTATACATTCGTTCCGCATAAGCCAAACTCACCGACGAACGGAACTAAACCCTCCTGTTCGTAATCCGAGATGGTTTCTTCGCCAGTGCACTTCCGGTTCTTGCTGTTGTCGAAGTTGCACTTGTTGTGTTGGCTCCAGAACTCCCGAAACCAGCCGTTGCGACAGTTGATGACTAGCTCCGGCTTGCTGGGGTGCGGGATGTTCGCTTCCATGCTCGCGTTGCATCCCTCTCCTTCCACACGAGGACGCAGCGACATGTAGTAGTCGTCGAACTCTGCACAAAAATAATCAAACATCAGACACCGAAGCGAGCTCGTTTTTGGCGGATGACGTCACAAATTCGGATGGTGCAGATGAGCGCCTACGCCTGTGATCATTAGAAGAGCGTCGATTAACCGGCGTTTACACTATCGCCACATGCAGTACCTATCAAAGTGTAAAATTGTCTCGATGTTATTAATTTGACTTGCCACGATTTCCACAAGTTAGTCATTCTAATCATGAAGTTGCCAACTTGGGTGCAGTCGAGCCAATATGATTTATTGCACGTTCAGTGTCGTGAATTATTGCTTCTCCGTCAGATGTTTATGGTCACTAATAGATCAACCCCCTCGAAACATTGCAACGGAAAATTGAGAGTTAGTTTGATAAGCTTCGGATTAACACGAAATGTCAATGCGAATTCGCGCATATGGCTGTAATCGTGTGCAACTTAGTGTGATTGACACTGGTAGAGTAGAAAGGCGATCTGACCACACTTTTTACGATAAGAAATACGACAAACGTAGGCCGTAATAAAAGCATTAATCTTATACAGTTTGTTCACGACAGAGGAAACCGAAATTTCAGTTAAATGAGTTTGTTCAAAGGTAGCGAAATTCGTATGTTGCGGTTAAACAAACTTTAACTTGGTTAAAAGATAAATAATTTTTATTCTGACTTTTTAGATAAAGCATGACTAATGATATCTGAATAGACATACTTTTTGTGTGTGACGTCATATTTAATATTTGGAGATCCTTGATTAATCTTGTGTTGGATCGAAAATTGCGCAGTCGGTTGGAATAAACTGGAAACAGACTATTTTCATGAAAATTTTAGCGCTAATTGTGAAATCGTGACATTCGCTCAAGGATGCATCAAACTGAGTTTTTAATTTTACAAAAATACAACCTACTTTATTCCAATATCATTTATCTTTTTAATTCAGGTACAATTTTCCAATGTCTGCTCTGTCATTTTTCAAGATTAAGCATTTCATAATTGAAACCGGAAAAAGGAGCGTCGTATAGCGCTTATAAAATTCCACGTAGATCCCGACGAATATAAATGTTTTAATAGAGAGCATTGTTTAGTATGTAAATTTCGTTACCTCGGATGCATTCAAGACAAAACTAACAAATTGGAGAGGAAATAAAGTTTGTTAGCAGTAATGGTTTGATTGACCTGATTACATCAGATGAATTAAAGAAGTTGCAGTCGGTAGAGGAAAATGCTTTATATTTGTGGCAAAACTTGAAACAAAGTTGGACCGAAACGAAAGTGTTTACACTCAACTCAGTTAACATGATGCGGATGTAATAGTCTGTTAAATATATTTTGGTTAAACGTGAGTCTCTTGACGCTTATTTGCAAACCAGAGTTAAATTAGCTTTATTTTGTACGTCAGAACTCAAGATTGCTGTTAGCATATGGATAAACTTTGCTTGCTTTAGACGTTCCACGCTACCGAAATTTATTTTGATTTCAAGCCCGTATTTTTAAACAATTAATTTAGGAAGAATTTCTACTTTAAACGAGTTAGAAATAAGTGCCCGAGGATAGGAAATACACCGCGCCTCATATTCTTTCACAAAAACATTTTCAACAAAATTAGTTCATGTTTAATGTATTTTTTCGTGACAAAAACACTCAAATATTTTATCGTATGAAATTCAAGCCAGCCTCCAGATTTCAATACAGAGAAACCTTTAATTGCCCCCAAGGTACATTCTTCAAACTGAAATATGGGCTCCCGACCGCTGCTCGCCCATATATTTCTAAAACTTGCTGACTCTCTTCTGTCGTATTTTCACGTTTATGAAAGCTTCTTTCAGATTTACATACATTGTTCTCTTTGATTATCGCATTTCGGAGTGCGATTTTGTTTCATAACTGCTTTACACTAACGATCTCTTATCAATTATTCACACAAATGCAAAATGAAAACATTTCCGCTACTTTGTATTTAAAGAGGGTCGTTAATATTTTAGGCTTCGCCAAGGCTTTTACTTTAATTGAAAATAGATTTTTTACGCGATATTTATACATTCTGTTGCAAAGTGACGGCTTGTGGTAATTTTTTCGCGCATACTTACGGTATCCCACCGACTGCGCCATTTAGCCGAACAAACAAATAAAAGCAACGTGCATTACGATTTATTTCTTTAAAGTACTTTAGTGACTGCTGTCACGAATAACTAGAAACTAGAAAGCGAATTTGAATAATGAGCTGTAGCTTTTTCTGAGTGTGCTCATTTGAAAAGTAAGGAATTTCCTCAAGTTCCATTGTCTTAATCCAAGACTGTCATGCAGTCGTTACAATGAAATAATTATCCCGCCTTCAAGCTTTTATTTCGCGAGGGATGAGGTTATCGATGCATAATACAGTAATGACGTCTTTTATCCGTCGAAATGAGCGTAGTTAATATTTAGTTTTAATTTGTGGGAATGTAATTGTGCGCGATGTTATTTTTTTGCGGTGAAAATAGGGATTGTTTGAGACTATGGTTGAGCTGTCTCTGCCGGAAAATATACACAGTGAGCATAAATAATGAAGTGGCGCATATAAAACGTTTATCCTTGTCCCTGCAGCGGTTAGAGGTAGATAATACGTATCCCGTGACCGCGGCAGCCGCAATTCTGTCATTTTACCCTTGGGTACTCCTCCCACTTGACATTTCCCATAACTGATGGCTATTTTATTGTACACTCACTAAACGATTATTCGAACTCTCTTTTGTGCCATTTTAAATTTCGTCGTGCGAGATTACGGCCGAAATGTCGACATTGTTTCGGCGAGACAAATCAGGGTCTCGTTGGGCAGTTCGTAATGAATAGGCGAGGTACCTCAGCGGTCCGGATAAGGTCAAAGTTGGAAGTTATGTGAATTACAGAGTTATGGCCTATGGCAAAAAACAAGAACAGCAAATGTGGAAATTCGTTCACGGAGAGACTCAATAAAGAAGTCGAGATATCCTATAGATATGTGGAAGTCTGAATTTTAAGCTTGCGACAAAAACAGCTCAAACGAAAGTACAATCGTGACGAAACTTAATACGTTTCCACCCCAATATTTCTCGCCAACGAATGTGATATGTCATTTCGTTATGTTTTTACGTTGTTCTGCTACCATCTTAGGACGTTTCTATAACGAGATCTCTCAGAGATAACGACTCTCCAACATTTCAACTTATTAGTTACATATTGTTAGCCTAAATTAATTTCGCCGCGATTTCAACAGCCCGGGAATTGCTTACCTTCCTACTGCAAATTTCCCTGCTTTTAAAAACTTTCTCCCGCCGCACTCCAGACGCCCACGCTCGTCACGACGCCTAACCCATCAAACGCACACAAGGGGCGGCAGATTTCAATCAAAGACAGAACTGGACACACCGCAACTATTTCGAGACATTGTTGCTTGAGGACTTCTCAAATAACCAGACGTACGGCCCGATGCGAGGGTCTACAAACTTCCGACCGCTCGCATCCTACCGACTGCGCCGAGTATTGCAAAAAATAGCGCCAATTTTCTTCTCGAGTCGTAGTGTTTTTGCGCAAAACTCAAACACGGAGTTTTATTAATTTTCCAAAAATCCAATTACGAGCTCGAACGTGTTGACTAATAACGCGAAAAATCTACAGTGAGTTCTGAAAGAGCAACACAAGAAATAGCTGGCGACGGCGGTGCATCCGTTTAGAGTGTTTACTATGCAATCCTACCGACTGCGCCATTTTTGAGCAAACGGAGCTTCTTTTCTTGGTCGATTTATTTACAGGTTTTTGGACAAGGCTCAAATGGAGCGTTTAATTAAAAATATTTCTTTCATGAAAGCGGCCATGTTGCTTAACAACAACAAAGTGGGAGGCTTCAGGCGATGTTTGTGTTTAGTCTCTTCAAAGCAAAATATTTTTGTGCATTTCAGTTTAATCGTCCGACACTTCTGTGAAAAAACTGAATCACTTTCCACCCGTTTTTTGATATTTGTAAGGACGGGTATTAATCCTCTTTTTCAGGAATTATGGCGTTTTATTTATTTGCGGTGAGAAACGTGTACAGGTAGCTTAAAAGCAGTCTTGTTTTTTTCCTTTTGCTTTTTACGTCTCTTTGTGTATTTTGATATAAGTAATTGATGGACAGGGTAGAGGACATTTTATTCTCGGCAGGTCTACACTGACATTTTTACAAAAGACTGTGTAAAGTTTCAAAAGAAATGACGTCAATTAATGTTATGCAAAGTATATGGAAAGGGAACAACGTTTTTGTTTAATTAAAAGAGAAACCTTAATTTGTGACAAAGTAGTATTCCGTAATGGATATTGCTAGAGCTGCGAAATAAATACTTAGGTCTCAATAAAACAAACCATTAAGCACGTCAAGTTTAATGTCAATAAAAAGTGAAAACTTTAGTGTACCTATAATAAAAGTGTCATTCATTTTGTGAACGATAGCTGTCAGTGACGAGCATGAATCCCGATATCGATAGCTTCGAAAGTGTGTGAAACCTAATAAGCTTTCAAAGTTAATTCATAAAATTCTATTTTGACACGAACAAGTTTGCAACCAACTGCGTGGAATAAGCGTATTATAAACTTAAAGTTATTGATGTTTCTTATTCATCGATTTTCAAGCTATTTTTTACTTTCCTAAGCTACTCTTCAACTTTCGACTTTTCCTATTTGTATTATCTTTCACTTTTGTACCATAAAACTTTTAATAAAGTACACCATTTTCACTGTCTAACAGACACGACTGGCGTAAAGTGAATCAAGCAAATCGTAATTGAATAAAAGCCGAATCCGCATGTTTTTCTTCTCGTGTTCAGTCAACCGTTCACAGATAAATCTCAACTTTTTCCGCGATTATTCATGTGTGCCCACTGACACCGCAATTATTTTCCTAATTATTCTTCCCCTCGATGGAATCCTTGACACACTCTCATGCTCTATCAGAAACATCTAAAGATATCTTAACATTTTCAACAAAGTTTACACAATTTCTATGCATGATGCGTTTATAGTTAGCATATTATATGCCGTTGTTATTTTATGTAAACATAACTAGGCTCATTGTTTTCTAATTCGACTACTGTGTTGAGATTTGCCACTTCCATTTTACGGTCATTACCTGAAACAGATTATGCTCTAATCAGAACTCGATTGTGTTACCGTTCTATGTTCTCTGTATACGGCAACGAACCATTATTATATTATTTTGTTATTATTACGCCGACTAACTACTAGAGAACTGTTTTCGGACCAGAAATTATAATTCAATATTACGTCTTCGAGGTACTTAGACTATCCCACCGACTCCGCCAATTAATTCTGAAAATTAAATTAGATTGAAATATTTTTAGATATATCCTACTGACTACGCCACTTACGAACGATTATTACGTTTCTATTATGTAGAGAAGTGTTTTGTCATTAAATGAACTGGTGCATCCTCTACTATAAATACTTTTTCGTTCGTTGACGATTGAAATTGATGTAATTTTCGACTGGCTTTTAATCAAACTACTTGTGTATGAGTCACACATACAACGTTCGATTAACTGGAATAAAACGGTTAAACGAATTGCAGCAGAATTTGCATCCCCACGAAACTGTGTAATTATTAGTAATTATACGTTCATAAGTAGCGCGCATAACACTGCGGATGATGTCAGTAATTAAGAGAAATTGTGAGTAATTATGTTGTATTTGTTACTTTTTAGCCGTTATGAATAATTTAGTGAAGTTAGTTGTCGGTGCAAATTGCAGTCTTTAGAAACTGCAGCTGTGATTAAGTCAGCAAGAAGTTAATAAGAATAAAGCGGTATCTGTTCGAAACGTCCCAGGCAAGACAATCCGACAACTACTCGCATTAGTGCAATAAACTTTATCATAAGTCTGTGTTTTTATGATTTTATGAAATGAGATTTAAGTTCGAGTATTCAAAGTTTCTCCGAAAGATTAATTATTCAAATTACTTTTCGAGCTGTCAAGAACACGACTATAAAATAACGCATTCTACATTTAGTGGTTTAGCTCGGTTCGCATTTATTTTCTTTTTTGAGCTGCAGGTAATAGTGCGCGATGAAAAAGTTAAAAGATGACGGTGTGGAAAATTTATTAATAATTCGTACTATTTGCATAAAGTGTAAGTTACGTTTTATTAACAATGTTGCGTTTATATCCTGTCGACTGCGCCATTTATCGCACAAAATACCGTATTGAACGTTTAGTGGCCTAACGCATTTATTTTCTTTTTGAGCGGCGGGTAAAAAGTTAATAAATGATGGTGTTGTGTAGGTATTTGATGTGGCATTGTGACCGGTTTGACGTTTGTGTATAAATATAGCTTTTAGTACCTTGAATGGCATTCCTGTGGGGTAGGATGGTGATTGCTCCCTCTGCAGCGAACTCTTGATCCCTGACGGGGTGTACTTTAGCTCCCCACGAATCACTGCCGATCCAAAGGAAATGTTCTGTCTTATTCGCACGAATTGTTGCACGTAGCAGCTTTCTAAAAGTATAAACAAATAGGCTGTTTCAACCAACTACACGAAAACCATCTTTGCGTACTTTAAAGCTCAACAAAAACGAAATAAAATCGATAGCTTTTATTTAGCAAAAAACAACGTTATTTGAATATACCATTTGTGCGTTCCGACTCGATGAGGCGCCATTAAGCCAAAATACGGTTCTAGGCAAACGGATCAAATGCTGAGATATTGCAAACGAATTGCACGATTCCTTTTTACGCCGAAATTTCTACACTTACTCGCGCACGACACACTCTTAACTCATCAAACTCGCATCTGAACCTCCTTGAAATTGTTTTATTCAATCACGGGACGAACACTTAACAAAAAATTGACAAACTCAAACCGATTCAAAGGAGAAACAAGTGCAGGTGAGGCACGAACGAATTCGAGACGTCATCAAATTTTTCCGCATCGTTTTTGAATTTTTTTTGAAATCTCGACATTTTACTGTTCGACACTATACCAATATTGTTCCATTCGTTATTAAAACAAGTGCATAAATCTGTGTCGAATTTACACTTTGGCTGGTAAATAGTTTAGTTTGTGTTTGGTTTAGAATTGCTTCTCGATCCTACCGGCTGCGTCAGTTGATGATCGATCCGCTTTATTTTTAAAAATTAAACCACTTTAACGCAACCGAGACTTTTGTTTTATCGTTTGTTGCCGTATTTTGTTATTTTTTGGTCTGGTTTAGACACTACGTTCTAAAGTCTGAAAATCGTTCCCTAATTGACCCGACGGTACCGAAGCGGATGCCGGGTTCAACCCTACGTATCACTATTTGGTTTTATTTTTAATTCTGTTTGATTTCCGTTCCGCCAAAAAGGGAAAATCGAGCCGAATCGATAAACCAAAAACAATTATCCTACAAAAATACACCCTAAAGCGGTAAATTATTCAAAAAAAGTCAAATTAAATTTTAAACAAAACATGAAAACCGCTTTAAGTCACGTAAATTCTTATCGACTGGTGGAAATTCGAAATTTCCGTTCGCTCGATATCAAAACGGATTTCTTTGAAAAGTAATCGTATTTGTTGTTAGATTTTACGACCTGTAATTTAGCGGCACTAAACGCGACTTTACTGCCTTCGTTAAAGTAATGTCAGACATTTCCATGCTTTTCCTTACGCCCTGCATTTTATTTAATATGTATTTCAATTTTGTCGCATATGTCGCTTTTTGCACTTATAAAAGAAAACGCGGTAATATGCATGAACTTTTACTACGCGCGCTGAAATTTAGTGGTTTGATTACAAAATTGCGGCCCAGACTGCCGACATTGTGGCTTAAAATAGAATTTTTATAACTCTGATTTATTTATAGGTAATCGTGTTTAATAACGCGCACCGGGAGAACATCATCGTTTGATAAACCGGTTTGCCGCGAACAGGTGAACGCGAAACCGGTTTTTTGTAATAGATAGCGTCGTAATCATAACTGGCGTGGCAAGTTTTATACGCACTATTTCTCTCCGAAGAGCGGTGGCGTTTATTGGAGAAAAAGCATATTCTCATACGCATTCATATTAATATTGCAAATAATCCTCCGTCTGCTGCCAACTTGAAAATAAAATCCCTGTTTTTAAGGTTGGGTATAATTCCTGAATATTTATCGCGTCTGAGTGACAGTTGAAGTTTATGAAGTATAACATTTTTTCCTACTTCGCTCAATTTACATTCGGATGGAAGTTTCGCAGGATGCGGAGTTAGACGTCGACTGTAATTGAGATTTAATTTGGATTTTGTATTTATGCGCCTATAACGGTTAGTGTCATCGATTAAAATAAACCTAAATGTTGGCGTTTCAGACGTATCTTAAGTAACAAACTATCGAATTCATTACCGGACATTATCATCGACGGCGGAAATGCACAGATAATTTCGCGTGCATGTTTTCGTCTATTAAATTTCAAGTCTGAATCATTTGTGGCTAAGCGGTAGAAAAAATATGGACGGAAAAGCAGTCTAAAAGAACTAGAGCACGGTTTGTTTTCACAAGCTTAAAAGTAATCTCATAAAATTCAACCCTTACAGAAGTGAGGATTAATTTTTAAAGAGTTAAATGGAACAATAATGGATTTTTCTGGATATGCGGAACGCCTTAATAAAGATTATACTTTTAACGTAAAAGGTCTTAAATTATTATCTACCGTAGTTGACGCAACAATGTCACAAACCGGTTTCGCGTGACCCAACCGGTTTTTGGGTTTCGAGCGACCTTTTCTACTTCTCGGAGTCAAAATTCGGTTTCGTGCTTATGGAAAAACAAACGGAAAGAAGATATTGAAATTATATACTAATCCCTCTCAGAGCCAAGGGATATATTCAGGAATTGGGTATAAATGTATCGGATTTCAGTAATGACCGATTCAGAAAAGCGGGCAAAAACGATATCGATTAGCCGAGCGGCATTGTTTTGCATGAGCGTTAAAGCACTTATGTTCTTGTGTTTCTACTGCAACATGCATTAGGTGGGATATGGGTGAAATGTTGGCTGGAATCTATTTTAAAATTTTAATCAGCGTAAAACTTACCTTGTGTTGTCTTCGTCAACAAAGAGGACGACTGCCCGGGCTGTCTTTTGAAGCAGTCGTTCTATAATTCTGTCAAAGTCTATTTTTTGCGAATTTCGGAGAATTTTTTCCGTTACTGCTATGCAGATTCCGGCATCGGCTGAATAAGATATAAAAGACGCTATCCCCTGTAATACGAATAAATTTCTTAGGATTCTATTTCGCGATCTTTCAAGTTGGAGTGTCAAACGTAAAGAACGATATTTCCACCTAACAAATAAAACACTTATCTCTGGATTTTTTTAATTGAAACAATTGAAGCCCCGTTAACATTCTCACCTCATCAAAGTTAAATCGAAGAACCGATTTGTTCGCAATTCGATCTCGGAGTTTTCGCACGTATAAAACGCAGTTTTCGTTTAATTAGTTTTCATACGGTCCACCTACCAAACGCAGATTTATTTATGGCAACTTTCCGACTAATCTTCGCTTTTTCTAAAACAATTAGTTGTCCTTCCGGAGCGAGGCTATAAGACCGCCGGCAAACTTGACGTTCCATTTTTTAGCCTCACACAGAAACACCCCCTTTTTGTAATTTACTTAGATTGCACCTTCATCTTTAATACACGCTCGCTGCCGTACATCCATTTTGCAACCCTCAAGCGTAATTTTACTTTTAATTAAAATATACTAGTGGCATCCGCAGCTACAGAAATCTTTCACCTATTCGATGTTGCACTGTCAACAGAATACATCAGGAATCTTTGTTCGAAATAAATCTATAAATCAATCGATCAATCAAGGCGGACGTGAACTGTTGGTTGCCTATAACCCAATACCGTAAAGTGAAAGTGTGTTAGTCTACTAAACTATCAAGTAACCAAAAAGTGTAGAAATCGTCAAGAAATCGTTAAGAATTTATTTTGTAAGAAGTGGTGATAATTGTCCCGATTTATTGCACGACGTGTCACAAGATGTCTTATTCTGAATACGCATTCGGTAACATTTGAATGTCAAAGAGTGCTTTTTGCTTTGATTACGCTTCATTTGAACAAACGTCTGTAGAAACTGTATGAAAATAAATAATTTCCCCCAGAGAAGCGTTGATATATTAGGCAATCTCCATATTTCGTGATTTCCATCAACAAAGAAAAACACATATTTCCACGTGTGACGCAAAGAACGCTTCAAGGTTGCGATTATTATAATTTTATTACGAAAGTACAGGCCTTTTAGGGTCGCCTACATGTGTTGAAATAAATTCGGCAAACTTTTTATGCCACACGAAGTGTTCCCTCCAGGAGATTTCCGGTGTATTCAATGTTCGATATTGAATTACGTGATTAATTTTAAAATCAAGTCGTGTGCTGGTTCCTTACAGTTTTAAATTTAGCTATTGAACAAAACTGTAGTCGATATTATACCGGAATTTCCGGAACTGCGTCACGATGGAATATTTATTACCTTAAAAATCGAAAAAATTTCAAAACTGCGGCTCAACCCGATTATTAAAGGGATTATTAGCCCGGGGTAATTAAATATAAGTCTTTTAAAAGTTAATCTAGCACTATGGCCGGAAAAGGCATTAATTTTTTCTAATGGCGATCTCGTATCAAAGTTATTTTTATCCCGATTTCAGTTGTGCGTGTCTGGAATTCCTACAAGCCACCAATCACCGAAAGTATTATTGGATATTTCTGACAACGGGAGTCCTGTTGCGACGGTTAGGAGACAACCGGTTTACGGGAGCTAAAGCGCCTGAAAACCTATTCCGCTTTGTGAACACACAACATCATTTAATAAAGCGAATTACTAGTGCACACTTAATTATACCACGTCTTGACTCACTACAACCGGTTTATCGTGCCGGACCTGCCGGAAAACCGGTTTCGCGTCGTCCATTAAACAACGTGCTTAAGTTATTATGCATATTTATTATTACTGTTTTTGTATGTTTGCTTCGGGTCAACACTTTCTGTGTGTTCTTCAAGTGCCATAGTCTCTCCAGGGTCCAAAATATTAACACCCGGTTATGGGGGCATGGCACGATAGTCTCGGAAGGGTGTGAGACTTCGATTTTCATTTAGTGCGTCATCCATTTGTAGTTAAATTTTATTTTTAAAGGCTTAATATAATTAAATTAAAATTTTATCATTCTCGCGTAATTAAAATGTTAATTAATTGAAATAATTTACGCGGCACATTTGTAACACCACGTCTATAAAAACACGGAGTTCATCCACGTGTTTACACACTAATCTATTATTTTAGATGAATATGTATGAATCGGATGATGGTAGACGAACGAATTCGGGCAGATTTTGGTGAAAACTTTTTAATTAAACTTACCGAGCCGCCAATACGCATTAGCATTATGTTCTCGAAGATGAAATTTTCGTATGAGATGAAGCTGTCTGATTTATGTCAAGACGGCTTTTTTATCATGTCTAAAGATGATTGCGGCAGTCTTAGGCGATTTTGGTAAAAAAATCGCACGCCGTTAGACTCGCATGATGAAAAGGTACAATAAATTTAGGCCCGCTTTACATCAAAGGGAAAGTTTTTGCATCGATTTTTAAGTAAAAATTAAATTTGGTCAGATGTGTTGATTATTCTGTTTAGTTTGTAGCAGTTAAAAATTAAAAACAAATATTTGTTGCAGGCTCCATCTTCTGACCGTGTTGTGGGCTCTGTAATGGATTAACGGCTAAATTCAATTATTTCTCATTTGATATTTTTTGTGTTAGTTTGGCGAATGCTAACAAACAACAACCCGTATTTTAGGATTACTTGTGCACCTATTTTGTTGCTTTACTTTTACTAGTCGTTGTTTGCTAGTGGTTTTTGGTTTTAAGTAAAATTACAAAATCACGAATTCTCTTTGAACTAAAATACCAGGTAAAAGCTTGACACGTATGTACATGCTAAGTATGGTGCATATTAAAGTATTTTGATACGAGAGTTTTTCTTCGTTTGTAAGAGTGAGACCGAAGAACCCCTTGTAGAGGTTTCATGCATATTTAGTAGAATCGGTTTGAGAAATTAGCTAGAGCAATTCAAAATCAACACTTTTCTGTCTTTACTGCCTAGAATAAAGCCCAACCCACATCATCTACATAAGCCGGAATAATTGATGACTTGCTATCTTTTCTCTCCTTTGGTTTGTTTCAATTTTATCGCACCCTCCCGTTATTAGTTGGCTTCTTATCGGTCCGTCGGTGTCAAATGAATTTATGTAATATTTTCCGAACCTTCCATTATATGAAATTCCACGGATTTAAACCTCCCTAATACAAGAAATTTCTAATCTACATTAGAATGTAAATCGATGGCGGATTGCCGTGACACTTGCAGTTTCTCCAGAATGTAATTGTAATCGATTTATGGTTCCTCCTCATTTGCAAGAGCCATCTGAAACGGCTCCCTTTGGAGAAAGCTGTGTTAGCAATAAATTAATTCGCCAAATCTGTTGCAAATTTGCATACGCTCTAACGGGATGCTACAGGCAACGGAGCTTTGCGAAACCACGAAATTTGTCATTTTTGAAGTGCCGGGCCTTGCACTCAGCTAACAGCGATTTTCTTAGATCCAATACGAGTGATCGACTTGTGTAATTAACAAATGCATCGTTGTCGTCTCATATATCAAATGGGTCAAAACGTCCTGCGAAATGATCGATTCCTGATAAATGGCCTCCCTAAATCCCCCATTGTTGAAATTTGTGTGTGCATCGAAGTGTATCGTGGGAAAGCGTTTATTTTTCGTGTGAATTTTCCAAGCATTGCATTAAAACTTTTCCAGCTGTTCGATTGTAGCTTATCAGTTCAATCGTTTCCACAATTCGCCAACTTGGAAATAATCGAATTTAATTGAATGCCTTCCGATGGACACGCGATCATTGAAATGAACACGAGGACGATAAACAATTATTGTTCCTAAATCAGTTCCCTGAAAATAAAAGATAATTGAAAATAAAGAGAATCGCTAGGAGCAGCCCTTTCAGAGAAAAAAATTTATGATAATAATTATGTTTTTTGGACGAGTTCCATTCTTGCTTATGGTCTATTCTTCGGTCGCAATGACTACGAGGTTTACATTCTTTTTAATATAAGGTCTGTTTTCACATTTTCGGTCTCATAAAAAGCACATATGGCTTTAATAGTCACGAAAATATGCGTTTTGAATATGTCGGGTGCGTTTCAAGCAACGATATAGCGACAGGTGTGTACTCGAAAAAACATTATCTGGTGATTGAGTAGTTTTAAGCGAATTAGACTGAGCTTTACGTGAGGGTCTGAAATAACCTACAAGTTTTCAAGCTCAGCTGTTGTTCACTTGGAATACGGAGCTAACGCCGTGCTTTTTGGGTTAATAAAATGTGATTTTCATTTACGGAAAGCATAAAAATACGATATTTTTGTGTATCCAGACTGTTGAACAAAAGGCAATCAAAATTAGCGTATGCCATCCAGGTGTCACATGAGTAATGAATCGTTTTCAAGAGTAATTTAATATTTTTGTAATTTTCTTTCACGGACACACGAATTTATTTCCATTATGAAGCTCTGCTTTGCTTTGCTTTGATGAATTTTTAACCAGTCCCGGTCCTTGTTGCGACAATATAATGACAATCATATTTTCATTATTTACAAAGCCATGAGACGCCTTCTACATTTGCGCTGACGTTGCAATACTTTCTGTTGGATGATCGTTGAACGTGGTGTACATGAATGTAAGTGGCAATGAGGAGGTTTTGGCGTGTTCCGCAAGTTTTGCAAACTGAAGTGTAACGAGAATATAATGAATTATTGTAGGAGCGCAGCAACGTTGTGCACTTACGAACTCTATCTACCGTAACAATTCAATAGAGCGATTGTCTGGTGGTGTGTCGAAGATCAGCACGACTTGGCTGTTCGTTAGTAATGTAGTTGGGATCGATTGGATGTGAATATCAACGTATCACCATAACGTCAATTGTCTTTCGAGTGGAAGCTATTATTGCCTTGGTACGAATTTAAATTCGCGAAATTGTTCCCCTTTCATTTAAACACAACGTGAAGTCTTCCCTTAGTGTTTCAACAATATCGCCTAATATTATTGCGCAATTAATTAGAATTAACTTCGACAAAGCGTTACCGTTCAGAATGTAAATTCCTTAAAATGCGTTCAGTTTGTTCCTCGGTCGATTTTTTATTGTCACACAATATACTCAGTAATTAAGTTAGGTAGAAACAAAGTTTCGGGTCAGTGAAGAATTCAATTAGCGAAGTTCTGTGCCTGCGGGTGCGAAAACGTTTTCGACAAATCGCACTTTTTAAATATTTATGTTTCGGGGGAAATTATCATAGAGCAATTTTGACGTCAATTAAACTCGCAAAGTGGAAGGCTTAACAATGAGGGTGGTCAGCACGGTTAAGGTCCCGTGACTTTTTCGAAGCGATTCTAAATCCGAATCCGTTGTGTATCTGCTTTACTGCATATCTGGGTTTTCATCTGGCGTGCCAACGGATCTTAGATCCCTCCTGCTTATCCCTCTATATCGCTCCGTTTGCTTATCTTATTTCAACTAATTTAAGCTGGCTTTTGTATAGAAAGAGGTTTTATTGATTCACTCAGATGATCGTCTACTCACCACCTTGCGCCTTTCGGGACCACAAAGTCCCATTGTTTCGGTAATTAAGACCACTTCAACCATTCTGATATATAATAAAAATTTCAACGATCCAACAATACGTGTTAAAGATTTTGTTGAACAAAAAGTGTAGGTGCCAGTGATACGTTTTTTCTCCCTTGTCTCTCGTAAGCTCGTCGTTGATTAGGAAAAGAAAAGAAAGACATTATTTACGCTTAATTCTATCTGAAATTTCCCGCAGGTACGCTTAAAACTAAATTTCTCTTTTATATATTGCAACTAGTTAACTTTCGTAAAACGTGCTGTGCTCTATTTTATTAATCCACGTTGTTAACAACACACAAAAGATTGTCAGTTATCTCGAATCTAACTATGGAGATTTTCCGTTGTTCCTTTACTGCCATCGGCGCTCTTTCTATCAGAGCGGGTAGTTTGGTAGAAATTGGTTTGCGTTTTTTACTGTGAAACTGGAAATCGGTGTTAAACAGATAAAAAAATCTTGGTATATGTACGATACAACGTCTTGTTCGTTCCGCGAGCTTCACTTGACGTTTTAGAGCTTCCTCCATCCAACCTTTGTACTTAAAGCTGTATTTCTTTCAATCCGTTGTGAGTGTACAAGAAGGTTGGATTTGGGTCCGAATTTTTGCCTTTTGATCCCAGTAGACGCGTTTAGGACGGCATCGTTTACGCGTTCATTGTACAATTATCTAATAAAGCATTAAAGTAACTGCCGTAAATTCCCCATCGTGTTTCAAAGTTCTGACGTCTTGATCTGACGGCGGGCCGTGAAACTTGATTTCTACACGCAACGAATGTAATTCGGGGCGATGTTTGCTTTGCTGCGGAGTTTACGAACGTTTTTAAAAATTGATAAGAGGGTCCAAGTAGTTCGGGTTTGCATTAAGTTTGTTCTCGAAGTTTGAGGTCGAAATGATTTTCGCTGTTGGTCAATTCTTGTTTCGCTCGGTGTGTTTAGAAATAGATTACGTTCAGATTTTATTAATATAAATGAAGATGTTGCGATATGGGGTGAAATCTCGTGTCTAAATTCTGATTGCGTGTCGAATTCGTAGCTGTCGAGATCTGAAGTGTATAACTATCACATTTGCCGTGGATAAGTCGTGTTTGGGTGTTGGTGTGGTTATGGATTTTGTGTTTAAATAATTATGTTTTGCATTAGGAAACGGTGAAAAATGTGGCGGTTTACTGTAGGTTGGAGAATAATTAAGCCGGGAATAGAGCAGATCATGCCTAAATAAGTTATAGTAAAGCAACCGCATCATTGTGTTAAACTGAGGGGATGCTTATTAAACAGCTCCCTTGTGTATAGATAGTTGATATCAAGTAGTAGTACGTATAAACCATAACAAGATCAATGGTTCGAGTGGTGTGAAATTATAGCCTATGCTGTGCGTTAAGTATATTAACGTGGAATTAAACATCAAAGATTCGTATTAAACCGCAGCTATAATTTAATTGCGAATGAGAGTACGACTAACTAATTGCTTCAATTATGAAGTTATCTTTCCAGCTTTAGCACAAATCTTTGGAAGTGTAACACGTCGTATGGGCGAAATAATGTTAAAGCGAGATTTCGCGGCTCTCCAAGTTTAAAAGGCAAGATGTTCAAGTTTTGTTGCTTCTTATCTTTTCACTTATTCGAGGTCAGTTTCTTGTGTTACCAGAGTTGGCAAAAAATCTCATTACATCTGGCGCGTTGTGGTGTCCCATTTTCGTCGTTCGATGGTCGTGTTTTGAGTGTCTTATGCAAATTTTTATAATTCTCGATCCTAATTCGTCGAAAATCGTGGCGAGGTTTAAGATTTAAATAAAATTTGAATAAAGAGGAGTGCGGAATGCAAAGTAAAGCACTCCTGTGATGCCTATTTTCTATCCTGTGCATTCGTTGAAGTGGGAATAGTAAACTTTGACGTGGTTAATACCCGCCACACGTCTTGTCTTTCGCTATTTTAATGGAACAGATACCTAGAATGCCTCCATGTTGCGGAAGACACGTCCCAAAATAACGTTATTTATGCCGGAAAATTTCCCCTTGTACATAAGCTATGTCGTGTGTTGTAAGAAGTTGACGCGAAATTTTATTATTATGATTTATCGCCGCCTATGCCTCTCCTACTTAAGAATGCATTATTTTATTGCGGAAAACTTTTCTATCCCGGCGCATCCGCCAATTTCCTCCGGGACGGAGCGCCGAATTCGTCGCTTTATTTTCGCAGAAATGGGATTTTTTCAGTTAGTTGTTTGCGTTAGTGAGCGGTCACTTCAGTTCATTTCCGGTTGTTACGGACCCATGCAATCCCATATAGGAAATAAGAGTCCAATCGTTTGTTTCGGTCCGAATCGAATGCAACATCATTTTCAGCTCGAATGTTTTTTACACCGCAAAAACAACGGATTAAACCGGTTTAGGTTTCTTTCGACGATTAAACGGAATAAACGTCGGTCGCTTTTATGATTTAATTAAACCGGCCGGAATTTTTGCGTCCCAACCAAAACAAGAATTGCCGGGAATCAATTTTACGCGCTCTGGTTACCAACTGACAAATTTAACCTGACAATAGGGGCTCATTTCATCGTCTTATTCCCTGGATGAAGGCAAAGGAAGCCGCGGACGAAAGTAAACCACCGACTAACTCGCATCCGCCCGACTGTCTAACACCAAAAAGCGGGATTAAACACGTCGGAATGCAATTATATCACGTCATTACGTCATCAGTATTGTTTAAACGGTGCTTCGGACGAGTTGGCGTAATCGAATTATGCCGAATCAGCATGATCAAGTTAGGCCGGCTCAGCGCGCTTCCTTTGGACACGTCGACGTCCGTTTATGCGCAGCTATGACGTTTGCATGATTTTTATTCCCGCTTTGTAGTGGTAGCGGGCCCTTTGATTTGCTTAAATTCGGGCACGTTTAGCTTTGATTCGGTGAAATGTTTTTATTTGTAGTGAAGGTTCGTTTTGGGGGAGCCGAATTTAACTAACAACCCCGAATGTGGATTTTGGAAAACCCTTATCCACCTGTTTACATAAAACCAACGCTCTCGCCTGATAGCTCTGTTTAATTTCGTGTAGAAATTTAAATTTATCCCCGTCGTATTTGACAGCTTCATAAATTCGAGGCAATATTTCTTCAGAATTTTTCGATTCCGAAGTCACGGCAAAAAATATATAAGCTCAACTATTTCGGCATTTCGTGAAGAATTCGTAATATCGGTGTGGGGAATTACCGGTGGAAAAATGCAGAGTGCTGAATAGAAGCATTTACTCACCCTTTCTCCGTAATCGCCTTCGACTGCCACCGTGGACACATATTTCCAACCCAATTCTTTGATGATTTCTACCATAGTTTGTGCTTGAAAGTTATCAGGCGGTACGACTCGGCTGAAATATTCGAATCGAGACTTGTCGGACAATTCGGTGCTGGTAGAGGCGTAACTGACTTGGGGGATCTGAAACATTTAGTAAACAACCCTCTTCACTAATTGTTCACTCAAGAAAACAAATTAAGGAAGTTATTTTCTCACAAAGAAATTCTATTTGCATAGGCCGTTACTTACTTTACATGCTTCGGGTATAAGTTTTATGGGCATTATTTTTTTTTCACTCGGGAGTCTTAAGGGCAATCCTTACAACCTCTTTGTTTGTTCGAGCTTAACAGATATGAAATTTTATACGCCCTAACGAAATTAAAGCTTTACAAGATACTTCTCGGAGCTTCCGTGCAAGACCTTACGCACATTTAAAGTCTACAACTTCACCGTATTGTACTCATAATTAGTTGTCTGTGTTGATCAACACAGACCCAATTAAAAGTATAATTAACCCGACTTAATTTCGGCTCGTAGGAATTTACTTATTTAAGATCTAGAAGTTAACGAAAGTTAAACCTGACACTTTTTATCGTTACAGTTGAGAACTAATTTAGGTTTTAGTTGCCGTCGCTGAATCTGATCGAAATGTATGACAGAGATCGTTTTCGGTTTGAATTATTTATACTTTAAGTTTCGGCGTAGTCGGTAGGATGTAAAAAGTAATTTAAATTTCCACTCGCATTCTGTTAATTATTCTAGTAAGATTGGGCTCTAACTTCTCTAAATAAAGTTTTACAGAACGGAAAACAAAGGAAGCGCACTAACACCGAAATATGTGTCACATGAATAAAAGAACAACGCAGAGCAAAAGCTGCGGGATTTTAGTGGATTATTTGTTATTTAAATAAAGTCGTTCCCTGACAAAGTTAACAAACTTTCTCACTGTTTTCTGTAACAAAAAAGAGATACAACAATAAATAAAAGAAATAATTTAATTAAGGCGTAATTAATTTTCAAGTTAGATGTTTACTTTTAGAGCTTTCAGAACGTGCTGAAAGTTGATACGTCTTGTTTTATAAATAATGAAATAAATAAATCTGACGCACGCTCTCCGCCTGTAAATTAATTAAATTCTTTGATGAAAAATTATCTGAAGATGACGGAGAAGCTATCGAAACTTTTCCAATAACACGATAATTTGTTGATTTCCCTTCGAGTTAAAATTTTCGAATGTAAATCAGTTTCGGCGGGCTCCGAAATGTGTGATAGTGAAATCCGAACCGAGCACTTTTCTGCTTTTAGCGAAGGTACTTAGCAGCATGTGCGAAAATAGAAGAAAATAAAAATGTGCCACATGTAATGCTAACAAAGTCTGAATTATCGTGTCGGGACTTTAACCAACTTTTGTTGGAGATATTTACGCGAAAACTGCCATCCCCATTTCTCCTCGGCTCGCAAGTCCAAATGACTATGTTTGCCACAAACAGATTTTCTTCCGTTTTCAAATTTATTTTAGCAATAATTGTTTGCTCGAAGCGTTAAGCGAAAAATAAGACCAAAATTTAATAAAGCCGTCGTAACTTTATTCATTAAAACAGGTGAAATACTACGGAGAGTTGTGCAATGAATAAATTCCTGGATCTCTGCTCAAAATTATTTGCATTAAGGATAATGATCGGCGAGCTGTCAAGTAAAGCGAATACCTGTTTCTACTTTTAGAGATACTCACACTGAATTAAAATGATCCCTAATGCGACCCATGTTATTGTCGCTTTTATACCCTTATTTTCAAAGTGTGTCCACTTTAGGAGAGTGCTTTTGGGACTTCCACAGTTAGCTACAATTATTCCCGAAATATTTGGGAGCATAAAAAGGATTGACGTCTTTCGCGAACCTAATTCAAATTACGACTTTTATAACTCCGACAACGAGTAATTTTAGGATCTTACAAAGACGGTATCAATAATGGCGCAGTCGGTAGGATATTATAATATTGGCGTAGCCGGGGAGAAAAATTTTTGTTAAAATCAAACTGCACCTGCCGAGCTGCTTTCTTTTCCAGTTTTATAAAGGAACATTCCGTGTAATTTGCGAAAAGATGAGGTAGAATTAACAAACGCCTCCAATCCAGCCGAAGTGCGCCACATAATAGAACGGGAATGAATTTCACTGCAAATAAATACGTACCTTAAATAACCTCAGGATATTTGCCACCATGATTGAAACCACGCTGAAAGACGCTCCGATGACGGCTGTAACGGGTTTATGTGGGACATAGACGGGTGGTTTTCCAGATTCACACTTGTACTCTGACATATCCTGAAAAAATAATTTCAGCATTAGTCAGAGGATCGATACGAGTGCGTTAACCGCAGAAAAAATCGTGTTTCTTGGCTACATAAATACTTTTATTGTTATGGTTGCACTTGCTTAAGCACCAAGATTTTAGGTTTATGCTTGTATTTATATTAAAAGCCGTAAAATTTACAATGGTGTTTATTTTGTTTCGTTTTATATCGCGTTTTATGTCAGGAGAAATACTATATTTAGTCTGGGGAGACAGTTAGTTTGTTAATAATACAGGAGAGCGTAATTCATCAAGAGAAAATTTTACTTAAAAAATGAATGAGGGAAGGAACACCTGAGCTCTACTTAAATGGTGATTAACTCGACATTAAAACGGCGCCTACGTATGAAACTTTTTATGTTTTGAGCAAAACGATGCGAATGGCAAGTCAACAGAAATTGGTAATTTACTCTAAACCTCGGAGGCAAAATAAAACAATATTGCAGACATCGGTTTTTGGTTATAAACAAATATGACTGAATGTTGAGCGAGATTTTTTCATGCTCTCTTTCATTTTATTTCTTCACTTAACCACATCCAATTTTGAAGAATCACAAAACATCGAAAGTATGTAGAATCAAATTGCGCATAGTTCGATAATTGGCGCAGTCGGTTGGAATAGTGTGCTTTTTGTAGTTGTGACACACTTCTCGGTTATAATAATAGTTGCAATTTTATTCATTAAATTTGCAAATGTATGCAAATCTGTGGTGTCATGTCCACGGAGCGTCCATTCGCTAAATACTGAAAAGCGGATTTGGGCAAAAACTTTCGCACATAATCTGCATTCTCTAATTCCCTAAATTAGAGGTAGAGCCGTCGCAGTTGTTTGTCAAATAATGCACCCGGCTAAGCTACATTCTACGTAACTTGTAATGGACTGAGCTTCATATACTATTAACAAGCGCAAAAACTCCATTTTCAAACATTCTTCCCGACCAGCTACTCAAATTCTTACGTAGAAATTCCAACCCGCTTAATTATGAAAATGAACTTGTGCCACAAACATCGCCACAAAAGACGTTTTAGTCTCATCATATAACAAGCGCACAATTTTCTCTTTGTTATGGAACTTGAAAGGACAAAAACTCTTTCTACCTTAAATTTTACTTATACGCTTCACTAAACACAGAGACAGAAAAAGGTTACACACGAGATATAATCTTATTTTTTATCTTCAATCGGATTAAATAAAAATTTCAGCAAAAGAAACGATGCCATACAAAGTAGAAAAATTACTGTGACGTTAAAGTGAGATGTGACACAAAAGAACACAATTTGCGTTTCTCCAACCATAAAAAAATTAATTGTGCAAGAAAATTCTCATAAAATTTAGGTTTTCGCGGAACGCTATCGCATTTCGTTTGGTTTATAATTTTGCGGGTTTTAAATTTTGATGGATGCGCCGGGAAAGTTCGCGTCTGAAAGTATTCGAAATATTTTATTTATAGAGTCGGGGTTCATTTGTCTTGTTGATATTTTGTGAGGTTGTGTGTCGTTTTGTAAACGTATCTACTTTTAAATTACAAGCAGGTTATAAATCACCACAAAAAGCTCTTAATGTAACTGGCGTCGGTCACACTTGTTCTTGACGCGAGATCCTTCGGATCATTCCGACAAGTTAAAATTCCTCGGCACGCAACAATTGCCTTGAAATACCTCTGGTGTGCTAATTTATTCAAATACAGAAATTATAGTCAGGTAAAGCCTGACAATGCAGTAGGCAAACAAGGAATTGTCCGTCTATTTGCAGCCAAGGCACGCCCGAAATGTTTGGAAAACTAATTGGTATGCTATGACATTTGTTGACTGCAAGGATTACATAATAGTGAGGGACAGGAAGGACAGGAGAAGACAACATTGCGTCACATAGTTTAAGCGAACCCCCGGAGTACCACTAAGACAGTTATATTGCTTCTCGCCGCTAAAGGCAATACTTCAATCTGAATTGTCGACCGGTTCTGCTGATTTTCTTCACTATTGACTCACGATCTGTACGTTGTTCCACTTGCTCGTGTTCTTGACGACTAATTTGACCGCGATAAATTATGCAGACCCAATTGGGTTGATTAAAATTTCCCTCGGTTCGACAAAAAATTCCAATTTGAGTTATTCCCCATAATAAATTCACGCTTTCGGTTAACAAAGTCTTCGCTGCCGAGCGTCATTGATCATTTCTGGTGGACAGTGCTTTTATAAATCTGACCAGCTTAATCCTAAAAGCGCAACGTTCGAATTAAGCTCAGGCCCAATTAGTTCGGATTACTAGGCGTTCACACGACGTCAAAAATCCCGGCAATATGTCTATACAAATACCTACTTCAAACGAAATCGGCCAAACACTTGAAAGAAAATCAGATGAAGTGTATTGGCGCAGTCGGTGGGATTATCCATATTTAAATAAAGCCGATTTGCCGGCTTTTCCATTCTGGACAATGTTAGTATTCTAAATTACAGAAATAAGTCGATTATTTCGTGTTTTTAAGTTAATAAGGTCATTGTTGTAGGATTTAAGCCCGATTGGATTAAATTTTTGGAAAAAGGTGTTGGCGCAGTCGGTAGAATGTGGGATTCGCACTTTCGGATTAAATTTTAAGCAGCGCGTATCTTTGAAGCAATAAAACCCCTAGAAATTGTAGGTGTTCAAAGCCCGTAATAAAATTTGTAGGTGTTAGCTCGAGTTGATAGTGATGGGCGGATCATTTTGACACTTTGTTAAAAGAACACGATATCGGAAAGTTAACTGATATCTGCCGATACCCACGAGTGGAAGTTTTGAGTATGGCAAAGTCTGAATTTGGAGTGAACGACTGAGCTTCATAAATCATCTTTCTTGATGTGTTTGTTCGGACTGTAAACATAAGGCTAAATTCTCAGAGCTTTAAATCTCTCTACCTATCAACCCCGACAGGATTAATTACATTAGCTACGGTTTCTGTACAATGTCGGAAAATTAAACACGGATGGACATGGTCAAGGTTTTCCTAAAACGCTCAAATTTGAAACTAATGGACATGTAAAAGGCGGTGGAATTTGAATAAACAAGACAGTTGATTTCCGGTGTCAGGATTTTTGATCATCACCTTTGCATTTTAGAGAAGATTCATCAAAGTGGCGGTGTCCTTGAAGGAATCGACTTTGAAGGATTACTGATAATATCGACGACAAACATCGTTAACTCCTTGCTTTTGTCGTGTAAACGTAGGGCTGACGAAACTGTAATTAACATTCTCTAGAGCAAGGTGTGTCGTATTTAGACAAGACGAAATAAAAGCTAACCGACATTGTTATCGCAACATAAAAATGCGATCGCAAGACAAATAAACAACTGCGAATTATAGACTTCGGAGAGTAATTTTTAACGTTTTTAAAAAACCCTTCACGTTTCGTGTTTTCTTTAAAAACAACCTCAAAAATTGAATCTCTTTATAATTTGGCATCTAAGTAAAGCAATCAAGTCAACTAGGCGGCATAAGTTTGTAAATATAAAAGGGAAGCACGGTGTGTGAGCAAATTCGCGTTGAATATTCCCGAGGATTTGTAAGGCTCATGTATATTTTTCAGTATATTTAGCTCGCGTATAAAAATGTATTAAATATAAAGGAGATTGGACGCAAGACAAACACTCGCCGAAAGAAAAAAGTTCGCGTTTTGAGCGCGTCGAGACAATAAGAAGGGATGGAACTAAAGTGTGGGTAAGAAATATTTTATCTAAACGTTTCGATATGCAAATTTAAACCGATCGACCAAACAAACAGAATACGGAAACGAGTGACGGTAGAAGCAGTATCAACAGGGGAAAATTGGAAGTAAGTAGAAAGTCGCAGAACTGCTAAAGAGACATGAAAGTTTAAGAAAATGAATAATTTAAGAGTAAAGCGCAACATGTAGTCGAGCGATTTTTGAAATATTAAACCGGCGTTTTTATGTACACGTGTGATGAAAAATGTGTTTTTGAATGACACTTTAATTAAAAGAGTTTTTGAGTCGCTTTTGCCGTGGGAAATGATGCAAGGAAAACGCAATTGCGTTGGTTACTCATTAAATTTTCGCGTAGAAATTCCCGTATCTGACTACAAGCTTGTTTGGTCATGCGGCATTATCAACCATACAAAATGTCCGCATCATTAACTCGCCATACATGATGCTCATGACCCACTCGTTTCGGCATGTCGGGGCTTTAATAGAATTTGGGCCTCCAAAACATCCGGCAAATGAAACCAAAACGTTTACTCTTATTAATTCCATTTACTAACAACCGATATCGCATTATTAACTGTTGTAATTTGCCGGTAATAGAACTCGCCGAACTACAAATGAATTCTCCCGTTAAAGGTCTAGTTCGTTTTAATTAAACTTTGATTATGAATTTTAAACCGGCACAATATTGAAACCGCTGCCACTCTTATTAATGATACCGCCAGCTTCTTCGCCGGTTTATCGTCGGGACGTACAGATGACTGTTTAGCATAGATCCGATGTTTTGAATTACTGGAAAACGACTTTGTCAAATGTTTTGGCAAACACTCGACCTACGCCATCGATAAAACTCGTTCAAATACTATAACATTTCGACTACTAAAACTGCAATATGTATGTACGGCGCAGTCGGTAGGATATGGATATGGCTGAAAACGAAATGAAGCGATATTAAAACAAAACGACTACATTATTGAAAATTACTATACAAATTGCGCAGTCGCTAGGATAAAAAATAAATCCGCCGTCAAACATATAACGAATGCTGTTTCCCAGTTTTAAATAAACATGCACATTTTATTTTCATAACGCATATTATGTTCAATTAATTTGTTATTAGTAGGCCTGCGTATGCACAAAAGACAAACAAGAGTTCAAATGAATCTGGTTTTAATAACCCAACGCATATGACACTGCATAAAATGCCTTTAATTATTACCAGTAAATATTAATTGTAATGAAAACAGAGTATCTTACCTCTCGGTATATATTA